TGTGAGCAACAAGGGTGAGGTCGTCTGTATACTGAAGTTCAGTAATGGAAGCTGCTAAAGCCTCTGTTCTTGCCTGGAGTCGTCTTATGTTGAAAAGATCCTTCATCCGGTACTCGATGTTCACCCCGCTGGCACGAGTAAGGAAGGCAGCCAAGAAGATGGAGAAGAGAGTTGGTGCCAGTACACACCCTTGTTTAACCCCCGTTTGGATGGGGAAGAACTCAGACTGGGTGTTGTTGTGCAGGACACTGCCGTTCATGCCATCACGGAGTTGCCTCATAATGGCGATGAATTTTGGTGGGCAGCCAAAACGGCTGAGGGTCAACCAGAGGGCTTCCCTGTTGACCAAGTAGAAGGCCTTGGTTAGGTTGACGAAGGCCGTGTACGGTCACATTGAAATTCTGGGAGGAAGTTTTCCGCCTCAGGTTGTAGTCTGTTTAGGAGGACTCGGGCGATAATCTTGCCAGCTACGGACAGCAGCGAGATCCAGCGGTAGTTGCCACAGTCTGACCGGTCTCCCTTGTTCTTATAAATATTGACGATGGAGGTGTCTTTAAGAGCTTGGGGGATTTCCTCCTTTTCCCATATATTCTCCAGGAGAGAGTGGAGACGGCTGGTAAGCAGAGGTCCTCCTGCTTTATACACCTCGGCTGGAATTCCATCAGGCCCTGAGGCTTTGTTATTTTTTATCTGTGACGGCAGAAGCTACCTCATCCCGGGATGGAGGATAGCTGAGGTGGGTCAGCTCAGGATGCTGAAGGACCTGCTGGGTAGTGAGGACATCCACATCGGTGTTTTGGTCGAGCAGTGAATGGTGGTGTTCTTTCAGCGCTGAAGGAGGCCTTCATCTTCAATTAGAGAGTTACTGTCGGATGAGCGGAGGGGGCTGTGCCATGAGTGATTGGCCCATAAAATGTTTGGATGGAATTGAGAAATTTGCGCATCTTGAGCTGATCTGCAAGTTTTTGTGTTTCACATGCTATATATTTAAACCAGTCGTTCTTTAGATTGTGAAGTTCCGCTAGGCCGCCGCTTTCTTCTTGCAGAAGGTATCTGTTTTGGTCCGAGACTAAAGGTTGTTCTGCCAGTCAGTTAAAGCAGCACGTTTATCATCGACAAGTACATTGATTTCCCGGTCATTTTCATCAAACCAGTCCTGGTGTAATCTTTCGATCTGGCCGAGGGTTTTTCTGCAGGTTTTTGTCATGAGTGGGGCGACGTCGAGCCGATGATCAATGTCACAGTGGTCTGAGCCACGCATGGCACGGGTGATGAGGACATCTCGGCGGTCTCTTTCTCTTACAATAATGTAGTCAATGAGATGCCAGTGTTTGGATCGTGGGTGTTGCTACGAGCCCTTGAACTTGTCGGCCTGCCTATGGTCCCCCCCCCCCCCAAATGTCAGCATCTCTGCCAACTCTGGCATTGAAGTCACCTAGGAGCACAATTTTATCTTCTCTGGGGATAGAGGTTAGCACTCTGTCGAGGTCGGCGTAAAAGACCTCCTTGATGCCACCCTCTGCATCCAGTGTTGGGACGTGTACACTGATGAAGAAGGCATGACGTGAATGATTCAGTGGACCTCTGAGCGTCATGAGGCGCTCGTTGATCCCAACAGGCATTTCAGTTAGCTTATGTAGGATGCGTTGACGGATGGCAAAGCCAACTCCATAAATGTGGTTTCTCTCCACAGCAGGCTTACCCTTCCAGAAGTAGGTATAGCCTGACTCCCGTTCTGTGAGTCGACCCTCGTCTGGCAGCCGGGACTCACTAATGGCTGCTATGTCGATGTAATACCTAGCCAGCTCCTTTGTCACAAGGGCAGTTTTTCCTTCAGGACGCTCATTTGTGCCAGTTTTCAGAAGGGTCCTGACATTCCATGCAGCGACCATAAGAGGTTTTATATTTTGTTTTTGTTTTGATCTGTGATTATGATTGTGTTTTGGACCGTAAAAGGATGACCTTACTGGGTGCGGCTGCCCAGTCAAGTTGGTTCTTTAGGCAGAATATGTTTAGGGCACCTTTTCTAGCCCCCTCCCCATGTGCTCCTCGAAAGGGCTGCTCAGTCGCACAGACAGGACCGTATTGCACTGCTGCCCATAGGATTTTTGGGGGTAAAGGGGTTTTGGTGGTGATGAGAAGTATGATGAGCTGGATGATGGCTGAACGTGAGTTGATTTATGTGGTGAGGCAGGAGCGCAGGCTGCAACCACACATCTTGGCTCTCCCTTTTCCTGATCCAGTGGTGCAAGTGTTGCCCAGTTTGTTAGTTTTCGCCTTAGTAGCCTGTCCATCATACTGTACATTGCTTTCATCTGCTGGTGTAGTCGTTGGGTTCCCATGTTGGTCACCTCTTCCGCCTACACCGCCGTTGGGGTCTTGCTTGAGCTCTGTAAGCATGTCTGCCTAATGTGGGGTTCCACAGCAGATTTTTCATTTGGGATTACTCCCAAAGGTTAATTCGCCAGGCATCGGGTCAGTGGTGCCCACTGCTGCTCCAAGATCCCCTGGTGGTCTAGCCTGGGCCCACGAAGCACCCAGTTACCGTTTGTTGCCACGAGGAGGCACAGCAGGAGTCTTGATGGTGAAGAATGTGTACTGGCAGAGGAAGACTTATGCAATTTGCTTCCCTGTTCACCACGAGGGCTAGCCAGCGGCGGTAGCTGATAGCGAGAGGAAGGAAGCAGTGCTTGCACCTTGACATTACCATAATGCTGCCACACTAGACGCATTACAGCACCCTGTATGCACACACACACACACACTCACTCGTACGACATAATCCGTAGTCATGTGCGGCCACTAATACCACAGACCTGAGCACCAGCAGGACCTCGTGACAATGGTACACTAACGAATGCTAGATCACGTCTGGCAAGGAACGTTGGAGTTTATACAATTGCACAGGTGTTTTATAAGAGGCAAATGGAGGGGTCGGGCTACAGAGTGAGGGAGATAGACAGGTTGAGTTATTGTAAGACGGGGAGAGACAGTAAGACATATTGATAGACAGGGAGAGAGATGGGGGAGTTAAGTATTGAATTACCTTAAGTCACATGTTTAGCCATTCTGCCTCTTGGATTATAGGGCGTCCGTCCGTGTGTGTGTGTGTGTGTGTGTGTGTGTGTGTGTGTGTGTGTGTGTGTGTTCAAACCTCGGCTCAACATTATCACACAAAGAGGAGAACCTGACTGTGCCTTCAGCGACCCCGGCAGCAGTAACTCGGAACTCCAGGTGTCGGGTCGTGAGGTAGACGCATGACCCGACACATTGACCGACCGCCCGACTAACCGCTAAGTAATCGACCGCCCGACTAACCGCTAAATAATCGATGGCCCGACTAACTGCTAAGTAATCGACCGCCCGACTAACCGCTAAATAATCGATGGCCCGACTAACTGCTAAGTAATCGACCGCCCGACTAACCGCTAAGTAATCGACCGCCGACTAACAGAGTAACAGCTAAGTAATCGACCGACCGACAACAGTGTGTAATCGAACTAACCAACCATCCGACTAACAGTGTGTAACAACTAACTGACCAGCCCGACCAACAACATGTCACAAAACTAACCGACCGCCCGACCAACAGGATGTAATGTACAACTAACTAACCGACCCGACCAACCGACCCGACCACCCGACCAACAGTATGTAACCGAGTGAACGAAAAATATTATAAAGTAAATGAAAAAGTAAAAAAAAAAAGTAAGAAGGAAAGTAGGAAAAGTATAGGTTGGGATTAGTCACTCACACGTGTCTTAAGATAATTAGAGGTCAGCGAGGTCAGGTCTAAGACCTTGGTAAATTAACCTTGCGTGAGCTGTATCAGAGTTCATCTTAGTCACAACAATCGCTTCGTGACCTAGTTTACAAAGGTAGAGTTGGAGCTTTACCCTATGAGGCTCTATGATGCCCTAGTTTACAAAGGTAGAGTTTGAGCTTTACTCTATGAGGCTCTATGATGCCCTAGTTTACAAAGGTAGAGTTTGAGCTTTACTCTATGAGGCTCTATGATGCCCTAGTTTACAAAGGTAGAGTTTGAGCTTTACTCTATGAGGCTCTATGTTGACAAAAATAACAGTTCACACAGCATTTGTCCAGCGCTGTTGTTTTCGGCGTCTGCAACAATATGCTGTCTTCGGCAAGTGGTGTTATGACATTCTGCTCACTCAGTCCTTCTGCTGTTACTCAACAGTTGTGACTAGTCCAGCTTGTTATGAACGCAGCATTCAGCAAGCACATGAAAGACAGTTTTACCTTGTTGTGTTTGTAGCCAGAGAACACTATCAACGCTAACAATCTCATGTACTTTATTTCCTCAGAGTAAATGTACACCTTACAGCATAATACAGGAGATTTACCTCGTTCAGCTGTAGCGAAAAGTACTGTACTGGCACTGCTGTAGTCGTGTCACCAGCTGAATTATGTAATGGGTTGAGAAGTGAGCACGAACCTTCCATATGCGTCGAAGTAATGTATTTGAAAGTGAGACAACATCTAGACTGGGATCCTTTTTTGAGACACGTGAGTTTATGAGTGGCAGTTTTCATTCTCTAGTTACATACATACATACATACATACATACATACATACATACATACACATGCATGCACTGTAGCCATTTTGCTCTTATTTTCATGTTTATATTTGCTTATTAAAATTTACTTTGAAAATATCACACCTTCCTGGTTGCTGTTGTCTTGAGTGTTACAGGAATAACTGACTATTTCTCCGTCAGATACAGGTTCACGACTACCCTTACCCTTACGGTGCCTACGTCAGATACGACCCCCACGACCACAACGACTTTGTATTTAAGAGTATTTAAGGCAGAATATAGTTATGAACCATGAAATTCACACAAGACCAAACTGACTGACCCCCTTCTCCCCCTACCTCCCTCCCTCCCCTGTAAGCTACTAGTCAGGTATTATATCCAAATTATAAGGTGCTATCGTATCTGATTACATCCCTCAAGATAAGATAACCTCGTCTACACCACCGTTAGTTTTAGTCGAGTCTCGTGTTCTGGTGTGTGGCGTGAAGTGGTATTCTAAGTTTGGGGGAATAATTTCGACTAACATGGCGACTTGGGAGCTATGAATCAAAATGGGTCTTGTCGGCACGAAGAAAGTAAGAGTATTTCTCCTGTATAAATATCAAGTATCTTAATTTAATCCTAGATAGGTGATGGTATAAACGTATCTACACCTCAGGTATTGTATATGGATAATTAACATGTAATTAACGTCCTGTAATATCCTAGTGTAATTTAGTGAAAAACGTAATTTAACCGTTGTTTTTTTTAAGAGTTATATTGTATCTTATATAATGATTTTGTTAATTTTTGGTGGGTATTATAGAAAATATATGGTCATGCATCAATTCGTGAGGAACTTGGGAAAAAAAAACCTTACTATTGGTGTTGGGAAGAGCAGTGGTTAACACCTCAGAGATCAACATGACCTTACCGGATTGTTTTAATGACTTATTTTTTGTTTCAAGTGCTGAGTGGTGTTTCTGGGTGGTGGTAGAGGTGATGGTGGTAGGGGTGGTGGTAGAGGTGATGGTGGTAGGGGTGGTGGTAGAGGTGATGGTAGTAGGGGTGGTGGTAGAGGTGATGGTGGTAGGGGTGGTGGTAGAGGGTGATGGTGGTAGGGGTGGTGGTAGAGGTGATGGTGGGGTAGGGGTGGGTGGTAGGGGTGGTGGTAGGGTGATGGTGGTAGGGGTGGTGTAGAGGTGATGGTAGGGTGGTAGAGGTGATGGTGGTAGGTGGTGGTAGAGGGTGATGGTAGTAGTAGTTTCTGATGGTGTTAATGGTGATAGCAGTTAATAGTTAGTTGTACCGAATGTTTTTAATTTTAGAACAACATCAACAAAGGCTCGTTCTATCCTCCCTATTGATAAGTTATAATATATAAGATAACAGAACACTCATTACAGTGAAACCTTGATATAACGGACTTTTCTCACCACATAGTCCGTTAAATGAAGGTTTTACTGTATTAACATCAGCTAAGTTACCTAGGATGGCCATGGAACACACACACACACACACACACACACACACACACACACACACACACACACACACACACACACACACACACACACACACACACACACACACACACACACACACACACACACACACACACACAGCCCATGAACAAGCAAAAAAAATCCTACACTGACTTAATTGTTTATATAGAAAGCTCAGTTTAACACCAGAAACAGGTACTGGACATGTACAGGCTCGTGAGTGTACAGTTAAGGTCAAAAGTCCCTGAACACTTAGTAGAGGGCTGATGGTGGTAGTGGTAGGGTTGATAGTGGTGGTGGTGGTAGGGGTGATGGTGGTAGGGGTGATGGTGGTAGTGGTAGGGTTGGTAGTGGTGGTGGTGGTAGGGGTGATAGTGGTGGTGGTGATAGGGGTGATGGTGGTAGTGGAGGTAATGGTGGTTGTAGTAAGGGTGATGGTAGTGGTGGTAGTAGTAAGATGATGGTGGTAGTGGTGGTAGTAAGGATGATGGTGGTAGTACAGTATTAGTAGCGGTGGTAATAAGGGTGATTGTGGTAGTGGTGGTGGTGGTAATAGTAGTATTAGTAAGGTTAGTAGTGGTGTTAATGAAACCAAAAGTAATAATGGTGGTAGCGGGTCTAAGCTAATTGCGGTAGTGGTAGTAACATGGTAATGGTGGTAGCAACAGGGTAATAGTAATAGTGGTAGAACAGAACTAATATTTCCACTATGGCGTTACTGATAATGTATAATATGGCGCCTATATTGTCTTTTATTGCAGGTAAATAAACGAATTCGACCTCTACCTGTCATTCCCTCTGTTGGCAGTAGTGGTGGCAGAGGTGGTGGTAGTGGTGGTGACAGGGGGGGCTGGTAGTGGTGGTAGTAGTGGTAGTTCGCCTCGCAGGAGCTCCATGGCTGGTAATGATGCCGTGGTAAATGATGAAGCCTCCAGCCAGAAGGTAAGCAAAGAAAGACTAGTAACTTGTTGTTCATAGTGTGTGTGTGTGTGTGTGTGTGTGTGTGTGTGAGTGAGACAGAGATAGATAGAGAGTGAATGAGAGAATTTGAGAGAGAGAGAGAGTTAATGAAAGAGAGAGAGAGAGAATGTTTATGAGAAAGAATGAATGGGAGATTTTGAGAGAGAGAGAGAGAGAGAGAGAGAGAGAGAGAGAGAGAGAGAGAGAGAGAGAGTAATCATAACACCATCACCAGCTCCTGCAGGCGGCGTCAGAGGGTGATGTGGGGACCTTGATTCGACTGTTCTACGTGGGAGTCGACCTGGAGATATGTAGCCTCAACCCAGACGAGAAAGGTAGGCCTCTCTGTTAGGGCTACTTTCTTACCTCAATCCAGGTAAGATTAGGTTAAGGTAGGTTAGGTCAGGTGAGGTTAGGTAAGGTTAGTTTAGGTAACCTTAATTAACCTAACAAACCAAACTTAACCTAACTTAATCTAACCTAACCTAACAAACCTAACCTAACCTAACATATTCTAAACAAAAAATATATTAAAGTTATCTTATATTTCAATCTTCAAAAAAAAAAAACCAAATCTCACTTAACATTGGAACAAGAAACCCTCATGGTGCCGTCTCCTGATGTCAACAATAATCGTAAAACAGAATATTATGTAGATTGTATTCCACGTTCACTATTTGGGGTCTTTTTATGAGGTAAGAAAGTATTTATCTTCTACGATGAAATATATTTAAGTAGGGAACTAAGTAGCGTCCTTCTCCTTAATTATTACTTGTTTTCGTCCTTCATCATTCAATACATAGATGTAATTATCAATAATCAGTTTTTATTATTATTAATGTTTCCCCTTAAAGAATTTTATAGAAAACTAAAGAATATAGTATTACAGAAAACGGTGCAGGGATAACTATGCTAGTTCTCAGTTCGTCACCTTGAATGTGATCTAATATTATCTAGTTTAGGCTCATAAAAGCAAACCGGTCTATTTGTAGTTTCGACCAACCACGGCTCTCGAGTTGAGCAATGTGTTTTTCCGATGGTTTACACAATTTATAGATACTTGTCTTCTATGATGTTTCTCTCGCAAATGACCTAAAATTATCTAACCTAACCTGCTAACGGGGGGAGGGGGGGGGGGGCTCCGCAGTTAAGTTAGATTAGATTAGGTTAGGTTAGGTTAGGTTAGGTTAGGTTAGATCACTTGCGAGGGAAACGTCATAGAAGAAAAGTGTCTTGTCTAAACCATCGGAAACTACAAAATAACCATTAAATCTAATCATGCCTAGATAAAGATAATTTGATTTAAACATCAACTGGATTAAGTTAAGGTAATCCTCTGAGGACGATGGCTGAAGTTATTACCTTTTGAAGACGAATTTTAAGTTACAACCCTTAAACAACGATATTATAAACTATTATCCTAAGTGGGTCAAGCTATCGTCCTTAAAGGGTTAATATATCAGCCTGACCTGACCTGACCTCATCCATCCTTGTAGACCTGCGGGCGCTGCACCTGGCGAGCTGGGCGGGTCACACACAGGTAGTCCGGATGATTCTCGACCGGAACGCTGACCGAGAGAGTGTTGCCCAAGGTAAGGTGTTGGGTCCCTGTCTGTTACTGAGTTCCACTGTCTATTACTGAGTCCCACTGTCTATTACTGAGTGCCCACTGTCTATTACTGAGTACCACTGTCTATTACCGAGTCCCACTGTCTATTACTGAGTCCCAATATCTATTACTGAGTCCCACTGTCTATTACCGAGTCCCACTGTCTATTACTGAGTCCCACTGTCTATTACTGAGTCCCACTGTCTATTACCGAGTCCCACTGTCTATTACCGTCCCACTGTCTATTACTGAGTCCCACTGTCTATTACCGAGTCCCACTGTCTATTACCGAGTCCCACTGTCTATTACTGAGTCCCACTGTCTATTACTGAGTCCACTGTCTATTACTGAGTCCCACTGTCTATTACCGAGTCCCACTGTCTATTACCGAGTCTCACTGTCTATTACTGAGTCCCACTGAAGCCTCATCTCTCTGGTCCGTGTGATGCTGTTTAGACATTAGCAGTTATTGAGTCTGTCCTATAAACAGACTACAGTAGTTTGAGTTGTGGTGGCGCCAACACAACGATGGAGTGTCAAAACCAAACCCAAGAATTAACTTTTTACGTTTTGCTGGTTTGGGATGATTAAAAAACTCAAAATTGTCCAAGTAATATAAAAAGTCTTACTATAGATGGCGCTAATATATATTTTGTTCACCTTGTTTGTAAAAAAGTGGACAAGAACGAAACTGAAAAGTAAGAATTCACCTGTTATCACCTGCAGGTCGACGGGCGGTCCACTGGGCAGCTGTAGGTGGCCACGTACAGGTGTTACAGGTGTTGAGGGACAGAGGATGTAACCTGTCGGCGCTGACGGCTGATGGATCGACGGTCCTCCACCTAGCGGCTGATTACGGCAACCTGGAGGCCGTCACATGGCTGGTGGGAGAAGGACTCGACCCCAGCGTCAAAAATACCGAGAACTTCACTGCTGGGGAGCTGGCGAAGGCGGCCGGACATGCCAAAATATATCATTATCTCCGGATTACAAGTTGTGTGGCTCGCTTAGCACGACCCTCGAGTACGGGTGCGGGAGGCAGTAGTACTCAGGCAAGTCGTGAGGTGAGTGTTGATGGTGATGTTGTCTTGAGTACATGTATCTAGCGCGTGTGCGTGTGTAGTAGTTAATTAGCTCATGGTACTGTATATGACACACACACACACACACACAAGTGAATGAATAACTGAAGTAACACGCACACTATCTCACATAAACTCTCTCTCTCTCTCTCTCAATTCTTATCTCACTTTCACCCACCGTCTCTCCCGGCTGGCAGGTGCTGAGGGCCGCCTCAGAGGGAGACCAAACCACCTTAGCTCGGTTGGTGGGTACAGGGGCCAGTCTGGAGGTCACTAGCCAACAGCCTGGGGAGGAAGGTAATATTGTTACCTTAATTATCATCGTTACCGTAGTTATCTTAATTATTAGTGTTTATAATTATCGTAGTAACCGTAGCCCTCCACTTTAAACCTTCTCAGTCGGTATTTACGGGACATTCCAGATCTGGTTGTTTGAGGGTGACGTCAATTAGCATTTATCAGGTAGTGTGAGAGTTTTATTACCTTATTCCTGATGTTGAGAGAGTCTGTCCTTGCAGGTTTACGACCACTCCACCTGGCTGCTTGGGGCGGCTATGATCAGATGGTTTGGATGATCCTTGACCAGAACGTCGATCGTGAAGCTGTAGCGAAAGGTGAGGGTGACAGTGTATGGCCTTGTGGTACCCTGGTTAGTATAGGGAATAATTTTGTTACTTTACTCACGGGAGGTTTAGGTTGTGTTGTGTTCATTTTATGGCTGTGTGGGGTCTGTCCGCAGCATAGTTGACCCTCGAAGAAAACGGAGATGGAAGAAAATGGAGTTGAAAGAAAACGAGACCTAATGTACTGAGGGGGAGACTCTGTTAGTCTTTTAGATGTAAATGGAAACGCCAAAAGTAAATGAATACTGGCCACTAGATTAATGGGGGATGGTATTATATTCTCATGGAGGCTGGAAGAGAACGTAAAGTTGATAGAAAATGGAGACACCAGTGAGTTAAGGGGAGACTCATATACACGTACAGTACAACAGGTCAAAGGTTGTGATTGTAATTTTCATCTATAATATTCTGCCCTTTAGTTCCACAGAGCTCAGTAATTTTTCCTGGCAGATTTAATGAGCTCTTTTGATACCAGATCTCAAATACAATTCTCACTTGTGCAAATCTTCATTACCACCTGTTATCACCTGCAGGTCGACAGGTAGTCCACTGGGCAGCTGTAGGTGGCCACGTACAGGTGTTACAGGTGTTGAGGGACAGAGGATGTAACCTGACGGCGCTGACGGCTGACGGGTCGACGATCCTCCACCTAGCGGCTGATTACGGTAACCTGGAGGCCGTCAAATGGCTGGTCGGAGAGGGACTTGACCCCAGCGTGAAGAACCAGGCTGGGTGTACGGCCAAGGATCTGGCACAGCTGGCCAAGAACTCCGATGTCGTCAACTTTCTCAGGGATAAACAACAGCTGGTGAGGAGAGAGAGAGAGAGAGAGAGAGAGAGAGAGAGAGAGAGAGAGAGAGAGAGGCTGTACTCTAAATATTTCTCACTGACAGATAATAATTTCCACTCCTGACTATCTATCTATCTAACTATCTATCTATCTATCTATCTATCTATCTATCTATCTATCTATCTCCTGCAGATCACGTACAAGAACTACACCACCGTGAAGTGTCTTGGTGAAGGAAGTTTTGGTGAAGTGTTTCTGGTGAAGGACAACACCGCCCACCTGGTGCTCAAAGTGGTGAGTTGTATAGTGGTGAGGATGGTGAGAGGTGAGGGTGGTGAGAGGTGAGGGTGGTGACTGGTGAGGGTGGTGACTGGTGAGGGTGGTGACTGGTGAGAGGTGAGGGTGAGGTGAGGGTGGTGAGAGGTGAGGGTGGGTGAGGGTGATGGTGACTGGTGAGGGTGGTAATGGTGTGGTTACTGGTGATTAATAGCATGAGAGGTGAGGGTGGTGACTGGTGTGACTGGTGAGGGTGTAATGGTACATTAATAGCATGAAGTTGTTGTAGCTTAGTTATTCAGCCACATTAAAATAACATCAGGTTGTAGATAATAACATGGATTTAAAGTCCTCACGTTACGCCGTTCACAGATCAAACTAGGAGGTCTGGCCAGGTCCCTGAAGAAAGTGGCCGAGCAGGAACTGGATCTACTCCGTGACATCCAACACTCAAATATTGTTGCTTATAAGGTGAGGTGGGTGGGTGGGTGTGGGTGTTTGTTATTATTTTTTATTTTATAATTTATTGTTTTATTTATTATATTTATTTCTTTATTATTATTATTATTATTATTATTATTATTATTATTATTAACTGTTATCATCATTCTCACCACCATAAATTATCACCATTGGTCACTATCCTTATCACCATTAATTACTACCCTCACCATCACCACAGGGAGGAGGTGTTGAGGGTAGCTGCCTGTACCTTCTACTGGAGTACTGCGACGGAGGGGATCTGGCTGAGCGGATCAAACAGCAGAAGGAGCGATCCAGATCCTTCATGGAGTGTCAGATCCTCGCCTGGACCCTCAAAATATCTTCAGCGCTTCAGGTGAATTGGTAGTTAGAATTGGGGGCGGGGGGGGTGGGACGGGGTGTTTGGAGACCGTAAATTATCGTATTTAAATAACAAACAACATTTCTATCTACTTAACATCTTCTCTCCGTTAGTATCTACACCAGCGGGCCATCCTCCACCGGGACCTGAAGCCACACAATATCTTCCTCACCACCTGCAACGACTCCGTCAAGCTGGGTGACTTCGGCTTAGCACGCGTAATGGAGGGTGAGATCTACCTGCCCAGGACTACGGTTGGCACCCCTGCGTATATGGTGGGTGTCTAGGCCTATGTGATGGGTGACTAGGCCTATATGATGGGTGACTATTTACCTAAGCCTATATAGTGGGTTTCTATGAGTAATTTGGCCTATATGGGCACACAAAGCCCTGAATTAAAGCACAACCAATCATCACACAGTACACCACAAGCTTAACCAATCACAGGGTAGCATGTTGCTGTATCACCAGTGTTACCAGATCATGATAGTCTTCTTAACCCCCTCTCTCTCCCTCCTACCAGAGCCCGGAGGTGGCGAACGGCTTACCATACGACGGTAAGGCTGATATGTGGTCCCTGGGGTGTTGTCTCTATGAGTTGGCAACACTGGAGCGAGGTTACCCTTATGTACAGGTGAGATGACGTTGTTGTTGTTATTATTGTTGTTGTTGTTATTGTTCTTGTTATTATTATTATTATTATTATTAGTAGTAGTAGTAGTAGTAGTAGAAGTAGTAGTAGTAGTATTGAAGGAAACCTGCCGTGATGTCAGGTAGAACCGACCCTCCCTCCCATTGGACGGTGAGATTTTCCAACTTAGGACTTCAAACACATCTAACGAAGCCCGTGTTGACGTCAGTGCTCGATGATTCTGGACGCGGGGACAGCGAGCCATCTTCGACATCAGGATTTTTGATCCCAAGGCTGCATGTCACCGTAACTTAGCTCTCGATGCAGCACACAGGAGGAACGAGAACAAGATAAGGGCATACGGGGAGAGAATTCAGAGCGTTCAAAGCAGCTTCACTTCTCTAGTGTTCACAACCTCTGGTGGGATGGGACCAAGTGCAAGATGTTCCTACGCCAGACTCGCGGAGGTGATCTCCGAACAGAAGCAGCAGCCCAGAAGTTATGTTACAGCCTGGTTGAGATGTCGACTGTCCTTTCTCCTTCGGTCGGTTTTGCTCTGCCTCGGGAATGAGAGTATCGGCCCCAAAGCCGACAACAGTTGCAGATATTGACTTTGAAGCTACAGTCACTGAATGCCGCATAGATCTGCGGCTCAACACAGCTAGGATAGCTACTTATGTATTAGGATATTTAATATTAAGGTAATAAAATGGTGGCGAAGGTGTGGTTATTGGGGAAGGCTGGAGGCCACATATATTAAAAAAAAAGGTAGTAGTAGTATCACCACCACCATTGTCACCACCATCACCACTATCGTCACCACCATCACCACTATCGTCACCACCATCACCACTATCGTCACCTTCACTATCGTCACCACCATCACCACTATCGTCACCTTCACCACTATCGTCACCATCATCACCATCATTATCATTGTTTTCACGACTCACTATTCTACATTCTGTGTGAGTTTTTCAACTAATACACAAAGATATCACCCATCTTACACACACACACACACACACACACACACACACACACACACACACACACACACACTATACAGGCTCACACACACACTATACAGGCTCACATCTAATATCATTTTTTTGTATTGTTTGCAGGTGTCTGTACCCAAGCATTACAGTGAGGGATTCCAGGGGCTTGTAACCTCCCTGCTTAATCATGACCCCGAGTCCAGACCAAGTGCTTCTCTTCTGGTCACCTCCACACTCCCCGCCCTTGGCATGTCCCCCTAGTAACAATTTTGGCGTTATTGTGGTGCAGGATGTTACTTGAAGGCGTTATTGGGGGCTAGGATGTTACTTAGAGGTATTATTGATGTCCCGAAGTAACAATTTGGCGTTATTGTGGTGCAGGATGTGATTGAAGGTGTTACCGAGATCCCGAAAAGTAATATTTTGCCGTTATTGTGGTGCAGGATGTTATTTGAAGGCGTTACTGAGGTCGGATATGTTACGTAAATGTGTTATTTAGGTCCTCTAAGTCAGGGGTTCTCAAACTTCTTTCAACCAGGGACCCCTTTTATACCATGACACATACAAATATTGTCAATAATCAAAGAATAAATCATAGTCCAAAGCATTTGTTCATTTCAACCCAAATCCAAAATATCCTGTGAAATGGAATCGCCAAATCTCTCAAATGTTAAACTCACTATTTCTCAAAAAAAATTCCTGGAACCTAGTTTGAGAATCACTGAGTAACATTTTGTCATTGTTGTTGTTAAGGTCCATTGTGTCTTTGTATCATATCATAAACACCAAGCTGTTTGAAGTTGAGTGGATGCGTTACTCGTCGTGTTTCAGCAGTTCGTTGGTTCGTTTCCCAGGTGCGCCCAGAGTTGACGCTGTGGAGGCGAGCGAGTGAGCTAGTGAGTGAGTGTTGTATTCTTAACGTCCATTGGCCATCTGATTCATGGCATACTGACCAATGGGACGCTTTAGATATGTATTATTAAGTAACTCTAGTCAAATCTATTTTAAAATTATCGATAATTATAGTAAAATGTATATATTTATTATCGTTGTTCAAGCTTTGTGGTGTTTATAATCTAATATACTATAGGACTAGGCGTGTGTCTGTCTGTCTGTTCTGGGCAGCCGAAATGGCACATTCGTTTTTCATCAAACTTGGTGGAAAAATCGCAAAAAATTCGTAGAGTGGAACAAACCTGGTCCCATGTCGATGGTTTCTTTAGGAAGGCATTAATTAACCTTTTTTTTTTTTTACGATGGAAAACGATGCAAGTCTACGGACTTGGCGCACCCTCATTCGCTGTACGCTCGCCAAGCACGAGACTTCAAACTTTCACTGGGCACGAAGTTGCCCGCAATCACTTGTCTAGTGCTAAATGAACTGTCTGTCTGTCCGTGTTATTCTGTTTCTGAGTTGATTGTAACAGTGTGTGTGTGTGTGTGAGTGTGAGTGTGAAGGTCAAGAAGTAATACTGTGAGCCTCGCTAGCGTCTGTGCAGATAATTGTCCCCACTGGGATTATCTGTGCGGTCATATCAGTTTGTCACGTCTGTAATATATGGTCCTATACACCCCGGACTATACACAGAAGCGTAAATGTAATCAACCCGAAAGTCGTGTATGTCTTTTAATCATTTATATTATTGTAATTGTGTTTTAAGTTGTGAACATTTATTTTTTATTGTATATTATTAAACTCAAACATATTATTATAATAAAACCTAATGATAATGTTAATCTTTACCTCATTTTAACCATTATCTTTACAAAATACACAAATCATTTCTTACAAACTGGTTTATTATTGGTAGTGAATGACTCCGTAATGACGTTGCCTACAAGGGGGTTTCAGAAAGTAACAGGAACACTTTCAATACTACGCTACAAAATGTAAGTGTGTCTTATAATTAATACATAAATATTATAATACCTAAACCTCGGGTATGTGCAAGATTAACATGATTAATCTTAAATACATTGTGTTTTTAGTTGTTACATAATACAATACCTTGATACATAACTGAATAATTACTTAAGGCTACAGTAAAGGAACCTTCTCAAACTGTGGAGGTTGTTGGCCAATAGCAGTCACCACCACAATGGCTAACATCTGTAGACGAACTAATTTAACAGGAGGGACTTTTTAATTACCACTGATGGGCAAGGAACGACAACTGGTTAAATGGAGTTTATTAATAGCTAATTGTATACCTGTGTTATCAGTGTATATGCTGAATCAATGTAAAAATGTAGGGTGAATTGAATGAGTTTTTTACTTTATAGTATGACTGGATCGATCCCGTTTTCTGTGATGGTAGATATAGAGAGTGGAGGATAAGTGTAAGGGGTAACTATTAGATTCATACAAGATAACCCTACTGACACCTACATGACATTATTTATCACTTGATAGACACACAGACAGCTGAGAGAGGGAGTGCACAGGATAACCAGCAAATTTAGAAAGTTTTTGAATGAGATACCATATTTTTTACCTTATGAATATCCCCAAATTTACAAGGATTTTAAAATTTTCTAATTGCATTTTTCCTATTTCGTGTTATAGGTAGACACACCCCGCCTATCTGACGACAGTATATGTGGCGCCAGGACTGTTGACAAACTTTTCTTAGTGACCAATCAAACTCCTCCTTAACCTAAAATATCGATAATTGAATATATATATTTATTTTCAACCAAGAAGTAAGATTATGAGATGTTGACTTTAACACTAGACTTTCTATAGCTCCTCCGACTAGAGTAAACTTGTAGGTGAGTTACGCAGCAGACATCACCCTCCCTGGACCATATTTTTGACGCCTGGACCCACGAGTCTGTGAGCTTACTGGGACAAAACAGTATTCAGGGTTAGGTTCCATAACTCCTGTGTTATTTTTACCCCTGTGTTATCTCTACCTCTGTGTTATATCTACCTCCTGTGTTATCTCTACCCCCTGTTATATTTACCCCTGTGTTATCTCTACCTCCTGTGTTATCTCTACCCCCTGTTATCTCTACCCCTTATTATATCTACCCCTGTGTTATCTTCACATTGTGTTATCTATCAATATGTTATCACAATGTTATCGTTATCACCGTGTTGCCTCTATCAATCAGTTATCTTTATCTCGTTATCTTCACTTGTGATGGGCGGGTGTACAGATGACTGCAGTGACAGAAATAACAAATAATCGGTTTTTTTGTTGTTGTTTTTTAAGACTGGAAGCTTCGGTAGAGTCTGGGAGCAACATCGACTCCATTTATGTGTTCTAGTGTACATGAAGCAATTAAATGCGTTCTGGTGTCACTGTTGTTCCTATTTAAGGGGGGGGGGGGAAATTTGACTTAAGAATGTGTTTTGGGAGGGAGGCTCATCGATGCGGTCTTAGAGGTTCCTTGGTACGAGCAAAATTAAACTTAGGAGCCTTTGAGACGACATACCCAGGCGACAGTAAAGCATAAGGCGAGTGTGTGTGTGTGTGTGTGTGTGTGTGTGTGTGTGTGTGTGTGTGTGTGTGTGTGTGTGACTATCATAACCCTTTAAAATATTCAACAGTTACTATTAAAGAAAACATACACAGATACATTATGTATATATAATTTATTTATTTATATTACCGGGATGAAAATATTAGTCTTTTAGTAATGTAGTTAGAGAGATATGTAGGCAGGTAGTTAACACACTCATATAGACAACCAGTATAATTGTTCATCTTATCTCCCATTGTACACAAAGGTAAAGAATCACGTCTACAGGTAAAGAACGGTGAAATAAGGCGAGTAATATACATACGCGGCAACTCACTCGAGTGGCCGCCCGTGGAGGAGAGGAGAGGGGGGAGGGTAGGAGAGTTTGGTATTGAACGCGTGTAAGACAAGTCAGCAAGCACTATGATTTCCGGTTTGTTTTGATAATGTTGTAGTGATGTGGCACCCTAGGTCGTTTACTGTACTGTGTGTAACGACCTAACGTTTATAATATACCTGAACAATGTACAGTACGTGTTCTATGGTGTTCGTGTGTTCTATCCCCACAGCAGTATCAGACATAAACTGGATCACGGGATATGTACTATGACTTAACATGATGTAAAGTGACATACTAACCTACTATTTTATGGATCTAAATATATATATATCCTGGTATATTTATATATTTACGTGATAAATAACTATGATGAAGTTATTGTTATTTCTATGTTAACTGTTAGAACGTAGTTGAGTAGATGGTAATATCAGTAAGAATGAAGAGTGTACTCAGTAACCCGTCACAACACACCCCACCCCTGGACCCCCACCTGTTATTTTGTCCGTATTCTTATTATCTCACCACTACCTCAGTCCGCCCATCGTGTGTGTGTGTGTGGGCGCCTCTACCTCAGTCCGCCCATCGTGTGTGTGTGTGTGTGTGTGTGTGGAGGGGAGACAGGCTAATAGAATTCCATAATATGATCGAATAACCAATCACAGCTGCGATTCGAAAAGATTGTTTACATTTGATCCAACAATGATAAAGGGAGTTTTTTTTCTACCTCATTATCAGTAAAACAAAAAAATTACCAATCAAGAAGTTATTTAATTCAAGCGAAATGTAAGTTGGATTATAATTGGCTTTTGTTATTGCACAATGTAGGAAAGTAAAACACAAACCCGTGATTGATGGAAGAATTACATGCCGCTTTTAAAACACAAATTACGAAATTGATAAGTAAAATACACGTAAATTGTTAATGCCTAAACCCAGTTGTACAAATTTCACACCTTTTGGGCGGGTTGCGATTGGTTACTGACGGAGCAAGGAGGCAGTGACGTGGCAGGCTGTGATTGGTGAGCGGCTTGCGGATGGAGTTTCCTCTGGGTGTGGGACAATATCAGTCGCCACTCACTGTGTAGCCTCTCGTCGACTAGCACACACGGGCGAGGTTGTCTAGTGCAGTGAATCCAAATGTTGGCACCGTAACGTAGCGCCACTGCGGGAAGAAGGCGGGCGATCGTTCGTCCGGGAGAGCTTCCACAAACATCTATTGCGTGGTGAAGGGGAACGCCCAGGCCCTGCTTTTATGGTAGGTGCCTCTTCATCGACTACGATTACCAGTCATCTAGGCATACTACACAGCTTACCTATGGTTCTTAAGCTTGCTATACAGTTGACCTATGGTATTGTAAGCTTAGTATGCAACATACAGTATATTTCTCAATGTATATATTCTTCCATATTGTAAACCTAGTTTAACACCATATTCTTCCATATTGTAAGCTTAGGATGCAGCATTCCCCAGTGATGTAAGCTTAGTAGACAAGTTATGCCTGCAGTGTTATAAGCTTAGTATACAACATGCTCATTCGCATTGTAAGCTTAGTATACAACATATGCTTACAGTATTGTAAGCTTAGTATACAACATGCCTTTATTGTTGTAAGCTTAGTGAACAACATATGCCTCCACTGTTGTAAGCTTAGTATGCAACATGCCTCCACTGTAGGCAGCTTAGTATACCTACAGTGTTGTCAGCTTAGTATACAACATATATCCAGTGTTGTCAGCTTAGTATACACCATGTATCTCCACTGTGTTCAGCTTAGTATGCACCATATGCCTGCATTGTTGTAAGCTTAGTATACACCATATGCCTTCACTGTTGTAAGCTTGGTATATACCATATGCCTCCACTGTTGTAAGCTTGGTATATACCATATGCCTTCACTGTTGCAAGCTTAGTATACAACATATGCCTCCACTGTTGTAAGCTTAGTATATACCATATGCCTTCACTGTTGCAAGCTTAGTATACACCATATGCCTCCAGTGTTGTAAGCTTAATACTCAACAAAGCTTAACACACCAAACTACATATTGTAAGGTTGCCACAACAAATTCTCCCATAGTGTAAGCTTAGTATACAACATATGCCTGCACGGTTGTCAGCTAAGTATGCACCATATGCCTCCAGTGTTGTAAGCTTAGTATACAACATATGCCTGCACTGTTGTAAGTTTAGTACACAACATATGCCTCCAGTGTTGTAAGCTTAGTATACAACATATGCCTCCAGTGTTGTAAGCTTAGTATATACCATATGTCTTCACTGTTGTAAGCTTAGTATGCAACATATACTTTCACTGTTGTAAGCTTAGTATACACCATGTATCTCCACTGTGTTCAGCTTAGTATGCACCATATGCCTGCACTGTTGTAAGCTTAGTATACAACATATGCCTGCACGGTTGTCAGCTAAGTATGCACCATATGCCTCCAGTGTTGTAAGCTTAGTATACAACATATGCCTGCACTGTTGTAAGCTTAGTACACAACATATGCCTCCACTGTTGTAAGCTTAGTATATACCATATGCCCACTGTTGTAAGCTTAGTACACACTATATGCCTTCACTGTTGTAAGCTTAGTATACACCATATGCCTCCAGTGTTGTAAGCTTAGTTTACAACATATGCCTCCAGTGTTGTCAGCTTAATACTCAACAAAGCTTAACACACCAAACTACATATTGTAAGGTTGCCACAACAAATTCTCCCATATTGTAAGCTTAGTATACAACATATGCATCCAGTGTTGTAAGCTTAGTATAACATGCCTTTATTGTTGTAAGCTTAGTACACAACATATGCCTCCACTGTTGTCAGCTTAGTATGCACCATCTGCCTCTACTGTTGTAAGCTTAGTATATATGCCTCCACTGTAGGCAGCTTAGTATACAACGTATGCTTCCAGTGTTGTCTGCTTAGTATACAACATATGCCTCCACTGTTGTAAGCTTAGTATACAACATATGCCTCTAGTGTTGTCAGCTTAATACTCAACAAAGCTTAACACAAACTACATATTGTAAGGTTGCCACACAAATTCTCCCATATTGTAAGCTTAGTATACACCATATGCCTCCAGTGTTGTAAGCTTAGTATACAACATGCTTCCACTGTTGTAAGCTTAGTATACAACATATGCCTTTATCGTTGTAAGCTTAGTGAACAACATATGCTTCCATTGTCAGCTTAGTATACAACATATGCCTCCAGTGTTGTCAGCTTAATACTCAACAAACCTTAACACAACAAACTACATATTTTAAGTTACCACACAACAAATTCACCCATATTGTAAGCTTAGCGCAATTCCTCCATATTGTAAGTTACCACACAACAAATTCACCCGTATTGTAAGCTTAGCGCAATTCCTCCATATTGTAAGTTACCACACAGCAAATTCACCCGTATTGTAAGCTTAGCGCAATTCCTCCATATTGTAAGTTACCACACAACAAATTCCTCCATATTGTAAGTTACCACACAACAAATTCCTCCATATTGTAAGTTACCACACAACAAATTCCTCCATATTGTAAGTTACCACACAACAAATTCCTCCATATTGTAAATTATAACAACAAATTCCTCCATATTGTAAGTTACCACACAACAAATTCCCCCATATTGTAAGTTACCACACAACAAATTCCTCCATATTGTAAGTTATAACTCAACAAATTCCTCCATATTGTAAGTTACCACACAACAAATTCCTCCATATTGTAAGTTACCACACAACAAATTCCTCCATATTGTAAACAGCTTCGATAGTGCCAGAAAGGGTTTTAATACGTAAATTTTAACCTATATTTTCAAAGTATGTAAATTATTTGTAAACGAGACGAAAAATTGCTTAAAGATTGCTAGAAAAGTCTTTAATACACGTAAATACTAACCTCTATTTTCAAAGTTTGTAAAATATATGTAAATGAAAAAATACGCGTTGATGTTGTTGCTGTAAAAGACTTGACGAAACATTTTTTTTAATTTGTAAAGTATTTGTAAATGAGAAATGCCTCGAGATGAGATAGTGAAGTGTGACATGTTAAACAGCTTATAACGCTTTGATAAACTTCCTTGGGTGTAGTGATGTAATGTTACTAAGACTTGCTCCCCGTGTTAGGTTAGTGATGTAATGTTACTAAGACATACTCCCCGTGTTAGGTTAGTGATGTAATGTTACTAAGACTTACTCCCCGTGTTAGGTTAGTGATGTAATGTTACTAAGACTTACTCCCCGTGTTAGGTTAGTGATGTAATGTTACTAAGACTTACTCCCCGTGTTAGGTTAGTGATGTAATGTTACTAAGACTTACTCCCCGTGTTAGGTTAGTGATGTAATGTTACTAAGACTTACTCCCCGTGTTAGGTTAGTGATGTAATGTTACTAAGACTTACTCCCCGTGTTAGGTTAGTGATGTAATGTTACTAAGACTTACTCCCCGTGTTAGGTTAGTGATGTAATGTTACTAAGACTTACTCCCCGGGTGTGAGTGTCTCCCCAGTGGCTGCACAACACTCGACTCCTGTGGTGCATTATTTGTCTGACTCCTGGACCACGTGGCCTGACTCACTCACCGCCATCGATTTTTTCCTCACAACTGCGTGCGCTTACTGGTCCTACCACACCATGACGTGCGCTGAATAGTCCTACCACACCATGACGTGCGCTGAATGGTCCTACCACACCATGACGTGCGCTGAATAGTCCTACCACACCATGACGTGCGCTGAATGGTCCTACCACACCATGACGTGCGCTAACTGGTCCTTGCAGACTGTCACGAGCGCTAACTGGTCCTAGCAGACTGTCACGTGAACTCGGGACTGTCTAGTAACATCTTGTCCTGCCCGACACCTCTCCAGCCGTCTTCTGAAGTCCTTCCCCACACCACTTCCTCCCCAGGTTTATCAACAGCGTTAGGTTATCAGTATGTGGGAGTTATTTACGATATCAGAAGCCAATCAAGAAAAAAATCAAATGTGTTTTGACATGGCTTGACCATATCTAAAACCTATCATCCTGGGGGGGGGGGGTGTTATCAGTATTACCACCAGGAGCTTTTGCTATCGGTTAAGGAAGCGAGTTCTCCACCTGGGTCTTGGGGAAAACAGTTGAAGTGTTTGTATTCATGCTATCTCACTTAAATCAGAGTTTATTAATATATTTTACGCATTACATTAGTGAGATTTTATTCATGTACTATCTTTTATGGGCAGCCATCACTTATGCATACTAGAATTAACTAAAAGATGTTTACCAATATATTTACGTTGACAGTTTTCCTGTTAAGCAAAATCTAAAAAAAAAAAGGTGTAACTTTATCTCTTTATCTCTCAGGATAATCTCACTAGTACCTTTAATCTTTTGTTGAATTCTTTAAGTAGAAAAATTTGTACGAGAATATTTAGCTTGAAGAGTAAAGAGGAACATGACAGGACTTCTACCGTGTCTTAACTGCTGCAGGCGAGCTATGTGGTGTTGCCAAGTCTCCTGTAGAATATATTATTTTCCTGTTTTCTATGATTTAAGTTTTATTTTTTGTATTTCCAAGAGAATAAATATTTAATCAGGTATTTAAACCTGTAATTAGAATGAAGGAAAAATTGAACACTAATAAGTAATATTGAGGTTAGAGTAAAACTAGCTGCTCTGATATCTGCTCACTCTACACTTGGCGACCTTGAAAACATTACTGACTACAGTACATCGGCGTACAACAGTTTAATAAGACTAAATCATGTTTTCTCCATGAACTGTTACTAGGGTATGTATTGATCATATTGACAGTGTTACAGTTAGCAAAATACACGAATAATTCGCTAATATAAATGACCGTAAACTTCCGAACGTGGGAGTGGGGGTCACTAGGTTCGGGTCGTGTGGTCGGTTACAGCCTAGTGATTTCTTCATTACCCGAGGACATTACTCATTTAATTATATACATATAGAGTTGATTTTTATTGATTATTGAGTATATTTGTTAATCTTTAGTAGTAAGTTCTGATTCATTAAGGCGTCTCATAATCTTCCCCAGAACATCATTTGTGACAATTAAAGTCTATGGTAAAATCGCTTTCACTTTTCACTATAAATTTTCGATTAACGTATAACATGGTTGAACGCGTCACTATTGTAAGCGAGGACTGTCTCTGTGTACTGTTATGCATGACGTAATGTACAGTGGTGCTTTGGGCTGTACATGGTAGGCTGATACTTGATACACATTAAAATATTTTGTGTGTATGTAGGTATTTTTGTAGGTTAATGTGGGAGTTTAGTATTAGGGTTGTAGTCACCTGGTGTATGGAGCGATGTTAGGCACTGGTTGGCTTTGGGAGTAGGAGGAAGTCTTAATTTGTCCGTGGTAGATACCTTTAGGGTTTAGTTGAGTATTATATATTCAGTGCTGCTCTATTATTATTTATTTTGTATAAAGTGCAATCAATGGTTATATTAGAAAGTAGTTCATGGTTTATTAGTGATTAATTAAGGATTATGTTTATTCTTTATTGATTTAATTTATCTTATGGAACCTTCACACTTATGGTATTTTTTGGTTATTAAATTTTATTGGAGTCTTTTGTAATGCGTATAATTCCAAACCTTCACTCCTGAACTGTTGGGGTAAAGAGAGGGCTGTGTTTGGACCTAAGATGTGCTGAGCTGCCAATTTGTTTTTGCTGTGCCATATGTGCCCTCATTAGTATATTAATGTTTAACGTAATTCAAGTTCATAAGTCATGGCATAACAATACCTTTAAATTCTGTTTTTATTATATTTGTTATTTTGTATTATTTAGGTGAGGTTAAGTACACATGTTTATAGTTACTTGATTTGATCTTGTACTTAGAACGAATGAAGAGTGAGTTTGTAAGTTCGTTTTGTTTATGTATTTATAAATTATTTAAGAATTAATTTATATGTTAAAATTACCGAGTCATGAGTTTATATTTTATTATTGACTTCAGGAAGGATTTATATGTATTGTATTTTAGGATTACTGGAACAGATTAGAGTTTCAGGGTTACTCTACAACGGCTTAAGTGGATTAAACTGACTGATGGGAGAAATTATACTTTCCTTACATGGCCAGACTACTTCTCTGTTCTTCGACATGACTACACTAGAAGGAGTTGTCAACCCAAGCCTGGTCTACCCTATTACAAAGCTGGGACCTTGATCACAAACAGGGTGGGTCCTAGAGTACCTCATTGCGGTAGTCATTGAGAATTTTATTTTTTCATCCATTCTGTATGTAGTCCGTTTATGATCATTATTGCACGTGTCTCTGAGCCTGTGGTCATGTACTGTATTTAGTTCGCAGAGGGTGTAACTATGAATGAAGGACAATACGAATACATCCATTTGTAAATTTTGGTTCATTTAGTGTTATTGTAACCTGGAAAGTGAGTAAATTTGTCAGGTAGGATTTGCTTTCCGTGATGTCGTGTTGTGGTGCTTTGAGAACATTCCTGGGTGATGGCGTCCCTCAGAAGTTTTGGCTTGGTGGGTGTATGGTTAGGTTAAGTTTAGGCTAGATGGGTGTAAGGTTAGGTTTAGGCTAGGTGGCTTTCTTTGTTTCCACCAGTCTTGGGATGACGTTGCGTGAGTTCCAGTCCCTGAATTGGAGTTTTTTTAGTTGGGGTGTGTATTACGTTAGTCATACCTCTAATCACCTTGGCCTGTGCTCCGTCCACTCCAGGGGCTTTGAAATTATATCAGTCTAGTTATTTTCATGAGTATAATTACTGTCCTTTATAGTTAATTTCACGCCCGTTATTTATACATGTTACTAAGTACTGTTGCGTTATCCGTCTCTTGTATACAATGTAATGTGTGTTTTGTACTTTGCTATAACTTCCACAGGTATTATTTACTTCTGATGACTCCTGGATTTTTTATTCATCGACCTTGACTAATTCCCGGGGTATACATTCACCTACTGCTGTCACAAGGATTACCATAAACTCTTGCATTTATTCAACGGTGTCTGACCTCTCTAATGATATCTCCTGAGCCAATTATCTGTAGTTTGTCTCTCATGAACTGGAAATCACCATGGTTGTAGTTATAGTATTCCACCTCAACTACTTTCTCTCAACTATCAAAGATCTTGTGTGTAGTGGTAGCTGGGCGGAGTTAGTTCCCTCCCGACGTGGAACCTTCCCCCCCCCTCCCCCGACGTGGAACCTTCCCCCGACGTGGAACCTTCCCCCTCCCCCGACGTGGACCTCCTCCCTCCCCGACGTGGACCTCCTCGACGTGGACCTCCTCCCCTCCCCCGACGTGGGCCTCCTCCCCTCCCCCGACGTGGACCTCCCCCTACCATAGTCTCCTCCGTCAAGACTGTTGTCCTACTCTCGTGGGTTCCAACACGTGTTGTATGAGGTTCAGGAATTATTCTCCCTCAGTTTGCGTGGTAAAATTCATCCAGTCTATCCTCTCATGATTAAAATCTTCCATAATGAAGGCTTGTGCTCTGGATGCTGTTTGGATGACTGCAGATCTGCCACTTTCCCCATTTAATGCTCGTATAACCCCTGGAGCACACAATCTTACTATCAGATTATGCCACTTCTTGTAGCCCTGTCCTCACAGATCTGAACGTCTGGTTGTTCTCTGTCAGCATATTCCTTCAATACGTCAACTAGACTTATGTCATTCATGTAGAAACACATGATTGACCTAGTTTCAAAATATTATCCTCCCTGAGAGCTGTGAGTCTTGACGGTTAGTAAAATCACTCGTGTCTCCCTTGTCTCTGTTCCCTCTGTGTTAATACTATGACTTAATGTTACTTCATGGAGTGTATTGATATTATTTAGGGGTTAATGTCGCCTCATGTCCCCTACTGACGGCAGGAGAAGGCTGGGACACTACCTAGACCTTCCCATCTTCCTTGGCTTCTCCTGATCTTGTAAAACATAGATTGTGGGTCGTTGTGTAACTCTTTCAAAGTACCTCTGAGCTCTTTGTCGTTTTGTTGTTGTCAAATTATCAGGTTGAGTCAGTGGTGATGTAGACACTGTTGTACTCTGTTAATTGCTCGAGGTTCCGTGCCTTGAACAAGAACATTACTCCTGCGCTTGTTTTAGAGATGGTTATTCTCACCGACTGTACTGTGTGTTTCTCCGGTTATGTTACGTTAGGTCATGTCAGGTCATGGTAGGTTATGTTAGGTCAGGTCATGGTAGGTTATGTTAGGTCAGGTCATGGTAGGTTATGTTAGGTCAGGTCATGGTAGGTTATGTGTTAGGTTAGGTTATGATAGATTAGGTTCATTCATGTTAGGTTAGCGTCTGGATAAGCTGAGGTGCCTCATCTACAGGTTATCCTAATAATTTATTTTCCATTTTCTTTTATCTGTGACTTTAAATTCAGTCAAGCGATAAAGTAGAACACCTATCAGTTAGCCATGTGTGTGTGTGTATTAGTCTGTCCCGGAAGTCAAAAGGATTGTGAATTCTACGACATTGTATAGAAAATATAAAAACAGTATTGGTGTAGGATATACAGTATATAGTATAAATACTGTATAGTCAAAAATGTTAACCATACAGGAAACTAACTACTAAGTCACAGGTTATAGGGTTAATAATTTTATTGTACAGTAGCTTATAATTTATCGCAATTTACTGGAAAATATTGCATTGGGCAATCAGAGGACTGTTATCACTCCCCGTATAGCGAGGCAGAGTAGTACGCGTACAGTACCTGTCTGCTTCAAGTGTGTGTTCAGCAGGGATCAGTCGCTGTACATACGCTCGCTCACCAGTGCTGAGCCATTACGCGCTGTCCACCACTTGACTACGGACGTGCCGACGGCTTCTGCTCTGCCTTTGAATTCTTATATTACTGTACACAAAGTAAGTGGAAGACAGTGCCCCTCAGTAATGTCTAAATCATTATCAATGTGATCACCAAACTCAAAAGTATCAATACTTCTGAAAATCATAAATCCGGCTACATTATATTTACTTAAAAGTTAAATATTATTATTAAAACTGTTTTGGGGAATTCAAGAGGAATTCCGAGACCCTGCTTCATAGTAGAGAATGTAAGGGGGGGGGGGTGATGGCGGACAGTTAATAGTCTTAGTTTGTTTAAATAGGTCTATGTGTGTACGCCCCCCTTGTCCCTATTGGTTACCTGTAAATATGATAACACTAAAATTATTAAATAAATGTGACTGATGGAATTACAACTTATTTGTTTCCCTCGAACAGAATCAATCAGTGTGTGAGCTGTCAGTGTCAGCTAGAAGGGAGAGGAGCTGGTCTAGGATTGAGAGCTGACAGTCATAGCCCCAGGAAGGGCTGACAGTGGATGGCCCTACACACGATCAGCTGAAAACCTTACGTCATCACAGAACCAAAACAATACGGCAAGAACATGGCCGACCTTCAATACAAACTGGTAAGGTTTTGTTTAATAATTTCCCATTTCTGTAACAATAATAATGGTGAGAATCTACGCGTGTGTGTGTACGTGTACATCGGTCGGTCAGCCACCAGAAAAGTATTGACGCTTTTACTAACCAAGTATCGTCTCGTGAGCGAAGATAAACGTGTCTCAGCAGACCAGAATCTGGAACAGTTGGTAGCCCTGATGAGGTGTACGGTCCACACACCTCCCACCACGGTGTTGAGAGACATAATGCACACGGCTGGAGAAGGAAATAGAGAGTTATGAAACAAGAAGAGTCTGTTTAGTTTAACAAATTTAGTGACAAAGCTTGGAGTACAGTTTGCTTATTCTGAAGTGAGATGACATTATTCTTGTTATCGATTCTTGTTAACGATATTGTTTGAAAGGAAAGTACGGTATCATTGTCCATTAACTGACAGAGTAGGGAAGACATGAATTAAGGTCAGTCAGTCAAATATCTAAATCTCCCGTCACAAATCCAAAATAATTAAATTCTCTCTTAAATCCTGGAATGTTTTATTATACGAAGGACTTGCACTTGGCTTTGCGGGCTGTTAAAACAACATCTGGCAACACAAGGCTTGGAGGAAGATGCCATGGGTCGCTGCAAAACGACCTTGTGTAAAACTATCACAAAGTTCTATCTTATCATAATTGTTAGAATAGTGTAATTATTAACATCACTATACGCGTTTATGGACATTCGTTTTAAACTATGAATATGACTATTTATCTTAGGCCGTGAATTAAAGAACTTGGAATTGCATTAAGTCGGGAACATCACCACACCAAGTCAATGAAGGATGTTTTATAAATATAATGATTTAATAACTACTACTTAGCCAGAAAAATGCTGAAAATGAATAAAACGGTAAATTATTTAAACAATTATTCCTTCCTTGGTAATAATTTTTGCTTTTCTACGTGAATATTGTAATAAGTATTGATAACATAACACGGGTTAATAACAGGGTGTTAACGTTATGAAACTGGTTAAAAATAAGTAAGTTGCATGATGGTTCGCCTTCCGGTCACCAGTGTACCGAGTCGTACTCCAGCACCGTGATAAATGCCGACTTACTGGAGCTAACTATCTTACTTTGACTTTATAAACATAATTATGTAGTAAGAACACGTTTGTATATTCTACTACTACTATTCCCTCTACTACTACTATTACTTCTGCGCCCATTACTACTACGATGTTGTTCCTTTAAAAAAATTATGAATGATATGTACAGGTAAATTAAGTATGGGTGCCAAGAAACAGAAGATTGTGTAGTACAATTATCTGCTGACATACACGGGACTTTGTTTCTCCTTGAAGAAAACGAATACAAGGAAGGAGGGACAGTGCAAGTGTGTGGCCGCGTATAAACAAGTGTCGCGGTTTAAGTGTGGCCACAAACAAGTGTCAAAGTGTGGCCATAAACAGATGACTCGATTTAAGTGTGGCCACAAGCAAGTGCCTGAGTTTAAGTGTGGCCACATAAACAAGTTTATCATTGTAAGAGGTAACATTTAAACAAGTTTCTTAGTTTAAGTGTCTAATTGTTACAGTGGCCACATTTAAATAAGAGAGTGGCTTCACGTGAACAAGTGCAATGTTTAGGGGAGAAGGAGCAGTGTCATGCAATATCAGGGGTGCCAACCTCACCATATGTTCCAAATTGTTTCCATATTTTTATGAATATTTCCCTAACTGTATAATGCCTCAGCGTGTATAAATGAATATGTATACATGTATTTACGTGTTGATATGTATTATTTTGTTTATATAAGATGAATTAAATGTTAGGTAATGTAGAATAGTCCCTTAAAGGTATTCAGCACACCAGTTTGTTTATCAGAGGTTGAGAATGAGATAGTGTTATTGTACTGTATGCTACTGATTGTACTGCCGGGGGGGATATCACCTCTTGTTGAAATAGTGTTGTGGTAATTTTTTTTTTCACACCTGTTGCTCATGCTATCCACAATGTAACATACAGTACTGAACAAGCCGTGATGTGTGTATGGGGTTAAGTTGTATCGTCCAGGTCTGTTTGATATGTATAGTAATGGTGGAAGTATGATCTGGGAGAGAGAGGGGTGGGGAATTAGAGAGACAGGAAGGGAAACAGAGAGAGGTTTTTACAGTTTACTTTCACAGCAACTTGTTGATATCTCACCCACACTTGCTGATTAATACAGACTTCTTCACCTGTAGTTGATGTTGACAGGTAAACAGTGCCAAGGTGGGTGACGTCTCGGGGGTGGAGAAGGCTCTGGGGGAGGGGGCGAGGGTGGATGACCAAGACCTCACGTCAGGCAGAGCCCCCATACACCACGCTAGTGCCGCCGGTCACGTCGACATCGTCAGACTGCTCCTGGCCCGTGGCGCCCAGGTTGACCTCGCCAGCACACACCCAGGGGATGCGGGTGAGTTACCGAGGCGAGGCTGCTGTCGTAAATCAACGCCACTGCAGGCAAAGGACGGGTGAAAAATCGTTAAGGGTGTCATTTAAGGCGTTACAGTTAGCCCTCAGCAGCGTCTGGCGTTCTTTTGAAAGTCTGCATTGATGAGTTTGTGGAAGTTACTCCATACACTGATGGTAACATAATCCAGCACCAGTATTGGCAGTGAGGGAGTGAACCGTCGTCTGTGATACCCATCGATAAACGTGTCAATGCAGAGGTGTAGGTAACGCCAGGCGCTGATGGCAGGGTCATGGTTTGTGTTGTGTTCATCGTGGTCACTTGTAATATGTACCTGGATGATAACTTTATACTAGTTTGGTAAGCCTGAGCTTAGTGAAATTAAGATTAGGTTAGTTTAGCTTTGACGAATTCTTATAGGTTAAGTTAGGTGTGGTTAAGTTAGTTTTAGCTGTCTTAAGTTGGGCAAGGATGGCTAAGGGGCATATCTTAGGATGAATTAGCTTAACTTTCCTTTATCCTAGGTTAAATAAAGTCAGCTGTGATAAAGGTGGGTTAATTTAATGATTGGTTAAGTTATATCAGACTCGCACACCTAAAGCATCACCCTCAACCACCACAGGAGCGACACCAGTACACTTGGCGGCGGAGGGCGGCTACAGCCAGGTACTCACAGCGTTACTGGCTGCAGGTGCTGTGCCTGACATCTACGACTACAACAGTAAGAAACTAAAGCATTTGTCCTCACCTGTTCCCTTGTTTGTTGTTGTTTACAGGTGTTTTGTCTCTTCTATTGATGTTTTGTTTACCTTGAGGTTTTCTTGTTTGCACCTGTTGCCTCTTCTCTCTACCTGAGGCATACTACACCTGGAGGTATATGGTCATTGAGGTGTGTGTGTGTGTGTGTGTGTGTACACGAATATAAACTAGAGTAGATCTTATCGGTTGTAATTACTCAGGTGAACTTTATTGTTAAGGTTTGCAAGTCAGTTGGTGCCAATACTTAGTGTCCAGCCTATTATGGTACAACCTACATGGTACAGTATGTAGTACAATATACTGTACATGGTACAATATATAGGTACATGGCGCAATTCTAACAATGTGATGAGTTTCCCGCCACTTGATTGTTCCTGCCAATTTCGAGCTAATAGTATGAAGGCCTTACGCCTGTCTTCGACCAATGAGAGCCTATGAGGCGTGACGTCATGAAAGTTGTGGCGTTCTCTGTAGGCTGACACTGTTTGCAAAGTGGAGTCTGTGTTTGGTCAGAGTTAAGTGTGGTTGTGTCGTGGGTGTCACCCCCTCATATGGCGGCTATAACCTCGGTACCTATTAGGTTTGATCAGTTTCTCGAAATTAGTGTGAGTCATGGACCCCTTGGTTAGCAAGCTATTAAGGATAGGTTTATTGTTTTGAAGTGTAATTGTCAAACCCTAATAGAGGATATTTAATAAATACAGCAACCGTTAATAAAAGTGCTCATTCATCCCTCCCTTGTTGGGAAAGGTTGATGTTATAAATGTCTTGGTATTATGCAGTAATACGGGGAGTTCTATAGTATATATTAACTATCCTATACTTCCCCTCTGTGAAGTATTGTATCTTAGTCCCCATAACCAGCTCCCCTGAGTCTCCCCCCTGGTGTAGGCTGACCACAAACCGTTAGTCCTGTACTCCCCTCCCCTCACAGCCTCTCCTCAAACGTAAACAATTACCTCTCCCTCCCTCACGAGTATTAGGAGAAAGAATAACAGGAATAAGTCAAATAAAGAGTAAGAAGAATAAGTATACTGTATACTGTAAATAAGTAAGTATAAACAAAGAATTAAAAAGACGATAAAGGAGTAATTTGTTACATTATATATGTTACATATAATACATGTGTGGTACAATATGCTGTACATGGTGCAACATACATGGTACAGTATATGTGGTACAATATGCTGTACATGGTGCAAATATACATGGTACAGTATATGTGGTACAATATGCTGTACATGGTGCAACATACATGGTACAGTATATGTGGTACAATATGCTGTACATGGTGCAACATACATGGTGGCACAATATGTATGGTACGTGGTACAATATGGGTATGTACATGGTGCAAACATACATGGTACAGTATATGCTGGTACATACATGGTGGTACAATATGCTGTACATGGTGCAACATACATGGTACAGTATATGTGGTACAATATGCTGTACATGGTGCAACATACATGGTACAGTATATGTGGTACAATATGCTGTACATGGTGCAACATACATGGTACAGTATATGTGGTACAATATGCTGTACATGGTGCAACATACATGGTGCAACATACATGGTACAGTGTATGTGGTACAATATGCTGTACATGGTGCAGCATACATGGTACAGTGTATGTGGTACAATATACTGTACATGGTACAGTATATGTGGTATTGTGGTACAATATACTGTACATGGTACAAAATACATTGTACTGTATATGTGGTACAATATACATGATACAATATACTGTACATGGTACAATATATTGTACATGGTACAACATGCATGGTACAATATATATGGTATAATATATATGGTACAACATACATGATACAGCATACATGATACATACTGTACATGGTACAACATACATGGTACAGTATACATGGTACAATATCCTGTACATGGTACAACATACATGGTACAACTTATATGGTACAACATACATGGTACAACATATATGGTACAACTTATATGGTACAACTTACATGGTACAACTTACATGGTACAATATACAGGGCATATGGTACAATATATATATGTGAAGGGAAGTACTTGGTCAGGACCCACTACCCTTTACAGACCTACAGCCAGTTCACCGGGCAGCTATCCGTGGCCGCAGGGAGGTCTTGGAGGTGCTTCTAGACCATGGCTGTGACCTCTCATCAAGGGCAGGGGACTGGACAACACCCCTGCACCATGCTGCCGCCCAGGGCCACTTGTTTCTGGTCAAATGGCTCGTCAAGAACGGTGGGAGGCTGGACCTGACGGATAAGGCGGGTCGCACGCCACAGGAGTACTCCAGGGTCAGGTACCATCGCCGGGTCTATCGCTACTTCAAGAACATCATGAAAGCCGTAAGTGTTAACGGTGGACTTATCACTTTCGTGTCCAGAGTTTTACTTATTTTGATGATTAATATATTGAGTGCATATTGACATAAAGTTTGATGTGTGGGCTATTAAAGCCTTATTATGAAGTAATAAAGAAATGCAACAACTATAGCTCCCTGTGTCATAGTAACTTACGTTGTTGAGTGCGGAAGTTAATGACAAGTCTTGTGAATCGCCTTCGTTATCATCTTGGTCTGTGCTCCGTCCACTCCTGGTGCTTTACATTTTTCCAGGGTGGCTGTCGCTTCCTTGACAGTTTCATCTGTGATTGGAATCTCTCTTTAATTTATATTCCACCCCAGAGGTATGCATCCTCTTAAGTACTGTACTGGCATGTTGTCCAGTATCTCTTTGTGTGAATATGATACAAAGTATTCGTTTAGAGCATCAACTGACTGCTTTTCATCCTCCAGAGCTTTTGTTTTCATTATTTTAGAGGGGCAACAGTAACTAATGTCTTATATTTGCTTCTGGTGTATGCATAAAGGACTTGGGGGGGAGGGGGGGGGGGTCTCTCTCTCGATGTTTTGGGTCAATGTCTTATTGAAATATCATTTTGTTGATCTAATTTCTTGTTTGGGATATATAATGTTTTGTGCCCTGGTATATATTGCTCAAGTAGTATTTTATTTTGATGGTTTTTTTTTTTGCCTTTTTAATTCATTCATGTGGACTTCCTTTCTCTTTTCCTTGACCTCCAGGGTACCAATTCTTCTACTGTAGCCATGAGGATTTCTTTAAATATTTTCCATAATTCTTCTGTATCTGATATTCTTCATACCGGATATTCACTGTAGTTCCCCTATATAGGTCTTGGTAGTTCCCCTGGTTGAAGTATTCTGTCTCACTTGACCTAACCCAGCTTTTGAAGATCCACTATAGTCTGTAAGTGTCGCTGGCAGAAGTTATTTTTCCCCAATGTGGAACTCTTGTATTGACTCCTCAGTTGTCAAGATCAAATCCAGAATATTGTCTTTCCTCGTGGGTTTTGACATATGTTCTGGGAGGAATGAGTCTTATGAGATCGAGGAATTCCTCTCTTTCAGCTTGAGAGATAAGATTCACCCAGTCTGTGGTCCCGTGATTAAAATCTTCCGTAATGCGTGCGTGTGATATGGATGACTAAGAAAGTTTCCTACCTCTCCCCTTCTGATGCAGAGTCATTCCAGTAGTACACACCTCCTGTCAGCCTGCTATTATTTTGTGCTTTTAATTCACACTAAATAAATTCAGATGATCTCATTTCAATTAGCTTGTCTTTGCACCTTACTGTCGGGTGTTATTTGACACACAGTAGCACAACCACCACCTCTTGTAGCCCTGTCCTTTCAAATTGAGTTGGGTGCTACCCCAGTAAAAAATTGCACCTGATGTTTACTTGTTCAGTATTCGATCTTACTAACAAGACTTCTGGGATCATTGTACTGTACTTACACTTTGTAGCCCAGGTGTGTACTAATACTTTGCTGTCACTCAGAATTAATTATAACTGTCATCCAGCCATGATACAATGATATGAGTTATTAGGGATGTCACCTAGGTTGGGGAGTTTTGAGGTGACTAAAGAGACCAATACGGGACCCTCAGCGTCGTTCACATTTGTTGGACATGTAGAGGGCTCCATCTACTGCGGGAGGGGCGGTGGCTGCGTCTTTCCGGCGTTGGTGCTTGTCTGCCTCGGTTTGCAGTCGGGCTAACTCGAAAGTATTGACACCTTCACGTGTGGTGCTCTTCCAAGCGTTATGTTATGGAGTAATCGACTCCCAGGTAAGGGGGTCGATTTGGTACTTTTTCAGGTTTGTCTTAAGACTATCCTTATACCTTTTCAATTGCCTGCCGGCTTTACGTTTACTATTTGTTAGGTGACTGTAAAGTAGCTGCTTTGGCAGTCTACTGTTGTCCATGCAGGTAACATGGCCAGTCCAACGTAGTTGTTCATGGATAATGGTAGCCTCGATGCTCCTACAGTTGGTGTCTGCAAAAATACTAGCATTTGTTCTCTTGTCTTCCCAGTGAACTCAGAGGATGGAATGTAGACTACTTTGGTGAAAGTTTTCAAGTGCCTTGAGGTGCCTCCTGTATGTGACCCATGTCTCGCTGCCATATAGCAGGGTGGGGAGGACCAATGCTCGATATACGTGCAGCTTTGTAGATAATTTCAGCTCCCTACAGCTCAAGACACGATTTCGGAGCCTGCCAAAGGCTTGAGATGCACATCTGATCCGATGCTGAATCTCTTCACCGATGTCTGCGGTGGTGGACAGGTGGGAGCCGAGATACCGAAAGTGGGCAACATAAGAGAGGGTAGTACCGTTAAGCTGGATGGATGGTGGAGGTGTGTCTGAACCAGGGGCAGGTTGAAAGAGAATCTGAGTCTTATGTACATTCACCTCAAGGCTGAAGTGTGCATACGCGTCTGCCTAGGTGTTCAGGATCTCCTTTAGGTCGTGTTCAGTGTGAGCAACAAGGATGAGGTCGTCTGCATACTGAAGTTCAGTAATAGATGCTGCCGACACCTTTGTTCTTGCCTGGAGTCATCTTATGTTGAAAAGACCGCGCTGGCTAAATTGGCACTGGCACGAGTAAGGAAGGCAGTGTTGTCATCCTAGAAGGTTGTGAGTTAGTGGAAGTATTCTCATTTGTTCTTTGAAGTAGTGATTGTTGTGGGTTAATTGTAAAACTTAAAGCTAGAGCATGGGGAGGGAAGTCTCCCTCCCAACCTCGACCAGTGATGAGTGTGACTCCATCTTCTGTCGATAGAGATGTGAAAGTGATCTGCGTGGAAGGGGCTGCAGGGCCTTTATATTGGAGGAGAGCCGGCAGATGACCTCTCCTAATTAACACTAAACTGGTTAGATCGGGACAGCTGTGTTTCTCCAGGTGTGTGGTCATGTCGCCTGCCGGTAATGCTTCCTAATTATTACCATCTGGGTGTGGTGTCTTTAACATGATGACCGCAGGGTTAACTCAAGTACTTTGTGGCCGCCAGCTCTCCTGGGCTGTCACTGTAGGGTGTGTCAACCTATGTGGGTTACCACGTGGGCACCTTACTGTTGTATGTGTTGTTCTTCTCTGGGCTGAAAGGTGTGGTCTGATAAACATTACACCTCCCACCAAGACCAAAGCTTCCATACCAGAGAATTGATGACACATATAGACAGTAATATCATGTGCAGTATCTAAAATAGTCCCTGAGGCGATAATACAATCTCGCATTTACAAACAATAATCTCATAGATACTGGTATGTACGTTTTTCTACTGGCTTGGTTTGATCTGACAAAACTTGCTATAATTAAGTGTAATAGTGTGTAATAATAAGGTAACACCATTACACTCATCCCCAACATAATTAACATACAAAGGCCAAGAAAGTTTGCATAATATTTAGTGAAAACCGTATCATGATTATAGTATTACAATCTTTGTTTAGTTCCTTCATTTTATTATCCCTGAAGATTGTAGTAACTTGAAGTTCGTAATTCCTGAGGAGCGTGTATACCGGGTAACTTTATTGGCCTCGTCATAGTCATAATCAATCGCGTACTAATCGAAATCTTTCTCTGTACTCTAAAAATCGCCACACAGATTCTTCATCAACTAGAGCATTGATTATTGATGCCGGCAACATTTCAGTTTAATTATAAGACTAGCATTCGTTGGGTCAGGCTCACTATCAAGGTCAATGCATGTCTTGTCACTGTCCACTTCTACCTCCTCACAGTCTGTATGTTCTTGTTGTGATACATTAGTGTCACTGTTTGTGTTACCATTAGACACACTTTCATCATTTTCATCCTCACTTTCATCGCCATTATTGCCGTCAGTGCATGTCATGTAACTCTGTACCAGAACACAGTCTGCAAGAAGGTCTTGTGATGCATAGCAGTCACTTTTTGTACTATGAGTATACCAAAATCACTATAGCCAAGCATGGCTGGGGTATCCACGTGAGCACTGGCGTCAATAAACACGCGCTCGGGAATAATGGGCTCCTGAACCCACACCAGAAGGCCTGGCCTCACTCGACTCTTGCACGAATATCTGGCAGATATTGCACAGCACTTCTCACACCCGTGGAACATGAATAATGTCAATTTTATGCCGAAAAGTTATAAAAAATAGCATTAGAAAATACACTGAACCTCCTTATGCTATACAATGCGCCAAAATTAAGGAGGCAGCATCTGGGCGTGCAAATTGGCCAGGGAGCTGTGACATAGCAAGGGGAAATCCACTGCGATTGGCTGCCTCATGGGGGGTATGGTCTGATTGGCTGCCTCATGGGGGGTATGGTCTCGCGCTGTCATTGGCTCGTGCTCCTCTCGTTCTGAATGGGATGTTGCCACTTTCTAAGTGAGTGCACAGCCAGCAGATACAGCTCCAGGCCTGAAGCGAAATCACACATTACATTTTAAGTACTTTACACCATATTTCTATTCTAGCTAGAGGGTTACATCCAACCCAACATGTAGAGGAAGGGTGAAAATAGTGATATCCGTCCAAAAACGCATTTTGTCTGGGTTGTCGCTTTACCCCCTTCTGATGCGGAGCGCCTCATATTAAGAAGTGCCATTTAATCAATGAAACACAGAGTAAAAGACATGTTGCAGCAAAGTTCAGTGGCTGATATTGTTTAATTTATTTTCATTCTTTATTCCCTTTTTCAGGTAAGAAGACCACTCAGTGCCACACAAAAGCCATTCATGTATAACATCCGAAGTTATCAGTCCAAGACCAAAGCACCCAACCCAATCACACTTTCCAGATTGCCTATACCCAAACAGGACTATGAGAAGATGCGTCGCTTGAACTTGAACTTGAACAACAAGCAAATCACACCAAGACATCCAGCTAAACCATTTGTTCACACAAAGAAAAACCTACCAGCAAGCACAACCCCAAAGACAGACTCGCTGCCAGTTAGCAAGACCACAACGAGTGAACAGCAGTCCAAGGACTTGGCAGTTAACAAGACCTCAAAGAGTGAACCACATTCCAAGGACTTGGCAGTTAACAAGACCACGAAGAGTGAACCACAGTCCAAGGACTTGGCAGTTAACAAGACTGCAAAGAGTGAACCACAGTCCAAGGACTTGCCAGTTAACAAGACTGCAAAGAGTGAACCACAGTCCAAGGACTTGCCAGTTAACAAGACCACAAAGACTGAACCACAGCCCAAGGACTTGGCAGTTAACAAGACCTCAAAGAGTGAACAGCAATCCAAGGACTTGCCAGTTAACAAGACTGCAAAGAGTGAACCACAGTTCAAGGACTTGCCAGTTAACAAGACCACAAAGAGTGAACCACAGTCCAAGGACATGCCAGTTAAAAAGACCACAAAGAGTGACCCACATTCCAGGGACCTGCCAGTTAACAAGACCACAAAGACTGAACCACAACCCAAGGACTTGCCAGTTAACAAGACCTCAAAGAGTGAACAGCAGACCAAGGACTTGCCAGTTAACAAGACGTCAAAGAGTGAACAGCAGACCAAGGACTTGGCAGTTAACAAGACCTCAAAGAGTGAACAGCAGACCAAGGACTTTGCATTTAACAAGACCTCAAAGAGTGAACCACAGCCCAAGGACTTGGCAGTTAACAAGACCTCAAAGAGTGAACAGCAGCCCAAGGACTTGCCAGTTAACAAGACGTCAAAGACTGAACCACAGCCCAAGGACTTGCCAGTTAACAAGACCTCAAAGAGTGAACAGCAGACCAAGGACTTTGCAGTTAACAAGACCTCAAAGAGTGAACAGCAGACCAAGGACTTTGCAGTTAACAAGACCTCAAAGAGTGAACAGCAGACCAAGGACTTGCCAGTTAACAAGACCTCAAAGATTGAACAGCAGACCAAGGACTTTACAGTTAACAAGACCACAAAGACTGAACCACAGTCCAAGGACTTGCCAGTTAACAAGACCTCAAAGAGTGAACAGCAGACCAAGGACTTGGTAGTTAACAAGACCTCAAAGAGTGAACAGCAGACCAAGGACTTTACAGTTAAGACCACAAAGACTGAACCACAGTCGAAGGACTTGCCAGTTAACAAGACCTCAAAGATTGAACCACAGTTCAAGGAATTGCCAGTTAACAAGACCTCAAAGACTGAACCACAGTTCAAGGACTTGCCAGTTAACAAGACCTCAAAGACTGAACCACAGTTCAAGGACTTGTCAGTTAACAAGACCTCAAAGACTAAACCACAGCCCAAGGACTTGCCAGTTAACAAGACTACAAAGACTGAACCACAGTCCAAGGACTTGCCAGTTAACAAGACCTTAAAGACTGAACCACTGTTCAAGGACTTGCCAGTTAACAAGACTTCAAAGACTGAACCACAGTCCAAGGACTTGCCAGTTAACAAGATGACAAAGACTGAACCACAGTCAGACTTAACTTCAAGACCACAAAGGACTTGCCAGTTAACAAGACTTCAAAGACTGAACCACAGTCCAAGGACTTGCCAGTTAACAAGACTTCAAAGACTGAACCACAGCCCAAGGACTTGCCAGTTAACAAGACCTCAAAGACTGAACCACAGCCCAAGGACTTGCCAGTTAACAAGACCTCAAAGACTGAACCACAGCCCAAGGACTTGCCAGTTAACAAGATGACAAAGACTTGCCAGTTAACAAGACCTCAAAGACTGAACCACAGTCCAAGGACTTGCCAGTTAACAAGACTGCAAAGACTGAACCACAGTTCAAGGACTTGCCAGTTAACAAGACTTCAAAGACTGAACCACAGTTCAAGGACTTGCCAGTTAACAAGACCTCAAAGACTGAACCACAGTTCAAGGACTTGCCAGTTAACAAGACTGCAAAGACTGAACCACAGTCCAAGGACTTGCCAGTTAACAAGACTTCAAAGACTGAACCACAGTCCAAGGACTTGCCAGTTAACAAGACTTCAAAGACTGAACCACAGTCCAAGGACTTGCCAGTTAACAAGACTCAAAGACTGAACCACAGTCCAAGGACTTGCCAGTTAACAAGACCTCAAAGACTGAACCACAGTCCAAGGACTTGCCAGTTAACAAGACTGACAAAGACTGAACACAGTCCAAGGACTTGCCAGTTAACAAGACTTCAAAGACTGAACCACAGTCCAAGGACTTGCCAGTTAACAAGACTCAAAGACTGAACCACAGTCCAAGGACTTGCCAGTTAACAAGACTCAAAGACTGAACCACAGTCCAAGGACTTGCCAGTTAACAAGACTTGCCAGTTAACAAGACTGCAAAGACTGAACCACAGTCCAAGGACTTGCCAGTTAACAAGACTGCAAAGACTGAACCACAGTCCAAGGACTTGCCAGTTAACAAGACTGCAAAGACTGAACCACAGTCCAAGGACTTGCCAGTTAACAAGACTGCAAAGACTGAACCACAGTCCAAGGACTTGCAGTTAACAAGACTGCAAAGACTGAACCACAGTCCAAGGACTTGGCAGTTAACAAGACTGCAAAGACTGAACCACAGTCCAAGGACTTGGCAGTTAACAAGACTGCAAAGACTGAACCACAGTCCAAGGACTTGCCAGTTAACAAGACTGCAAAGACTGAACCACAGTCCAATGACTTGCCAGTTAACAAGACTGCAAAGACTGAACCACAGTTCAAGGACTTGCCAGTTAACAAGACTGCAAAGACTGAACCACAGTCCAAGGACTTGCCAGTTAACAAGACTGCAAAGACTGAACCACAGTCCAAGGACTTGCCAGTTAACAAGACTGCAAAGACTGAACCACAGTCCAAGGACTTGCCAGTTAACAAGACCTCAAAGACTGAACCACAGTCCAAGGACTTGCCAGTTAACAAGACCTCAAAGACTGAACCACAGTTCAAGGACTTGCCAGTTAACAAGACCTCAAAGACTGAACCACAGTCCAAGGACTTGCCAGTTAACAAGACCACAAAGACTGAACCACAGCCCAAGGACTTGCCAGTTAACAAGACCTCAAAGACTGAACCACAGTTCAAGGACTTGCCAGTTAACAAGACCTCAAAGACTGAACCACAGTCCAAGGACTTGCCAGTTAACAAGACTTCAAAGACTGAACCACAGTTCAAGGACTTGCTAGTTAACAAGACCTCAAAGACTGAACCACAGTCCAAGGACTTGCCAGTTAACAAGACCTCAAAGATTGAACCACAGTTCAAGGACTTGCCAGTTAACAAGACTTCAAAGACTGAACCACAGTTCAAGGACTTGCCAGTTAACAAGACCACAAAGACTGAACCACAGTTCAAGGACTTGCCAGTTAACAAGACCACAAAGACTGAACCACAGTCCAAGGACTTGCCAGTTAACAAGACCTCAAAGACTGAACCACAGTTCAAGGACTTGCCAGTTAACAAGACCACAAAGACTGAACCACAGTCCAAGGACTTGCCAGTTAACAAGACCTTAAAGACTGAACCACAGCCCAAAGACTTGCCAGTTAACAAGACCCCAAAGACTGAACCACAGCCCAAAGACTTGGTTAATAAGACCACAAAGACTGAACCACAGCCCGAGGACTTGCCAGTTAACAAGACCTCAAAGACTGAACCACAGCCCAAGGACTTGGCAGTTAACAAGACCTCAAAGACTGAACCACAGCCCATGGACTTGTCAGTTAACAAGACCTTAAATACTGAACCACAGCCCAAGGACTTGGCAGTTAACAGGACCTCAAAGATTGAACCACAGCCCAGGGACTTGCCAGTTAACAAGACCTTAAAGACTGAACCACAACTCAGGGACTTGGTAGTTAACAAGACCTCAAAGACTGAACCACAGCCCAAGGAGTTGCCGTTTAACGAGATTTCAAAGAGTGAACCACATGCCAATGGCTTGCCAGTTAACACAAACTCAAACAAAGATTCCATATTCCGAGAACTACAAATTAACTCAAGTTTAAAGAAAGTAGAGCTGCCATCAGAAGTCCACGTAACTAAAACTGTTTCCTTTAAGGAAGAGGAAGAACCTGTACCTGTGGGTGGTAATTCAAATAAGAATCTATCACCGATATTTGGGTCAAGTAAAGCAATTCTCAAGAGGGGTAACAGACCAATTGTGGATGCACATGTAAAAGAATCCCTCGACACAAACTTGTCTCCAGGTAAACACCACAAAAATGAACCATCGACTTTAAATGGAACAAATTTGGCGTCCCATAAGGTGGGCGATGAGCACCTGTCGGGTAATAATGAAAAGAGAACGGATTCTTCAGAGGAGAAATTGCCAGGTGAACCTGATGAAGAGACGCTAAGAACAGATGACAGTCGAACTGATAAGAGAGAAGTCCATAAGATGGAAATAAAAGAAGAATTGGAAACAAACGGCTCACACACAGAAGAACTGCAGACACTGCAACCTAAATCGAAAGAAAACAGAATGGAAGTTTCAAAAAGAAGAGAACTAATGATGGAAGTTACAAAGATAAAAGAAATAGAGACTGAAGAACACACAATAAAAGAACCAAAGATGTTAGAAAGGAAGATGGAGGAACGAAGCAAACAACTATTAAAGATGATAGAAGAGACAGGAGAATTAAAGGGAAAAGAATCAGAGGCAGTTGAACCTCAGACGAAGGAAGTGAAGACAGTTGAACCTCAGACGAAGGAAGTGAAGACAGTTGAACCTCAGACGAAGGAAGTGAAGACAGTTGAACCTCAGACGAAGGAAGTGAAGACAGTTGATCCTCAGACGGTTGAACCTCAGACGAAGGAAATGAAGACAGTTGAACCTCAGACGAAGGGGAGGAAGATAGTTGAACCTCAGACGAAGGAAGTGAAGACAGTTGAACCTCAGACGAAGGAAGTGAAGACAGTTGAACCTCAGACGAAGGAAGTGAAGACAGTTGAACCTCAGACGAAGGAAGTGAAGACAGTGAAGACAGTTGAACCTCAGACGAAGGAAGTGAAGACAGTGAAGATAGTGAACCTCAGACGAAGGAAGTGAAGACAGTGAAGACAGTTGAACCTCAGACGAAGAAGTGAAGTGAACCTCAGACAAGGAAGTGAAGACAGTTGAACCTCAGACGAAGGAAGTGAAGACAGTTGAACCTCAGACGAAGGAAGTGAAGACAGTTGAACCTCAGACGAAGGAAGTGAAGACAGTTGAACCTCAGACGAAGGAAGTGAAGACAGTTGAACCTCAGACGAAGGAAGTGAAGACAGTTGAACCTCAGACGAAGGAAGTGAAGACAGTTGAACCTCAGACGAAGGAAGTGAAGACAGTTGAACCTCAGACGAAGGAAGTGAAGACAGTTGAACCTCAGACGAAGAAGTGAAGACAGTTGAACCCCAGATTGAAGAAGTGAAGACAGTTGAACCCCAGATTGAAGAAGTGAAGACAGTTGAACCTCAGGCTAAAGAAGTGAAGATAGTTGAACCTCAGACTAAAGTGAAGATAGTTGAACCTCAGACTAAAGTGAAGATAGTTGAACCCCAGACTAAAGTGAAGATAGTTGAACCCCCAGACCTAAAAAGTGGAAGATAGTTGGAACTCAGACTGAAGTGAAGACAGTTGAACCTCAGGCTAAAGAAGTGAAGACAGTTGAACCCCAGATTGAAGAAGTGAAGACAGTTGAACCTCAGGCTAAAGAAGTGAAGACAGTTGAACCCCAGACTAAAGAAGTGAAGATAGTTGAACCCCAGACTAAAGAAGTGAAGATAGTTGAACCCCAGACTAAAGAAGTGAAGATAGTTGAACCCCAGACTAAAGAAGTGAAGATAGTTGAACCCCAGATTGAAGAAGTGAAGACAGTTGAACCTCAGGCTAAAGAAGTGAAGACAGTTGAACCTCAGGCTAAAGAAGTGAAGACAGTTGAACCCCAGACTAAAGAAGTGAAGACAGTTGAACCTCAGACTAAGGAAGTGAAGAAAGTTGAACCTCAGATGAAGGAAATTAAGACAGTTGAACCTCAGATGAAGGAAGTGAAGACAGTTGAACCCCAGACTAAAGAAGTGAAGACAATTGAACCTCAGACTAAAAAGCTGAAGACTGTTGAACCCCAGACTGAAGAACTGAAGACAGTTGAACCTCATACTGAAGTAAAGACAGTTGAACCTCAGGCTAAAGGAGTGAAGACTGTTGAACCTCAGACTAAAGGAGTGAAGACAGTTCAACCTCAGACTAAAAAGCTGAAGACTGTTGAACCCCAGACTGAAGAACTGAAGACAGTTGAACCCCAGACTAAAGGAGTGAAGACAGTTGAACCTCAGACTAAAGGAGTGAAGACAGTTGAACCTCAGACTAAAAAACTGAAGACTGTTGAACCCCAGACTGAAGAACTGAAGACAGTTGAACCTCAGGCTAAAGGAGTGAAGACAGTTGAACCCCAGACTAAAGGAGTGAAGACAGTTGAACCCCAGACTAAAGAAGTGAAGATAGTTGAACCCCAGACTAAAGAAGTGAAGATAGTTGAACCCCAGATTGAAGAAGTGAAGACAGTTGAACCTCAGGCTAAAGAAGTGAAGATAGTTGAACCCCAGACTAAAGAAGTGAAGATAGTTGAACCCCAGATTGAAGTGAAGACAGTTGAACCTCAGACTAAAGAAGTGAAGACAGTTGAACCTCAGATGAAGGAAATTAAGACAGTTGAACCTCAGATGAAGGAAGTGAAGACAGTTGAACCCCAGACTAAAGGTGAAGACAGTTGAACCCCAGACTAAAGTGAAGACAGTTGATAAAGAGGAAGACAGAAACTTAAAGACTGAAGAAGAAGACCCCCAGACTCCTCAGATGAAGGAAATTAAGACAGTTGAAGTTGAACCTCAGATGAAGGAAGTGAAGACAGTTGAACCCCAGACTAAAGGAGTGAAGACAGTTGAACCCCAGACTAAAGGAGTGAAGACAGTTGAACCCCAGACTAAAGGAGTGAAGACAGTTGAACCCCAGACTAAAGAAGTGAAGACAGTTGAACCCCAGACTAAAGGAGTGAAGACAGTTGAACCTCATACTGAAGAAGTAAAGATAGTTGAACCCCAGACTGAAGGAGTGAAGACAGTTGAACCCCAGACTGAAGGAGTGAAGACAGTTGAACCCCAGACTAAAGGAGTGAAGACAGTTGAACCCCAGACTGAAGAAGTAAAGACAGTTGAACCCCAGACTGAAGGAGTGAAGACAGTTGAACCTCAGACAGTTGAACCCCAAACTATAGAAGTAAAGACAGTTGAACCCCAGACTGAAGGAATGAAGACAGTTGAACCTCAGACATTTGAACCCCACACAAAAGAGGAAGATTCCACAGTGCCTGAAATACTAGATCAAGACTCAGTAAAACACAAGACCGTTAATAAAATCACTGGGGAAGGAAAGGGAGAAGAGAGACAGATAGAGGAATTAAAGAAAATGAAAGATAAAGACAATAAGGAATTAAAGAGAGGATATGCAAAGACAGAACACAAGGAAGAGGTGGGAATGAAAGAAAGTGAAAATAAGAGATATAATGAAGAAGAAAGGAAAAAAGACACCATAGTGGAATTTAATCTTGAGGTTGAAGAGAACAAGACAATAGGTGACTTTATTATTAAATTAGACTCAAAGGCGAAGAAAATAAACACAGAAGAATTAATGTCAACAGGAGGACAGGTTGTTGAACAAAAATCCGATCAAATGAAAAAAGAAAAAGAACTGGAAATGGACAAAACAATGAAGGCAGAACCAGAACCACAAACAACTATGATAGATGATGATCCGAAACAAGGTCTTCAAGTGATGGTGGACAACACAGACATACAGCTACAAGAAACAAAAACATGTGAAACAAATACACAAATGCTAAATATTGACCAACCACAAGTAGATGAACTAGAGACAAGTATACCCTATGGAGAAGTCAAAACAGAAGAGGTACTAAGACATGAGTACTCCCTTAGTGGCACACCAGATCAATGCAAGGAACCCCCAATAATGACTGAGATTCACAATGGTGGTATTATTCCTCCTGCATCGCCTTCCTCAGCAGGACATATGGGACTTGAGGCTCCATTGCCCAAGGTTACTTCAATGAAGGGCCTTCTTAAAGGAAATCTAATACAAGAGAAGGCCTTAAGGATGGAAGATCACCAATGGCAGCGTTCTTCTCAGGGTACACCAGGACAGAGGGAACCTTTATGGGAGGAACAGGTAGGTCATTCAGAATCAAGTCCAATTCCTCCCTCATTAGGGAGATCTAAGGTTAAGTGAATATTATTATAATGCTGATTGTAATAATAATAATGTTAACAATAGGGATAATTATGATAACAATTGTTAATGTCCACTGTAAAAATTATGATGTTGATAATAATAAAGTTAACAATGATCATGTTAATATTGAAATTAATAGCGATGATAATAATGTTGATACTAATTATAATACCTTTACTGTACTGTACTAATAACAATAATATCTTTAGTAGTAATGGTGATAATTTTGATGTACTGTACTGCTATTCAACCATCTACAGTATATACTATTACAGACAAACAGAAAAATTTAACCTGATCATCATCACCAACAGGCATCACAAATTGGCATAGTCAGGGAGTACCAGGACCCTGTGACAGACCACTCGCAGGCCATCCACAGGTTGACGACTGAACTAGCGCGACTCACGGAACGGTTCGGCCGCACTCAACAAGAGACACCCAGTGCCACGGTGAGTCCTGGTACTGTTGGTGGAGCTAATTAAAGTGGTTGGCTAAACTGCATGTGTGAATAGGGGTTGGAACGTGGAAATAATTACCTTTTGTGAATGAATGCACTTGCAGGTATGGGCACTCCCTGTAAATCAGATCACATTTTCCCATAGACTACCTTTATAAAAGTTGAGATATGTGCCTCTAAAAAAAAAATAAAAAAATCCTTAAACTTACAAAAATTCTATAAAATGAGATTTTGTGAACTACACAGTGTGGAGAACACAAGTTACTGAGAAATAGCACCACTGATTGTGAGTCTGTGAGGCCCAGCCAAGACATATGGTTTTAATTTCATAGTGATGTACCAACCAATAGTAAGTCGACAGCAGTGTATGTATTTAGAGATGGTTTACTAGCCCAGGATTTGATAGTTGAAGATTTTTCATCTGAAGAAGAAATACTAAACTTATCCATCTAATATTTTTTTGTTTCCTTTGACATGAAATCAAACTCTGGGATGCTGAACACATCAGTCTTCCCATGGTTATATTATCTGGAGTCGTGTCTTGCCACTGCTTCACGTAGCGATCCTATGAGCCATGATAACTAAAACATTACATTTTCTTTATAATACTATTTTTTGCTTACTTAACCACTCTTAATTCAGTACAGAAATGTATCTTAATGACTCTAATATTCCAGGTGTTGACGCCCTCTGGTCTACCTAACCTGGACAACACCTGCTACATCAACTCCATCATCCAGTGTCTCTTTAACATCAACATCCTGAGGGACTACTTCACACAGGACACATACAGGTGTGTTAACTCTACTCTCATACACTCTGGGGCAATGATGATGCTGCTATGGATGATGTTCATTTCTTTCTCTCAAACCTGGAAGATTGGTCTGAGCTGTGATAATGGGAAAATAATGTTTGCACGAATTTTAGGGGGTAGATGATGTATGTTAAATGATGCCAGCTCTAACAGATTTTATGTTGAATGTTCTAATAGAGTTGACTGATTGTGAAATGGCTCAGTGGCTCTCATGTATTCCCTCAAGGTTTTCATAATCACTACCTTTGTATCCACTGATGTTGTGTTATAGAGCAGTTAACATTGTTTTCTTATTTCTATTTAATGTCATCTTTTATTATTTGTTCAGCAAAATGATTATTATGGGTATTTTTGCAGCATTTTCCTTACATTTACACAGATGTAAGTAAACTTATTTATAATTTATCAGTCAATATGTGACAGATTTATATAAGACTGGCTTAGTGATTCTGAAGGGCAAGTTGGGTAAATATATCTAAGTCGGGGGAGACCACTCCTGTATATTGAAAGATAAAATTATGTTGTATTGCCATATTGATACTGTATACATATTACCCAGTTGTGAACCTTGTGTCCCACTTCTCGTATAACAGGAGGGACCTCAATGAAAAGAGTGAACACCAGGGGGAAGTAGCTGAATCCTTTGCTCAAGTCATGGTGGCTCTTGGGTCCTGCCATAAACTCAACCTTAACCTGAAAGTGAAGCTCAAACAGTTGAAGGTTGGTAATGCATTATATCTTTCCTTATTAAGTAAAGTATTATATATACGATTAATAAGAATATTGACTAAAATAAAGACACAGTAACTCGTAACTTTTGTCATATGTTAATGCCTCAACAACAGCCACAGGAGAGAAACATCACAGTTCAAAATATTGCGTTACATTAATAGGTCCTTCCCATATGCTATAAATATCTCTTAATGTGTTGATCAGTTTTCGGAAATGACTTTTCACTTGAATCAATTCCTCCTTGTGTAAAATATACTACCTAAAAATATATTTTACTTGATCATCGTATACTCAACGGACAGTGGAAACTTTATCCCATCTTTAAGAAATGGCGTTACAGTATATTGGTAATCTAGTATTTATGATGTCTTTAATTTCTTGTCTCTCAATACAATCACTCAATTATTTTTAGCCGAACCAAAGTCACTACTGTAGTAAGACAAACCTTCAAACCCTTGACATCTTGACTGACCTCTTTCACCCTTTCTCCCACAGCAGGTGATGGAGAAGTATGACCACAGGGACTTGGTCAGAGGTCAGGACCAACAGGGAGAAGACACTTATCACCTACTGTGTTCCTTGCTGCTGAGGCTTCACATAGACCTTGTCCCGGTGAGTGTTTTGTGTGTGTCTGGTTCTTGGTGTCTTATGTCTGTCTGTGTCTAGTTCTTGATGTCTTATGTCTCTATGTCTGTCTGTAGTTCTTGATGTCTCATGTCTGTCTCTCTGTGGTACTTAATGTCTCATGTCTGCATTTTGTCTTCTATATTATTATTATCAATATTTTTTACAATAAATATGTTAATGAGTGGAAATATTACTACTACTACTGCTGCTACTAATAATAATAACAACTCTGAATTTAAATAACAATAATATGCTAAGAAAACAGTATTATTAATGATGATGACAACAACAATCACCTTTACTACAAAAAAAATACACTAATACTACTAATACTAAACACTTCACTACTTGTATCTTCATCATCATCATTAACATTACTATCATAAAAAACTACCATCATCACCACATCATTATTCTCGTCCTGTCTCACACCAGAGGACCAAAGCCCGACGGATCTTCGCCCAACACGACATCACCACGACCACCACCCATTACCATAGGTTCTCGTCCATCGTGTCTCATCTGTTCCGCGGGGTACACGAGACTCGGGTAACGTGTGGGTGGTACAACGTCGTCGTCTCCCGCAGTAGGGAACCCTTCTTCACCCTCTCCCTCGCCTCCACTGTGCAGAAGGCAGAGTCCTGGACGCTGGAGGTAAGGGCATGTGACAAGTTCTAATAGATTGAGATCAAGGCACTGCTGTTACTATGTATATGACTAAGTTGAGTTCAAATTAAGTCATAGCTGTGTTAAGATGCTCTCTAGTATGTGTATATAACCTTGTGAAGTACGGTAGTTGGTTAATAGAACTCTACTAATAACTAGGATAAGGCACGTTAATTAGTTGTCAGGTGTGTTGATATTCGTGTTAGGTTAAGAGGCTAACACCAGGATACTGTTACCTTGTGTACCATTACTATTCCTGGACCTTGTCTGAACTGTCTAGGTTCTGAAGTAATGTAAGTGTGTGTGTGTGTGTGTGTGTAAAACTTTCACTACATTAGACTTGCTGTACTTTTTACTGATGTTTATACTTACACTGAAATTTCTAGTCAAACTCACTAATTCTGTATTCCTGGATTCTCAAAGATTCTTACGTTAGTTATCACTCTTATATCCATATATGAGGAGGGGTGACACTTTAAGATTGGAAGATTTTTTATGTAGCTTTGAGGTAGTTTTGGGTAATAAGTTTTTATTCAGTTCTCAGTAAAGTGATGAATTGTAATTGGAAATCTTCAGTAGGTTAGGACAAAGAGGAATGGGTGGGATTAACACTTTGACAGAACAAGGATTATGTATGTATTCTAAAAACAGCCGGAGAACATTTAGAGTGGAGGGCTGTGATCGCCAACCCTCTGATATAAGGGGCAGTACTCTGATTAATTGATTGATACCTGTACACACACACACACACACACACTACAAGTAATCTGTCTTACCACATCCCTGCAGGACCTGTTGAAGCAGCACCACCAGCCACGGGACATACAGTGGTTGTGTACAGCTTGTGGAGTGACCCATAAGTGTACTAGTGTCACCACCTTCGTCACTCTACCACCAGTACTTGTAGTCTACCTGGGCAGGTGAGACACTCCTTTGTAACTACGTACGAGTGTATCATTTGGGATTAGATTAGATTTATTTATGGCAGTTTCAAATTAAAATCATGACAAAAATACATTTGTTTAAAGTCTCCACACACTTAACACACAACAGAATAAGTGTCTTAATAATCAGCCAATTATTATCTTGGAAGGTGTGTGTGGGAAGTTACTGCTTCTTTGAAATAAAGCAAGACTTCAAGTGGACTAAATTAACTCATTTCTGCCAAGTAGCTTCCATAAACGTTAGGGTCGGTAGTGGAATGGGTGAGCAACAGGTGATAGTGGTTGTTCAAGTATACTGTACAGTACAGAGCATGGTGGTGTATCCCACGCCAGGTGCAGTGCCCAGTTGAAGGAGAGGACCCGAGTGATGTATCCTGCAGAAGGTCTCAGTCTCCAGGAGGTGACAACGCCAAGCTGTCTCAGGTGAACATCATGTCTGTCTTACCCCTATATCTGTCTGTTTGGTTTCAGGTGAATATTATGTCTGTCTTACCTGTAATATGTCTGTCTCTCTGTGTCTTTGGTTTCAGGTGAACATCATGTCAGTCTTACCTTTATATCTGTCTTTCCGTATGACTGTTTATCTTCTATACCTTCTCATCGTGGTATCTCTGTATGACCTTGTATATATCAGTCTGTCTGTTAATTCATCAGTCAGTCTATCTGTCTCTCTGTCTAATCAACTCTTATCAATCTGTCCATATATCCTGTCTACGTGCCTAGTTCATAACACCGGAATAATTACTTTACAAATATACGGACAAAAATAATCACCCACTCGGACGTAATTCTCTATCATTGCTGGAGTTACAAATGTTATGTGGGTAAGACTATTGAGTTTTATTTATATCACTATTAAACTTAAGACTCCAACATTAAAAACTGTATGTATATATTTTACACTAGATAGGTCTAATCATTCACATAAGCCTTTTAAATACAATTGTTTTGTTTTTTTGCCAGATAGGAATAACTGATTATTTTGTATTGGTGTAACTGATGAAAATGAGTTTGTATCACGATGACTGATAGTTTTTAGGTATATTTTATTTTATTTATCTCCTGTGACTTCGAGATTGAAACACTACCATTATTGTACTGTATTTGTAGTCTGTGCTTAATACCTGTACTTGTAGTCAGTAGTCTATAGCTGTAGTATGTTCTTGTCTGTACTTGTAGGCAATACTTGTTTATACTCATAGTCTGTAGCTGTAGCCTGCAACTGTAGTCCATAGCTGTAGTCAATACCTTGCTCTTGCTTCTGAGAGTTAACTGTGAATGTCTCGTGAGTTTCAATGTGTCTAATTTTCCGTCTTATTTCAGTCACGGAGATTATAGTTTGAAGGGTGTGTGTGGTGGTGAAGACCAGGGTATACATAAGTCTTACTACCACCGTCACAACACCGCCTTCTGTTCTGACGACCCATGGACGACGTGTGAGGATGAGAGTGCCATTCAGGAGATGAACCTGAACACCATCCTACAAGTCACACACGCCAGCATCCTATTCTACGTTGCTGAAAATTAATTATATTCCCCCAACATAAAATGAAATATAGGGTTGTATAGGAATATACAGTGTGTTTCAGAATGTTTCCGGATGATTATAGAGTGCCTTGATCGGGACTGCTTGATAAATATTAATTATTCAGACATTGAACCTAACCTAACCAAAACCACCATAGAATCGCCGGGTTAATTTAGCGTGGGTTAGGTTCGTGTCATCTGCTTTTTATTTTCCAGTAGACACAAATCACTGATCATTACCTAAACAAAACGACTCTGAATCGACTGGTTTGTTTAGGTTAAGTTAAAAGTTTGTGTCGCCTGCTTTAAAGAATAGATAAATCGATAAATAAATGATTTTGGGGTCATTTTTGTGGCTCTGCCTGAGGGTGACCTCTTGCTGTAAACTCGAATCATGTCTGCATAAATAAAAAAAAAAAAAAAAGGGACGTTTTCTTTTTGGTGATATTTCATTTTGTTCAGGATTCATTACTAGCTGTACATGTATGTGCTCCCCATGATTGTTATGGGAGAGGTTCCGTGCACTCTTGATGCCACCTTTTATAATTATAATTTTTGGCCTGTAGTTGAAGAAAGTCTGTCAAGAACATCCTCAAATCTTTACATCTGGGAAAAATTCTACGTATGGCTTTTGAGTATCCAGACTGTGAACTGTTAATATTTTCCTGTCGTCATCTTGTTGATATTGCTGCTAGATGCCCTTTTACTGTCATGCCAGACGCCTGTAATATCCACCCAGCCAACAGCATCCTGCTCGGCTCGCCACTGGAAATCAGTTTGATCCCTGTCGTCCTCTAGAGTAAGCTGGACTACTTTTAAAGGTTGGAAGAAAGAGTACAACAAGCTTCTTGGAGCCATATTAACCAAGGCTGTGAACCTCTTTTTGGAAGACAAACAGTGGGAATAAGCTACTCTCCCGGTCTGCCTGGGAAGGGTTGGTAAATGCAAAGCCGCTAAAACTGCATGACCAACATTGCTGTTATCTTGGTATGGCATCAGACCAACTCGTTAAGTTTGTATTTCTTTGTGATAAGTTAGTCATCAAGGTGTTTAGAGACATCATGTGAACATTTTTCAGTCAACTCGACGTTATGTGAACATTTCTCCATCAACTCTTCACCAACTGTCTTATCCGTTGCTTCTGCCTGTGTAAATATGTCTTAAATTGATGGTCATTGCACACAAAAAACAGTAATGTACAATAGTATTCATGCAGTAAGGCATGTTGGTAGGTGGTGGGTAAGTAATGGTCTGTCTCTCGGTAAACGAACTGACCAGAAGGCGTTTACTCCTGAATATAGCACAAATTGAAAAGCAAATTAAACGTAACATTTTATTTATTTATGATTAATTATTTTACATGGCATTTGATCCTGGATTGCTTAAATTTATATACAGGAAATCTTGTTTATTTTTCTAAAGGAATCCAATATTTTTTTTTACATGAACAATGATAAAACGATCTATGGTAATGAATATTATTTTTAAGATAATAATTCCAGTTAAATAAGGTGTGATGCAGCTGAGTGAAGACAGTGTACTACTTCTAAGCTAAAGTTATGTTGTTTTGTGACCAGGAAACACACAGTGCAACTGGACTTTACTGTTGAGGGAGTGAAGGTGGTCGAGTACAGTGCCTGCTATATTGCCCCTTATGGGATCTACTTACACGAGCTAAATGAAATGATGATAATACTGAACCCATACAGAAGCTTAGGTAAAACTACAACTGTTGCTTCTTTGTAATGGATGTACTAACACCCAATTGTCTACTCCTCAATCTACCACATCCATACAACAACCACACCCATCCAACCATCACACTACCACACCCACCTACATATTTACCACACCCACCTACCTATCACACACACACGTACACACTTACACTTACAATAACTTCTCCCCTTACAATTTGTAAAGATGAACTCTGAAGACAAGTAACTTATTTCATTTGTGAATAGAAAAGTATATAGGCGTCACTCCCGTTCATCACTGTGTTGGGGTGTACGTTATGGACAGTGTCGTCATTGTAGAGGCGCCAGGTGTTGTCTTGAAGGCTCCTGCAGTAGGCGGTGTAGTGGCCGGAGGTAGTTGTCCCTCGATGGTTCACTATACCAAGTAATTCGTACCTTGGGCTGTGGATGAGAGTGTGTGAGTGAGAATCTAACCTAACCCAACTAACCAGGTAGACGTTAGGGTGTTAAATCATCAGGTGACATAAGGTGGGGGATATCTCTCTCTCTCTCTCTCTCTCTCTCTCTCTCTCTCTCTCTCTCTCACCTTTGGTTTGGCTGCATCATGTACTCCTGTAGACTCAACTGGTCTTGTGGGAAGGTGACGTTGATCTTCTTCCCCCATGTACTCTGAATGTCGTTCCTGGTGGAGGTGAGAGACAGGTAAAGGTTAATTAAGGGGCAGTCATACCTGTGGGAGAAGGTGAGGGGGGGGATTATTTTTATATTGTAAATTCTCACAAGGGTAAAGGAGGGTCTCTCCCCCTCTCTCTCCCCCCCCTCTCCCCCCCAGCACCCACCTGCTCAAATGGAAGATAAGGAACTGCGGTAGGCGGGTGATCCTGGTGGTGTGGCGACATAGGTGGGTGTGACTGCAGAACTGACAGTCCCACTCTAACTTCTGTATCCTGTAGTGATTCTCAACCAGTTCCTGCCAGAGACAACGGAAGGGTTAGATTAAATTAGGTTGAGTAATCTTCAGGTTGATAAAAGTTCCTGTTGAGATACGAATGCTATTTGTCAATTCCTTATATATAAACAAGTTTTCCCTTTGTTTATATTGAGCCTTCAAGAAAAACATTCATTAATAAACAAGTTGAGGATAATTCGGTTGTTGGCGTCGTTAAGTAAGGGAGACTGGTCGTATACATTTGGCAGGGAAAATGAAAAAACTCAAGGGGAAAACATATCACTTAGTAAGGAAAGTCGATAATTAGGTTGATTTTAATGCAGATATGAATTTTTATAAAAGAGATGTGAATTACAAGTTATGTATGTATGTTAGTTAATTTTTTTCATGTGTGTTTGTAATGAGAGCTGAGGTGTAATGTTTCCTTGGGGTGTTATCGAGTTTCGCAAGATCCGTATTGGTTTGGTCGTGTTGGTAGTTATCGTTATTATTATTATGATATTGGTAAAAGATTCTCTCTCTTATCTTTCTGTGTTTGTTAGTCTCTTTATCACCTTTTTGTTCATTTATCTTTCACGTCTCTCTCTCTCTCTCACCTGTAAAGAACAACACTGGTTGACGGCCAAAGTGAGACAAGTGAAGGGCTCTTGTGTGCGACAGATGGTCTCCTCTGGGTACCTGTCACACCTGATGATAGATTCCTGACTCCCCTGGAAGCGCTCACTCACTAGGGACGACCCGCTTACCTGTTGGATGGAGAGGTGGATGACTGGCTAGATAGATAGGCTAGCAGGCGAACGTGTGGTTGAGTGGGTATAGATTGATGGATGGATTAATTTAGAGTTGATCTTAGACAAATTAATAAACAGACAATTGATGCATAAAGTTCCAAAATGGAGGTTAGGTTAGGAAGTGTTGTAGACCACGATGGCTGTACAAGGGGTAATGTAGACAGCAGTGGAGAAGAGTATGTGTGTGTAGATACAAGACACAGAACTGGGTGTACACTGCCATGGTGGGTGTACACTACTATGGTGGGTGTAGACAGCAACACTCACGTTCACGAGGTCGTTGTGTAGCCAGATCAGGAGTTCAAGAAGCAGGTCGTGAGCCTCGCGCTGTTGTGACCCCCGGAAGTCCTCGTTAAGGTCGCCAACAACAGTCTGAGGAGGTCATAAGGGTCATATATGGGACTTACAGGTCACAAAGGGTCAGATATAAGTCTTACAGATCACACAGGGTCATATACACGTCTTCAGGTCACACAGGGTCATTTACAGATCTTACAGGTCAAACAAGGTCACATACACTTCTTACAGGTCACACGGTCATATACAGGTCACAGTCACATATACACGTCTTACAGGTCAAACAAGGTCACACTTCTTACAGGTCACAGGGTCACATACGTCTTACAGGTCAAACAAGGTCACATACACTTCTTACAGGTCACACAGGGTCACATTCACTTCTTACAGGTCACACAGGGTCATATATACATCCTACAGGTCACACGGGGTCAAATTCAGGCCTCATAAGTCCCTCGACTATTCCAATATACTTATCAATGATTTTAACATCGGTGCTACATAAAGTCTTCCTCAGTTTCTCAAAGATCATTACAAGTTACTCATCATGGCCCCCAGAAAAACAATATTTTTTTTGTTTCTTTACATATATAAGGTTTCTCGTGTTATGGATACAAGATGCATGGATGGGTGATGGTTTTTTGATTCTTAGTATTTAGTAACTAGTGGGTTCTCTCTTTTAGGACTGGAGTAGAGAGTTCGTGTCAAAAAACAGCTCAATTCTCTACTCCTGTCTTGAATCGATCGTATGACAGGCTAGGGAATGACTTTATGAGGAGTAATTCTATATCATATTGTAATTTACGATAAAAAATAAGAATGTCTGGAGAAAAATTACGATCTTGTCTTACCTTCAGTCGGTTGATTTTTTTAAGTATTTCCTTCTCGACGCCTGAGTGTAGAGCCTTGAAGACTCCTGCCAGGGCTAAGGCCACCTCCCCCTTCTGCGCACTACTACGGTTCAGCTCCCTCCTGACGGTGAAAATAACTATAGGTATATGTCCTATAGGTGTTAATTACATATATATGTCCATCTGTAGCCAATTCTACAGTATATTGAAGTTAAAGGAGAGGTTTTGACAATTAAACCATGAGGAGTCGTTCTGTTTTTGTATTGCGTACCCAGATGATGTAACTTTTGACTGGCCTTCGTATTACAGAGAGATGAAGAGAGTGATAGATAAGGAGAGGGATACGTAGAGAGAGAGAGAGAGAGAGAGAGAGTTAACACACCTGTATGTGTCCTGTGTGAAGTAGTCCCTCAGGGTGGTAATGTTAAAGAGACACTGGATGACACAGTTGATGTAGCAGGTGTTGCCCAGGTTAGGTAGACCGGAAGGCATCACCACCTGGAATACATAACGACATTAATCACTGGTATGATATAGTCACGGTATTGATCGGTAAACACAACTTGGATCAAAGTCCTCCATAAATTATCTATTAAAGTTACTTAAATTCCAATTAAATGTTTGTAATGAATCTATTGGACGTTGGGTCATGTACTTCCTTTCCCGTTGACGATCACAACTCTACCCAATTCGTCGATGAAAACATTGGATTCTGTCCATTTATAAAAGCATTACACTACCACAGAATCGACCTCAATGGTGAGTCGTATCATTCAACTGACTCTCTAGACCTGTGTTGACTCATACCACGGAATCGAGCTCGGTCTTTCTGTAAGATCCTTGACGCCTCCTGTGTCTAGTAGGGGTGGTGGCGACTGACTGTTCTGCCAGCTTTTGCTTCGCCTCGTCCAGGAGAGAGGTGAGACGGGCAATCTCATGATCGCTGTTCTCTCTCTCCTTCTGTCTCTCGTGTTGTTCTGTCTCCATCCTGCTGATGAGTTCCTCGATATTCTTATCCTGTCTCGTCTGTCAGGTAAGGAAAGGAACAAGATAAGAATATTATATACTCGTGAGTCCGTGATGTTTACAACCACGAACCCAACAGTTATCGTTTTTGTTAACTCTCTCTCTCTCTCTCTCTCTCTCTCCCTCCCTGTCGCATACCTCTGCATCTATTCTAACTTTTCTGTTTACCATCCCATCTTCTCATTCCAAGAAGTTAATGCCCAGGATGTTTGTATATCATAGTTTATCTAAAGTCTGACTGTACCATTAAGGTGACCTGGGGTAACCTACTTTCCTAGGGTGACGTACCTGGGTTGCCGGCCTTTCACCATCCAGGCTCTGTGTTAGACGCTCCACCTCTTCCTTCAGAAAAGTTATCGCCTGCAGGTTCGCAACTTCCCTCTTCCCGTATGCTGTCTTATCTCGGAACTGATCCTGTGGTGTAAAACATTCCTCTCATTTTTCATAGATAAACTGAGAACCATTTTTCATTTCACTGTAGCAATATAAAAGGCAAGTAATATCTTAGAAATTCGTGATGAGAGAGAGTTGAGTACCTGATGTGAGGAGATGAATTGTTCGTATTCCTTCATCCTCGTTGTCCTCGCTATGAGTTTGTTGTTGAGGTCATCGATGGTCTTCTCGTCAGCTGCAGCGTGTTGTAGAAGCTGTTGTGTCTGTTCCTGATGCTGCTTCTGTGAGGTGAGAGAAGGTTGAGGTGCATTTCACCTCTACTCCGTGTCAAAATATTTTCCCAGACAGGCCCCCCAACTCCCTCATTACAATAAAGAATAAAATAGGAACTATATGGAAACCAATATTAAACCTAACCTAACCTTGATCTAACATGACCTGACTTAACTTAACCTAGTTTAACTTCATTGGACTTAATTTAACCTCTCATTAACCTAATTTAACCTCTCATTAGACTAACTGAACCTCTCATCAACCTAATTTAACCTCTCATTAGACTAAATTAACCTCTCATTAACCAAACCTCATATAACTTGACTTAACATAAACCATGTAAGGGCTAGATACAAGTTGACATCACCATTGGACCAATCGGCAAAAGCTATGCCCGAAAACACGTGGATTTTGACTCACTGTGATGTTTCTCTCACGCTGGAGAGATTGAGAGAGACGCTCCATCTCCTCCTTCAACACGGTCTCTCTCTCCTTATGTTCTCTCTCCTTGTTTCTCAGTTGATCCTGTGAGAGAGAATGCATTAAATCCTGTTAAAATGGAATACCATGTGGTGTGTGTTCAACCTAGTTATGTGTGTTGAGTGTTAGTGATAAAATTAGCTGTTTAACAATGATATTAACTTAGTATTAACTCTGTGTTATTTGTAAGGTGATTCTGTGAGATTATTACAATAGGTACCTGTACTTGTATGTATACCTGTAATTACTTCTCTTCCCAACCTAATACACCCATGACCAACACACAACATAAACACGTGTTCTCATACCTTAACCTAACCTAACCTAACCTTAACCTAACCTAAACTAACCTTAACTAACCTAACCTTAACCTAACCTAAACTAACCTAACCTTAACCTAACCTAAACTAACCTTGTAACAGATGACCATCTTTTCGTATTGCTTCACATCGTTCGACATCTTGTTCAGGTTCTGCTCCAGGTGTTCTACAGTGTTCTTCAGTCTTTCTTGTTCTAGAGAATCATCAGTCCTTCTCCCCTGCTGTTGGTGAAGAATATGTGATGATAAGTGTGTGTGTGTGTGTGTGTGACAGTTTATAGTGCTTCAGTTGCCATGGGTCTGAGTGTTAGTGGGGGGAGGGGTTAGCTGTTATAGGTTGGGAAGCACAGTTACCAATATCTTAGTTAGCTTTAAGGTGCTTGAATTACTATGTATTAACTCAGTTTTTACTACTACTACTCTCTCTCTCTCTCTCTCTCTCTCTCTCTCTCTCTCTCTCTCTCTCTCACCTGCCCCCTGCTCGCTTCATCAGGTTTAAAGGTCAAATGTTCCACCTCTGTAGACAGTGTTGCCAATTTATCCGCTACAGACACGTCTCTCTTGGCAACGTTGGTGGTTTCCTGGGTAATATAAGATAAAATAAAATAATAATAACAACAATAACAACATCAATAACAACAATAACAAATGCAACCAATACAACTAAACAAAAACAGCAACAACAACGAAAATAATAATATAGTTTTAATAGGACAATGAAGAGCATATAATGGACAGATGAATAGAACTGAATAGACAAATAAAATAGAATGAAATACCTGTAAATAGGTTATAATAAATTGATAGCTTAGGATAGATGACCAAAATAAATTGATTAGAATAGGTTACCTGTTCTCATCATCTAGACTAACCAATCACCGTTGACTTACCTGTCCTTGCCTTCTAAACTAACCAATCAACGATAACATACCTGTCCTCATCTCCTGAACTAACCAATCACCATCAACCTACCTGTCCTAACCTAACCAATCACCATCAACTTACCTGTCCTTACCTAACCTAACCAATCACCATCAACTTACCTGTCCTTACCTAACCTAACCAATCACCATCAACCTACCTGTCCTCACCTAACCAATCAGCGTGGACTTACCTGACAGTGGAGGAGGTATTTTTCCTCATTTTCCCTCAACAGGTGAGAGAGACGTTCAACCTCCTTCTCCAACGTGTCGATTGTGTGTCTGTTGGCTGAGTCTTGATGATGGTACTGTGTCTCACGGTCTAACTTCTGGCTCTGTGGTGAGAAGAGATCGGTGAGCCAGAGAAATACAGACAGAAAACCATTTAGAAAGAGAAATAACCAGACAGGGACAGAAACAGACAGACAGAGAGCCAACTCACCTGGTAGGCAGCTAATTGATCCCGACTCTCACTCAACATTCTGGTCAGTTCCTGTATATGAGAGTCACAAGTTGAGATGGTCTCATCCTTGGTGCTGTCTGTGGTGACCATATCTATCTGCCTCCTCTCGAGTTGTTCCTGGGTGGTAGATAGTGGTAGTAGATGGTGGTAGTGGTGGTAGATGATAGATGGTGGTAGATGGTAGATGATAGATAGTGGTGGTAGATGATAGATAGTGGTGGTAGATGGTAGATTATTGGTGGTAGATGATAGATAGTGGTGGTAGATGGTAGATAATGGTGGTAGGTGGTAGAATAGTGGTTGTAGATGGTGGATAATGGTGGTAGATGGTAGAATAGTGGTTGTAGATGGTATATAATGGTGGTAGATGGTAGAATAGTGGTTGTAGATGGTATATAATGGTGGTAGATGGTATATAATGGTGGTAGATGGTAGAATAGTGGTTGTAGATGGTATATAATGGTGGTAGATGGTAAAATAGTGGTTGTAGATGGTAGATAATGGTGGTAGATGGTAGAAGATAGTGGTAGATACTCAATGGAAACTATAATTGAAATTTCTTAACACATGACTTACTATTTTCCGCCTAAATTCATTATTTTGGTGAGTCAACTGAAGGAAGCGCTGCCGTAGGTCTTGTTGTTCTCGGTGCTGCTGCAGGAGTTGGTGGCGTAGCGTCTCCACCAGTTGTTCCGCCGCGATCTGGAGGAGTCATGGTGGTTAGGTTAGGTTTATTGTGTGTGTGTGTGAAGGGGAGGTGAGGGTAGGAAGAGAGAGGGAGAGATAAGAGAGACGAAAGAGAGAGATAAGAGCAGGATTAAGTAAGAAGGTCCATTGGTCCGTCACCTTCAGTACCCGATTAAGTGTTTACAAACTGAACACTCGGATTAAATTCTTATAATACACGGATTATCTAAGGCTATAAAACGTGTTAAAGTGATCAATGGATTAACTATAACACTACACTAAGAGATGGTGAAGGTATAGTGAGAGATAGTGACGTAGTTGAGTGGAGATTCATCACACATTAACTGAATATGAACTAGTGACGTCATAAAACTCACGAACAAATCACCTTCATCTTTTTCATGACGTCATGTTGATTCACGAGTGACGTAATAACTTGGGTTAAATCTCTCTCCTGATTGGTGTTCTCATGGTGTATTCTCCCCAGAACCCCGATAACAGCTGTTCTCAAGTTCTCCTAAGATAACACGAGAATTTTGACCGATATTAACCACTTAAATCCTAGAGTTAACGTGTGTGTGAACCTGAGTTATATTCTATAGCACTTTATACATATACGCGCGCATACATATATACTATTATTATAATGTATAGATAAATAGACGGACAGACAGGTATGGATTGACAGACAGACAGACAAGAAATATTTAGACAGAACAGTAACTCTCTCCGTGTTACTGTTCCTACATCGATGATAATAAAGTAACATTCAAGTGTTACCTTCTGATGCTCCGTCTGGGATAAGTCATTCTGTAGCTGAGAGTTCTGTCTCTCTTTCGCCGTTAGTGAGTCCTTGAGCATCACCTACGGGTATAAGGAAATAATACTCTCATTAAAATGCTATCTAAAATATACTGTACATTTAAACAGTATACATCATTAAAATTCTAACCTAACCTAAACTTTATAAATTTCATCAGTAATCTCTCTGTCTCTCTCAAAAAGAAGAAAAAAAAAGGAATTCGATTTTAATTCTGGGGAAATATTCTGTTTACGGGAAAATCTAAATACAGAGGAAAGTCCATTATATAGGTGTATCGCTATAAGACACGTAAACAAGACGGTTCTTTAATAGATAACTTACGACAATTTCTTCCATGTCTCTCAGCTGGTGTTTCCGTGTGGATTTCCTGTTGAAGAGTAACCGCTTGGAGCCTGAACGTTTGTCCTGTACACCATAGAAAACGGATATGATCAGCTAATTACTCGTATTATGTAGTGTGTGTTATATGTGTATGCGTTATGTGTGCCAACAGGTATACTTAATATGTGTTAGGTATATACAGATAACTTGATTATGTGTGTAATGTGTAGTTATATATGTGTGTGTATATGTATGTACGTGTATTGTGTACGTTATAGCGTCAAGTACAATCAATACAAAGACTTTTAATAGGTACTAGTTCACCTTACCTCAAAGCCTCCCAAGTCACCTCCAATATAAGCAGCTAGCAATGGGGGATCTGTGTGACTGTGTGTCTGTCGAGTAAATTCATGTCCTGGGGAAGTTCCTAAAGGTGATGACATCGGCTGTGTCGTCAGCATTGGTGTCATTGTAGGTCGGGTGTGTGAGCTGGATGGTTGAGGGGGTGTGAGGTGTGAGTCGGTAGCCAGGTCTGTGTTATCAGGGTTCAGGGATTCCAGGTCCCTCTCTTCGAAGCTTGCAGTTCCTAACCCCGTCGACGGCAGCTGCTCCCTCAAGTGAAGGTCAGGTCTAGACGTCTCTTTCCTCCCTGAATGACCTCTTGTAAATAATGGTTCGTCGTGGGACTTGAAGCGTCCAGACGAACTCTTCAGTGGTGATCTTATAAACTTGCCCTGAAACCATTATTATGTTGTGAAAAAGTCGTGTCACAGAGCCCTCCGTATTCAGTAAAAGTCTTAAAGAAATGTGAAATCATCGTCTACCCTAAGTTAGACTATACTGTACACGATAGCTGTTGTAAGAGGATAACGAGTATTGTACTTACAGGTAAATGATGGCAAGACCCTGGGCCCAGCGTTACCTGTACACACAAACATTGAAGTTACACTCACAAATCCTCCTTTGCTAGGACTTTGATCCTTCAAGTACCGGTGTACATCCGGGTGGCCGTGTTTTTTGGCCACATCCTTGGCCAAACTATTCCTCTTGTCCTTGACCTCACACTTGACGCCATTAGCCACCAACCACCTGACGAGGTTGAGATCTCCGTCAAGAGCAGCGTAGTGTAGGACGGTGGCGCCGGAGTTGGATCTAGGTTGAAGGTTACACCCGGAGACCTTGAGCAGCTTCAGGGCGTCGAGTTGTCCCTGAGCAGCTGCCCAGTGCACCGCCCGTTTGCCTGAGTAAAGTGAAATAAAATAAGATCAGATAATAGATTATATAAATCAGTAATGTATATAACTAACAGCTGGTAATGGTAAAAAGATAAATAAATGCTCAAATGAATTAGACTTAGTAGGGGGGGGCAAAAATGGACTCCTAAATCGAATCCTTTTAATATGAAGATAAATTTACTTCACGTGTTTAAGAGACCTGCACCACAGTCACCCTTTTCACTAGTAGCTGTAAGGTCATGTTAGTATGGCTGGCCTACAAGTTAAGTCTCCCTACTCGATCTGTTAAACTGCACTTAATTTATCTTCTTCGCTACTGATCAGTCTGTTAGCCGCTTGGGCGCTCGGTCGTGTCTCTGTTAACACATAACTGCTATGTGTATTAAGTTAGAGACACACACACACACACACACTACCACGAAGTCTTGTCAACTCCTTCCCTGATTGTAACTTTATCAATAACCACAAAGTCAACAGCCACAACAAAAACAACAATAATACCAACCACAATCACAACAACCAATTCACCACAACAGCCTCACAAGTTGTTACCTTTGTCGTCCTCAGCTTCCTTGTTAGCAGCTGCCCTTAACAGGTGTTCCATTACATGTGTGTGACCCGCCCCGGAGGCCAGGAGTAGCGGGGTCGCACCTGTCGTGGGGAAATAATTAACACCTGTACTACATCTACATAAAGTACCGAGTCACAGATGAGTTACTTATATAGCCACTTATGATTTTTCTGGCAGTGAATATTGTACTAGAGGAATATAGAAGTGGGCTAGCATACACAGACAGGAATATGGATAAAAATAACAATATATACAGTTGTTGTTCTGGATTATAGGGAGAGAAATAGACAGGTAGATTGTAAATTGAGACAGAATAAGAGACAGAGAGAAGAGGTGCATTAAGACAGACACTAGACTCACCATAATCCTTGTTCATCTTACTCATGATGTCGACTTTAGCCTTGAAATCGAGTAAGAGGTTGACCACGTCCAGGTGACCTTTCTCTGAGGCGTGGTGGAGGGCGGCTCTTCCCCCTTCTTTACCTCCTGAGAAGTCCTCCTCCACCAGATCCACCCTGGCACCTTGCTGGAGTGCCACGTCTACTCCGGCTGCATCCCCAGTCTTGGCACTCCTCATCTGGCAGTGAATGTGTGTGTGAGAGTGTATATAAACAAACAGGTAAATACTCAGGAGAAATCAGACAAGTGTAGGTTAGGTTATGGGTGGGTGGTGGAGGTACTGTGAGTGTGTACCTCTACAGAACATTAACTGTGTAGTGTACTATCTATGACAAGGCAGTGATAACGTATCTCTATGAATGTACAGTTTTGGAAACTTTGTGTGAAGATCATAATTTTTTACTGTGTTGAAAGTCTTTACCACACCGAATCGAGGAGGAGGTGAAATGCCCCACCACCATACCCAGCCTACAGTGCCCCACCACCATACCCAGCCTACAGTGCCCTAACACCATACCCTGCCCCACGCTACCCCTACACCATACCCTGCCCCACACTACCCCAACACCACACCCTGTATCAATAACTTACCAACAAACTCTGCATCTCATTCATCGTGTGTGTGTGTCCTGGCACTCAGAAGGTCAACAAGTGCCAACTCAGGTGACCTTTGACCTTCCTGGTACTGGTAGGTCAGGGAAATATCACCGAGGATTGACCAGGAGTGTTGTCTGACCTTTTGATTACGTCACGCGAGGTATTCTGAAATATATTTGTGTTTTATTAAATATTAGTATTATTTGTGTCTGTATTTAAATTTATCTGTTTGTTTATAGTTAGTGAAGAATATAGTCACAGGGGGATACATAGAGTCTTGGTGACCATTATCACCACTCAACATACGCTCTCTATGTTTGGTGACAATGTTTGTGATCTAACATAGGTCTATAGTCACCAGTAACATCACTACGCTGAAATGTATACCAATGCTCTGTAACTTGGTGATGATAGTGAGGATACTGGTGAAATATGTTTGGGGGTCACCACTATCCCTCCTTTCCTCCTTCCCTGGTGACCAATAGCACCATACCACTAGCACACTGCCTCCTGGTGACCAATAGCACCATACCACTAGCACACTGCCTCCTTGTCCTAGTAACCTGATTGATTGATTGTGTTAATCTCTGATGGTCAATGTTTACTTTTTTTTAAGGCCAAGTGTACCTACTCTCTCTCTCTCTCTCTATCTCTCTCTCTCTCTCTCTCATTTCAGTCAACATTCCTCTGTATTTCATTAAACATCGATAATTACATGAACACAAACCACAATTACAAAACACTATTACAGGTCACCAGGTGTAACTACAGGTACAGGTATAGATACAGGTACAAACACAGGTAGAATTACAAACATTATAAAAAATCGTCATCTGAACATCTCTTAATCTAACATTAAAATCACCAATAATGAGCTGTGTCTTGGTGACTATAGGATGCATTTGTGATGTTGGTGGTGATATACTGTCCTGGTGAAAATAAACACTGGTTGTGGTAGTTGTGTTTCCTGGTGACAGTAAACATTGATGACCTGGTGTATGCTAGACCTAATTAGCCATACCTGGTGCACTAAACATGGTCAATAATATTCTGAGTAGATTAACTTGGTGACACTATACACCTTAGAGCGATAATACAGTGACTTGGTGACACTATACACCTTAGAGCTATAATACAGTGACTTGGTGACACTATACACCTTAGAGCGATAATACAGTGACTTGGTGACACTATACACCTTAGAGCTATAATACAGTGACTTGGTGACACTATACACCTTAGAGCGATAATACAGTGACTTGGTGACACTATTCACTATACACCGTTACCATATAATCCAGGTAACTAAGCCATACCGGGTGACTTCAAAACATACCACTAAACTAACTTGGTACCCAACTGGTGATTCTTTGTGACTGGTGGGACGCCTCTCACCAGCCAGCCAGGTAAGGTAAGGTATTCCGTTATGGTGATAAGATAACCCAGATAACAACTCCTAGGCTGTTATCACTCGGTGTTTGGTCACTGATAAGAGAACCTAGGAGCTCTGGTTGTACTGGTGATTGTTAGGGTGTTTATGTGGTAGTTAGGGTGTGAGTTAAGGGTTAGAGGTAGTTATGTGGTTGTTAGAGGTGTTTAATGAGTAGTTAGAGGTGTGAGTTAAGGGTTAGAGGTAGTTATGTGGTTGTTAGAGGTGATTGAAGTAGTTAGAGATAGTTAATATAGTTACGGATGTTTAACAAGTAGTTAGAGAAGTTTAATAAGTAGTTAAAGATAGTTAGAGATGTTTAGGATGTTTGCTAAGTTATTATATTTTTAGTAAAGTATAAATGTTTATTAACTGGTTATTAACGGTATATACTGAGGGGGTTAAAGTGTTTGTGTTTGTTTGTATGTTTTGTTATCAGTAAAGCGCGTGTGTGTGTGTGTGTGTGTGTGTGTGTGTGTGTGTGTGTGTGTGTGTGTGTGTGTGTGTGTGTGTGTGTGTGTGTGTGTGTGTGTGTCTGAGCTCTTATCTCTAATCTTTCCTTCACTCATGTATACAGGGATATAGGTATGATCATTGTGTACACTAACATATACACCAACTGACTCATGTATACATATTAAATATAAAACAAGGAGGAGGATCACTTGTTTTATATAGAGATTAAATTTATGTTTTCCTTGTCGGCTCTATGTGGCTTCTGATTGGCTGGTTCCCGCGGTGACGTCACAATCAATATTCCCGCGTTTTTTTAATAATAATGGTTCCTGATTGGTTGACTACCGCCTTGACGTCACAATCAATATTCCCGCGTTTTTTTAATAATAATGGTTCCTGATTGGTTGACTCCCGCCTTGACGTCACAATCAATCTTCCCTCTTTTTAATATAATAATAATAAATAAATAAATAAATACAATAAATACAATAAAAGTAAAACAAAACTTAGATAATTTATATAAAACCGATAATTATATAAAGGATTATTGTAGAGCAAATTAAAGAAAATTATCACTGAATCATTATTTTATTCTTTTACTTTAAACAATTACAGTAATTATGGTGACGACTTAAGACAATCTTGTTCATTTATATTTATCATTGGAAGTATTTATACAACATGGTCTCTCTCTCTCTCTCTCTCTCTCTCTCTCTCTCTCTCTCTCTCTCTCTCTCTCTCTCTCTCTCTCTCAACAGGTACTACAAACTATCATGTATACACAACGGTTCTTTTACCTAACCTAACCACAAAATAAAAGCGGTATTTTTATTTGCTATGAATAAATGGATAAAAAGAAATTAAAGTGAAATAATTTAAGAGTTAAGAAAGTTGTATGTAATTAATTAAGAGTTATTTTAACCCTTTGAGGGTGGTAGCTTAACCCTTTAAGGACAATTTAACCCTCTAGGAGGAGTCAAAGGGTTAAGTCAAGGTTTTACATAAATTTTCAAGTCTCAACGTTTAGATAAAGGGCCTCTGATTGTGTTGTCTGTGTGTAGAATAGGATATGAGCGTCAATCCCGTCCAGCACTATGTCCAGGTGAGTGTTTTGGACGGTGTCATCATTGTAGAGGCGCCAGGTGTTGTCTTGAAGGCTCCTGCAGTAGGCGGTGTAGTGGCCGGAGGTAGTTGTCCCTCGATGGTTTACTACACCAAGTAATTCGTACCTTGGGCTGTGGATGAGAGAAAGAGTGAGTGAGGTAAGAGAAAGTGAGAAAGATTGAGAGAAAGTAAGAGTGAGAGAGAGAGTACCACCCCACACCTTACCTTAGTCCCTCTCGCCCCTGGAGGATAAGATCTCCTGAAGGGAACACAACTCGGGTCTTCTTCAGCGTTGAGTTCTGATTGTTGTACCTGGCGAAGAATTTTGGTTGCTGTTAATTGACAATCACCTGAATATCTATAGGTACAGGTATAAACACAGGTACAGTTTATCGTGAAAACATCAATGAACAAGAAGACAGATTGACACATAAACTCAGGTGTAAGTAGATAGTTGTTACACGACACGCTATAAGGACGAGTATAAGGGAGGTGTATCATTAGGTATAAGGGATGTATAAGGGTCTGACTATTACCTGCTGAGGTGTATAAGTAAGACAGGTGGGAAGTCGACAATCTGTGACTGGTGGAGACAAGGATGCTGTTCACCGCAGTAGTTACAGTCCCACTCAATCATCTGGCTCTTGAAGTGACTCTCCACCAAGTTCTACTCGAGGAAGAGAGAGAGAGAGAGATAAACAGAGAGAGAGAGAGAGAGAGATATAAACAGAGCCAAAGGTAGACATTGATCACATCTCTCTCTCAGTACACACTTACCTGTAATGAACTAATTTTCCCACAGGTGACGGGGAGACTAAGGTTGCTGAAGACCTCCCTACTACAGGAGATCACCTGAGGCTCCTTCGGGTTAGGGCGGCTACACAGGAATACAGACTCCAGCTCTCCATGGAAGTGCTGGGAGACGAAGGAGGAACCGCTGGCCTGTGGAGGAGAGGTGGATGAGTGGATAAAGGGAAGGGTGGATGAATGATGGGTGGAACAAAATTATGCTCAAACAATAAGTATCATCCATGGTGGGTGTACACTGCTATGGTGGGTGTAGACAGCCATGGTGGGTGTAGACGGCAACACTCACGTCCATGAGGTCGTTGTGTAGCCAGGTCAGGAGGTCAGCGAGCAGATCATGAGCCTCGCGCTGTTGTGACCCCCGGAAGTCCTCGTTAAGGTCACCAACAACTACCTGTTGTGTGAGGTAAGTTGAAGGGTATGGTTCACCTGTAGATTAACCACCTTAACTCTAACCTAACCTAACCTAACCTAAACTCAACTAACCTAACCTAAACTAACAAAACTGACTACTACTACAACTGTTACTACTATTTCTACTACTACGTCTACTACTACTACAACAATCCTGATAATATTTGTCACTGTTCATCTCTATTTGTGTTCAATCTTCCTCACCTTGAATTTGTTTATTGTTTCCATGATTTTCTCTTGATCTCCGGAGTTAACAGCCTTGAACACACGGGCCAAGATATCTGCCACCTCCCCTCGCTGTTCACTCTCACTGTTCACATGTTCTCTGCCGGTGAAGAACAAAGTTAATCTAGGTGTGTTATTTAATTACCTGTGTTTTCGTCACGTGATGAATTTTATGTTCACGTTTATAAACAAGAAAAGCTTTTGAGATTTTTTGCCTATAGGTGTTTCGTACTGTGAGAGAGAGAGAGAGAGAGAGAGAGAGAGAGAGAGAGAGAGAGAGAGAGTTAACACACCTGTATGTGTCCTGTGTGAAGTAGTCCCTCAGGGTGGTAATGTTAAAGAGACACTGGATGATGGAGTTGATGTAGCAGGTGTTGCCCAGGTTAGGTAGACCAGAGGGCGTCAACACCTGGAATATTAGAGTCGATCTTATCCTTAATTAAATATCATCTTAGGTGACTCTATATACAGGTTGTCTCAGAGAAATGCCCCTGCCTTCTCCCTGCCTCCCTCCTTCCCTTCCTGTTCCCTGCCTCCCTCCCTGCCTCCCCCCAACTCACAGTGTCCTAGGAAGCAGGCTGGGAGGGTCACCATCCTAGGGGCCACTAATCCTAGACTGGGACACAGTACATTTGACCCGCATCTCAATACGAATTAAATCCCTTAACTATCAATCCACTTCAATTGCCTTAAATTCAGACTCTTATGAGCTTAACTTTAGCAAACCATCAACCACAACTAAATATTCTTCTATGGATATTAAACCCTGACAATCCTACAATAAAGTATAGCAACAATAACTTAATCCATTGGTGGAGGGAGTTGGATTCTGTCGTAAAAAGGATAATGAGACGAAAATAACAAATGAGCATCACTGAAAATTCGAGACAATACTAATCAACAAACCTTTGACTTGTTTCCTCTATGTTCCGAATGGTCTACCTCTTGTTGGATGTCGTTATGTAGTTCTCTGGCTTGATCGGGTTGTTCCTTGGTTTGATTGTGGTAATAGCGTTGTTTGGTGAGGTTTATCTGTTGTTTGGTCTGCTCGAGTCTCTGTTTTATCTGGGCATAACTCAACCTGATTTCGTTGAGCGGTTCGTTAGGTTCATTCTCGTGGTTGGTTGGGTGTTGTTGTTCACTGGTTTGGTCGAATTCATTTTTGGTCTGGTCGAACTCTTGCTTGTCCTGGTCGAGCTGTACTTTGGTCTGGTCGAGTTCCTTTCTGGTATGGTCGAGTTCCTTTCTGGTATGGTCGAGTTCTTGCCTGGTCTGGTCGAGCTGTCCTTTGGTTTGGTCGAGTTCCTTTCTGGTATGGTCGAGCTCTTGCCTGGTCTGGTCGAGCTGTCCTTTGGTCTGGTCGAGTTCCTTCCTTGCCTGGTCGAGTTCCTTCCTGGCCTGGTCGAACCCTTCCTCAGTCTGGTCGAGCTTGGAGGTGAGTGCAGCTACCGTGTGGTCACTCTCTACCTTATCCTGAGCACGACCTCGCTGCTCACCCTCGAGTCTGGTCCTCAGTTCCTTCACCTCCTCCTCCAAACCCTCCTGTCAAGTAGTAGCAAAAAGAATTACACGTTTTCTGCAGACTACTGGCTCTTGACACACGCAGACACTCTTGAGAACAGTCTTGAGTCTTTCATTTTTGTCGTTCACCTGAATTATTATATTGTAAAATTAATTATCATTTTAATATGAGTTTTAATATCAAGAAGTTACTGGAAGGAATTATAACTAGCAAGTTTTGTTTATATTCTGCTGTGTGAACCTCGAACCCCCAAGATTCAGATTCATGAACCCGAAGCAATAGACACTGATGGATTATTCAACCCATAAATGCTTCGGATTCACGAGTCTGGGTGGGATTCGTTGTTCAGAAAAGGCGAGAGAACTTTTGACACGTATCTCACCAGAGTGTGACGTTGGTGGTGAGGGGTAAGGAGTTGTTCCCTCGTCCAGTGTTGTTCCTGGTTCTGTCCCTCCCCCATACTCTCCTGCTGGTGGTCACAGGTATCACAAGTTAACCTCGTTTCTTCTACGTGTTCCCTGGGTGTTGGTATTCTGTTCTGTTGGTTAAGACATAGAGTATAGTGAAACCTGTATTTAACGGACTATATATATATGAGGAAAATCCGTCATACCAAAGGTCCGTTAGAAAACTTCCATCTAATGAACTATATAGAGATGAAAGTCCACTATATCGAGGGTCTATTTGATGTGAAACTTCCCATCTAACGGATCATATGACGAGAGAAGTCCGTTATATGGAGGTTTTACTGTATAAACCTAACCTAACCTGGGGGGTGTTGACAATTCTGACGTAGGTGTCGTTATCTGGAGCCGAGGAGGGGGAAGGGCTACTCAGGTGTGCCATTTCCCAGGAGTTTACGCTTGGGGAGTCGACTAACTCATTGTGTGGCGTATCCTTCCGTCTTGTACGTATTCCGACAGATTGAGTTCTTCGTAGGTTTATTTTGGCCTGTCTGTCTGTCCATTGTGAATCCTCTTGAATTATCTGTCTGTCTGTGTGTATTGTAAGAATGCTTCGTGGTCTTCTAAAATTAAACTGAAAATATAATAAATAGAATAACATACATTATTATTTTATGTGTAGTGATAACATGTATACATTAGCTGTTATATAGTATACATAGTTTTGTAAGTTATCAAAATGTTTAGCAGTTATCGATATATCAAGATAACAGAATCGTATATATTAAATGATTTCGTTTATCATGATATAAAATTTATATTATGTCGAACTATTTAATTAATCTCTCAAATAAAAAAAATATAACAAACTTCAAAATATAAAAAATAGTAAAAATATCAAAATTGGTAAAGTATTAAAATGTGACATCACTAAAAATATACAAATACTAATAAAAATGTATAAAGAAAAATCTATAAAAATCTAATAAAAATATCACAGTAATAATAAAAATAAATAAATAAATAAAAATACTTAAAAAAAATCAGACGGGGGAGAATGATTCGATACTGACAAACTTCTTTCGAATAGATCCTCTGTCCTTCAGGTACTTGTGTATATCTCTGAAGCCTTCACTCTTAGCGATGTCACTGGGGGTCTTTCTCTCTGTATCCTTGAGGTCACTCTTCACGCCAGACTCTACCAACCATTTAACCACTTCCATTTCACCCGAGGCTGCAGCGAAGTGTACAGCATTGGTCTTCCCGTCGACCCGCGATTCCAAGTCACATCCGTAATTTTGAAGCATTTTTAAGGAGTTTATTTTACCCCCTTGAGCTGCCCAATGTACTGCTGTTTTACCTGTGTAGATGAAGAGTTAAGCTTAATGAGTTGATTAGCCCAGGTAAGTGAGACGGTAAGATTGGATTGATAAGGTAAATTACGTACTTAATGAAAGGGTTGAATATTGAGCTTCATTAACTTTCTGTGTAGAGGAGAATAGAAGAGAAAAAATGTGATGAACAGATAAAAGATGATAAAATAACCGCACTTTTCATTCCTTGGGATAAAGAAAGCCATTGTGTGTGTGTGTGGGAGAGAGGGGGTTGGGTGTGTGGGAGAGAGGGGTTGTGTGTGTGTGTGTGTGTGTGTGTGTGTGTGTGTGTGGGAGAGGGGGGTTGTGTGTGTGTGTGTGTGTGTGTGGTCTTACCCTTGTAATCCGTGACCTCGCCATTAGCTCCTCCATCCAGCAGTGCCCTTAGGATCTTTGTTCGTCCCAGTAGAGCCGACATGTGAAGCGCCGTTCCACCTACAGAGAGATAAACGAGACACACCTGACGCACTGTACCTTTGTGACTCTCTCTCTCTCTCTTTCTCTCTCTCTCTCTCTCTCTCTCTCTCTCTCTCTCTCTCTCGATATATACTGTAGTTAGGTTGAATGATTAATCGGTAGACAGGTAGAATGATACATAGGTAGATTGACAGGTAGAATAATATATAGGTAGACATATATTGACAGGTAGGTAGACAGGTAGAATGATAGTTTTAATCAACTTACCATAATCACCCGGCAGCTGACTCCTCACATTCACTCTGGCGTTCCGCTGGATGAGCAACTGAACGACCGGCAGGTGACCTCTACACGACGCGTAGTGTAGTGCCGTACGACCACTGCATGACGGATCCTTGGAGCGTTCTACCTGGTCTATCCATGCGCCGTTGTTAAGGGCTTCTTCCACGCCTGTTACGTCGCCTCCTTCTGAACACCTGATCTGTAGGGGGTGGGTGAGGGAGGGGTGTTGGTGGGTGGGGGTAGAAGGGGGTGGGGGTGAAGCAATACATTTTTTTTTAGTCAAGTGAGTTTGTGAAGGATTTGACCTACTTAAAATACGTTATTTTTATTTTGTTTGACTTTTTCTCCTACTTAAGTAACTTTTCGGAATAAGTGATGTATTTTAGATACTTTGTTACTTATATACAAGTTATCTCGTTACATTGGAAAGTACCCGCTGAGAGAGAGAGAGAGAGAGAGAGAGAGAGAGAGAGAGAGAGAGAGAGAGAGAGAGAGAAAGAAAGAATTTTAACTCTAGTTCCGGGTTACATAATAGCCTTAGGTCATACGGTACGGGTAGGAAAGAATGCAACTAGGAAGTCACAACTACCATCACCCACACTTACTAGTTTACGCTGCACGTTGCTCATCTTGGGATACTGGTGGCTATTTGGGCTAGTAGAAGACTCTCAGTGGTATATTGTCGCTGTCAGCTATATATTCATGACAATGCAGACAGCTGACACTCAAGAATATACCTTTTTTAGTTCATCTAGCTCTGAAATAATGTTGTTTTAGGAGTAATGGTGGAACGTCGACCTAAATTAGATTCATTAGTGGAACGTTGGCTACACCATTATCACTGTCGCTACACCATTATTACTGTCACTACACCATTATTACTGTCGCTACACACATCCTCACTGTCACTACACCATCAACACTGCCACAACACCATCCTCACTGTCACTACACCATCAACATCCACTACACCATCACTGCTACACTACCATTTCACCAAACTCATTCGCTGCAGTGACTAAAAATTACCACCATCAACACTACCATTTCACCAAACTCATTCGCTGCAGTGACTAAAAATTACCATCTCGTCACAGCCACCATACAGACAGTGAGACTTACACTACTCTACGTCCTGGACACTATATTTCACTGTAACACCATCCCAAAACACTGCACTATCCCCTCTAAACCTTCAAGTCCACCTTTAAATATGTGTTAAGTTGCTTGATACACAGTCACTATAATGGTCTGAGCAAGGTAGGCTGAAGCGTCTTGCTATCGCGATAAGATTAAGACACACTCAATCGTAACCCCATTGATAAGAGACGAAGAGAATGGTAGTTATTCCCATGACAAGATGAAATAAACAAGTATGGCTCTGCTTGACGAGTGGGTTATTCATGAACTTATTATTATTTAAGAGTATCGTGAGGGTTGGCGACCACAGCCCTCTATGCTAAGGATTCTCAAGATTTATTTTTTTTCTTGGGATCCAGTTTTTTTTATCGATCTCCAGTGTCTGTGTGTGTGTGTGTAGAGGTGGTGTCATTCTAACCCTCGACACTATGTAATAAAACTTAATAAATTCCTTCTAAGAAGCTTTATTGAGTCAAACATTCATACATTTGTTAATCCATAAACATTAACCAACATTTAACATATATGGTAATAAAAACCTATTACACTTTGTACTTATTAACTTAAGCTATATCAAGGTCAGGTGGCAAATATAACATTATTATACAACATGTAATTTAATATTTTTACATTAAATTACAACAGGTGTGTACAACAGGTGCAGGTGTATACAACAGGTACAGGTGTATACAACAGGTGTGTACAGCAGGTGTATGCAACAGGTGTGTACAACAGGTGTAGGTAGATGACTATTTCTTCTCAGTATAAAACAGTAAATGACCTTCATTCTCCTCCAACACAGTAGCCAGGTCCGTCTCAGTGACTGACTCATCGTTGTAGAGGCGCCAGGTCTTCCCGTGTTGGTTCCTGCAGTAGGCGGTGTAGTGGCCGGAGGTGGATGTCCCCCGATGGTCCACCACACCAAACAGTTCATACCGTCCACTGAGGAATAGATAACGTGCTGTAGATAAGATAAGATATAAAGCCAGTTTGTCCTTAATTAAATGAGAATATATCTAATCCACCCCACCCCAACCCAGCCCAACCCAACCCAGCCCAACCCAACCCAGCCCAACCCAGCCCAACCTAACCTAACCTAACCTATGGGGTGAGCTGACCTGCGGTAGTTCCTGTGCATGTATTCCTGTAGCGTCAGGTTGTCTGGGGGGAAGGTGACACGGGTCTTCCTTTCCTGCGGGTCTCGGCTGGTGTACCTGGTGGGGGGTAGGGTGATGGTGATTAACTTAGCAATGGAAATGATTCTACTACTACTACTACTACCGTAATAATAATAATAATAACTAATAACAACAATAACAACAACAATAACAACAGCAACAACAACAACAACAACAACAATAACATTAATAATAACAACAATAACAACAACAAATAATAATAAAACTAATAACAACAATAACAACAACAATAACAACAGCAACAACAACAATAACAATAACAACAACAATAACAACAACAACAATAATAACAACAACAACAACAACATACACTGTCTACTCCGCTCCTCACCTTTTCAGGTGTATAATTAGAACAGGTGGAAGGTGGATCACTTCTGTCTCCCGTCTACAGCTGTGTGACCGTCTACAGTATGGACAGTCCCACTCGACCTTCTGTCCACTGTAGTGAGCCTTTAGTAGTTCCTATGACAAGGGTGACGGGTAATTATTGAGCTATCTGTCTGTCTGTCTGTCGAATATATTCATCTGTCTGTGTTTATCCATTTATTTTCTCTCTCTCTCTCTCTCTCTCTCTACTGTACATACCTGAAGGGTGGCTGACGGAGAGGTCTTAGCAGGAGGCACCAGCAGGGTAAGAGTACTGAAGGGATCATTAGTACGGCAGATCTCTCTCCCGTGTTTGTCACAGATCATTATGGAGTTATTCTCACCGTGTAGGCGCCTGGATACGAGCGAAGATCCGCCAGACTATCGTTGGAGTAGAGACGGGCGAAGAGTGGTATAGGTGGTTTGGAATGAATTGGATATGTTATTATTACGTGTGTGTGTGTGTGTGTGTGTGTGTGTGTGTGTGTGTGTGTGTGTGTGTGTGTGTGTTACTTGGTCTGGTATGGTTATATAATTCTTTGTTACTTGATATTAAGATTATAGATATATTTGTTACTTGATCTAACAGTTATAATAATCTATGTTACTTAATTTAGTAACGATTTAAATTTACGTTACTTAATCTAATGTTTAAATATATAGGTAAACAAAACTCTTTATGAAATTGTCAATAATCTATCCATCTATCCATCTATCCATCTTGTACTCCAGGTATAGAGTCCATAATGGATGAGTGTAGAGAGTACTGGTATACGTCAAGACTTACATTCATGAGGTCATTATGTATCCAGGTCAGGAGGTTGGCAATAAGGTCATGGGCATCCTGTTGTTGTGACCCCTGGAACCTCTCGTTATAGTCACCAACAACATGCTGTGGAGGTCAATTTGAGGTCAATTTAGGTCACATTAAGTCACATACGCGTAATAGATATGATTATTTTATTTTTTTCTATGAGTGGAGTACCTCAAGGTTGTATGGTGAGCTTATTATTTTTACAATAATTATTTAATGTTTTCCTATTTCTTTTTTCTTATTTAATTGTATTCTCTTTATTGGTTTTATTATTTTTTTTCCCTTTTCTATTAATTTCGTGTTTTATTTTTCTGTTGTCAGTTTTGTTTTGATTCTTAACATTCGAGTTTTTAGTCTCTCTCTCTCTCTCTCTCTCTCTCTCTCTCTCTCTCTCTCTCTCTCTCTCTCTCTCTCTCTCTCTCTCTACCTTCAGTTGCCTCGTCTTCTCTCTCACTTCCTTCTCGATGCCTGAGTGTAGAGCCTTGAAGACTCCTGCCAGGGCTAAGGCTACCTCCCCCTTCTGCTCACTAGTACGGTTCAGCTCCCTCCTGCAGGTGTTAATAATTATAGGTATATGTCCTCCTACAGGTGATAAATACAGGTAAACATCCCCAGCAGGTTATAATTAATCCCTTTCCTTCTTCAGGTGATAGTTGATTAATTAGTCTACCTGTTCATCCTCCACGAGATCTGAGTATAGGTAAAAATCTAATTAATTTATCCTCGACCTCATTAGTGGCATAATAAACACACGATTATCTGCTATCAGTTCCTACTTCGCTATACAGTTCCTTAATAACCCAACATGTTAATTACTTCGCCGTCACAAAGTTAATGAGTCTCACACCATCGAATATATCTCCCCAGTGTGGTGTTTGACCCTTCGATCACAACACGTATGGTTGAATGAGATGGTTTAGTAATCATGATATTCTGGGGTTTTGTTGCTTCATGATACAATGTGAAGCCACGAGTCTGAACCATCTACTGAGACTTGGATGTCATATAATTATTAACTAGTTCGAACACGTCATCTCATTTCGTGGTGGTGTTCGGTTGTGTTCAGAAAATCAGAATAATATTTCTTCCTTCATCAAGTCCCCGTAAATGTCTGCACCGAAGCCTAGACGTTTAGCATAGGATAAAATGTTCCTTGGTTCATTAGTTGGCTGACATAACCTAACCTAACCAAACAGTAGCTATTGTTTGTAAGTCTAATTAACCATGTTTAGAAGACTTGTTTGTTTGTGAGTAGTGTTTGTGTTTGTCCATCAGGAAAAATTGTGAATGAGATGAGAGAGAGAGAGAGAGAGAGAGAGAGAGAGAGAGAGAGAGAGAGAGAGATTAGCCCACCTGTATGAGTCCTTTATAAAGAACTCCCTGAAACTGTTGACGTTAAACAGAATCTGGATGACGGAGTTAATGTAGCAGGTGTTGCCCAGGTTAGGTAGACCAGACGGCGTGCCTACCTGGAATACATCAACGAACGTCAGAAAAAGTCAACAGATAGTTAGATATTCATAAATACGTTAAGTAAATGTCTATAAACATTGTATATCTCAGATTAATGCATTTATATATCAATCTAACCTAACCATTGATGAATATTCTTTATTGGTGCTCAACTATGACGTCTGAACATGTGGCTAATACGTCAACACTCAATAAACCCAGCGAGGTTCTTTACCCACTTACCCTCACACTGCTCTCAAACCTAGAGCGTGGTACTGAATGGTCTCTCTGGCTTGGTCTGGGCTCCTGGATCGGTCTAAAGGTCTGTAAAACTAACTGTTGGTTATTGGTCTGTTGTTGCTGTTCGTTCCCTCGGTCTCGCCTCTCTGATTCTGGTCTGCTGTCCAATTCCTGAAGCTGTTTCTGTCAGGTAACAAAAAGATAATTCAGAACACCTGTGAAATTCACCTTTTTTTGTCTATATAACTTAAAGTAAACAACCACAATAAATATCAAGTAAACAATAAACAAAACAAGTAAATATTAACTACTGTAGACAATACTTGAATCTTAGTTATACAGACACACCTGTTCTCACCTGTCCACTACCACTACCACTCACACCTGTCCACCACCACCACCACCACCTTACCTGATATAAACGAATGCTCTGCTCGCGTTCCTTTAACTTCTTAGTCATTTCCGCTATGTTGGTCCTGTGTACATCATCTTGTTGCATTAGTTCAGCCTCCCTCATCTGCATAACACGACAGGTAAAATTACACATCTTAATTGCTTTTTTTTTTTTGTGTACAGGTGTGGCTGATGGCAGTTATCATGTTTTATAAGTCTCTATCATCCCACAGCCTCCAGTCATCATACCTCGTAAGTCTCCAGTCATCATACCTCATAAGCCTCCAGTCATCATACCTCATAAGCCACCAGTCATCATACCTCATAAGCCACCAGTCATCATACCTCATAAGCCACCAGTCATCATACCTCATAAGCCTCCAGTCATCATACCTCATAAGCCTCCAGTCATCATACCTCATAAGCCACCAGTCATCATCCCTCATAAGCCACCAGTCATCATACCTCATAAGCCACTAGTCATCATACCTCATAAGCTTCCAATCATCATACCTTATAGGCCCGGATGGTACTATCATACTCCTTCAGTCTGGTGTTCATCTCTTCAATGTTCAATGTATGGATTTTGTTCAACTCCCGCAGCTCGTTTTCTTTAGCCTGTGGAGTATGCGACGTGTTTATTGTTTGTTTACATTGTAGTTTTGTTTACATTGTAGGGTTTGTTTACATTGTAGGGTTTGTTTACATTGTAGGTTTTGTTTACATTGTAGGGTTTGTTTACATTGTAGGTTTTGTTTACATTGTAGGTTTTGTTTACATTTAGGGTTTGTTTACTTTTTTACATTGTTTTGTTTATAGTTTTTGTTTGTTTACAGTTTTGTTTTGTTTACATTTAGGGTTTGTTTACAGTGCATGATATGTTTACAAAAGATACATAGAATCTATCTCTATTAGACAGTAATCTAGAGACAGAGACAGGCAGAGATAACAGACAGACAGAGAAAGAGAGAGAGAGATAGAGGACAGAGAGAAAGACAGGCAGACAGACAGAGAGAGATAAAATGAGAGAAATACAGAGACAGAGAAACAGACAGACAGACAGACCACAACACGCCAATCAGTCCAACACAGGTATACGAGTACCTACCTGTACTGTGGCCAGGGTTCGTGCCAAATTGTCAGCCTCTTTCCTGAGTGCCAAGGTCGCGTGATGTGTACTGCTCATTTCAACAGCTTCAACCTGTCTTCTGGCTTCCCTCAGCTGCAACTGTAGGATAGGGGGAGGGGGGGGGGATGCTTGATAGGTGGATAGATGGATTTTTTGATAGATAGATAGATAGATACGTTTTTGATAGATTGACTCTTTTTTTATAGATAGATAATTTTGACAGACAGACAGACACATATATTTTTGATAGACAGACAGATATTTTTGATAGACAGACAGATTGACAGACAAAAAGAGACATATGTTTGTTAGACAGACCAGACAGATATTTTTGGTGGACAGAAACATATTTTTTATAGAGACACTTTTTTGACAGAGACAGACAGACAGGCAGACAGACAGACAGACAGGCAGACAGACAGACAGACAGACATTGAGATAATCGAATAGAGTTCTTGATAAATAGATTGCTAGATAATTAGATATACATAATTATATAAATATTATACCATATAGGTTCTTAGATATACTTAAATAACGTTTATATAATCAATATACTATATATATAATCCCTGGATATAGTTAATTTAGTCTTTCTTAATCCCTGGACTTTATTTGATCTAGATTAAATATTACATAATTAATTTAATATATCTAATCCTTGTATATAATTAAAACTAACCTTAATCTTCCCTAATCCTTACCTTAATCTCCCTAATCCTTACCTTAATCTCCCTAATCCTGACCTTAATCTCCCTAATCCTCACCTTGATCTCCCTAATCCTTATCTTAATCTTCCCTAATCCTTACCTTAATCTTCCCTAATCCTTACCTTAATCTCCCTAATCCTTACCTATAATTAATCCCTAACGTACAATACCTGGTCCGTGGAGATAATCTGTTCGTATTCCCTCAGTTGTTTCTCCTTTATTTCCGTGTTCTTGTTAAGGTCGTTTATTATCTTCTTGTAAACTTCTGCCTGTTTCATCAGTTCCTGTATTCTCACCTGCTGCTGTGTCTGTGTGGGGAAGGGGGAAGGGGTAGAGGAGGGATGAGGGAGGAGGTGTAAGGAAGGAGGAAAGGTAGATAAAGAAGGGATAGGGAGAAGGAAGAATAAAGGGAGGGAGAGAGAGAGAGAGAGAAAGGGAAGCATCGTTAGTATTATAATTTACTCAAATCTTCTGTAATTATTATTATTCTCATTATTATCATCATACATAAACTAACTCACAGCCAAATAGTTAAAAAAGAAAAAAGATCCTTATGTATTCTTGTGCTGTATGTCAACTAAGTTATGGTTTCATTTTTACGATTTCTTTTCTCTGTCTGTCTGTCTGTCTCTTAAAATATTTACTATTGTGAAGATAATTATTCCAATATGATATATGAACCAAATCTCAAGTTAATTCTTTTAAAAAATTTCTTTGTTCTCTCTCTCTCTCACCTGTTTCCCTTGAGCCTTCTCTATCTCCTCCTTCATCATGTTTGTTATATCCACCAGTTGTTCCTTCAGCTTAACGATGGTGTCTCTATGGGCGGCTTCCACCTCCTGTAGCTGTTCTATTTTTTCCTGCAGCACCTGCGTCAGTACAGTGATATTAGCTGTGTCCACCACCGCTTCCTCTAACTCGGTATGTGATAATTTTTTAGTAATTCTTGTTAATCTATACAAAGTTTTATTAATTATTATATTATTATTAGATGTTCATATTTTAATCTCTTTTCACTATCTCTCAATATATTCTGTTATCTAATGTAGTTATCGCTGAAATATAATCGTTTTCTTTGGTTAGTATATTTTAGGGGTAACTTACCTGAACCTCGGCCATCTTCTTGCTGTCATTTTCCAACATGTGTGATAAACTGGCTATTTTTTCCTTCAATATGGTGACTGTCTCTTCGTTGGCCTTCTCTCTTTGTTCAATCTGTTTATCTTTGTGTCTTAACTGAGCCTGTGTGGAGGAATGAACCGTGATAAAAGATAAAAAAAACTAGAAAACTTAAAATAAATATCAGACAAAGATAAGATGAATTAATACTAAGAAAAAAATAATATAAAATTATATAATATGACTTAGATTAATGAGTTATATAAAATGGAACGCTACAGAACTAGACTGAAAGAATCTTACTTGGTAGGAGGAGACAATCTGTTCAGTTTCTGTCAGTTTGTCAATCTTCTCGTAAAGTTTCTCATTGAGGTCACTGATAGTTTCGTTGTTGACCTCATCTTGTTCCTGTAGTTGCTGTATCTTCTTCTGGTGTTCCTCCTGTCAGGTGTAGAGAAAGAAGATTAATGAACAGATATAATTAGGTAAACAATATTTCTGAGTATATATTTAATTATAAGGCGGAGGGAACCACTTTACCTTCTCGGCTTCTAGGTTGTGTGTAAGGCGGTTCACCTCCTCCCTCAGTGAAGTCATTGTGTGTCGACTAGCAGCCTCCAATTCTTCATACTCTCTCTCCTTCTCTTGTAACTCTTCCTGTCAGATTTTGAGTTAGATTAGGTTAGGTTCCTTCACTCCCTCCTGCCCCCCCTCTCTCTCTCTCTCACCTTATACAGAGTTATCGCCTCCTCTTGGGTCCCCAGTCTGTTGGCCATGGCATCACTCGTCTTCTTCAGTTCATCTAAGTTTCTTTTGTTGATTTTCCTTCGTTCCTCCATTTCTCTCTCTCTCTCCTCCTGCTGCGTCTGGGCCATGAGGGATAATGATGATAATAATAATAATAATAATAATAATAATAATAATAACGACAAGAAGAATTAAACTACAAGAGACACACACACACACACGCGTACCTTAGAGGCGGTCATCTTGAGTTTCTCTTCGTCCAGGGAGTGTGAGAGACCATCTATCTCTTCTCTCAGTCTCGCTATCGTCTCCTCACTATTCGCTTTGTGTTCGTTAAATTCTCTTTCCTTGTTCTGTAGTTGTCCCTGTGTGGTTAGGAATACGTTAAGTGATTTGTGGTTGTTTATTTTTAGGCGGGGAAGAGAGGGGGGGGGGAGTAAACAACCACCCCTCCCTCCACACCCCACCCCCCACCGAGGCAGGGTTACGACACTGCAGACGTCCCTTAACTTCTACCCTCGTTATGTTATTTAAACTACAACGAGCATTAACATATCATTAAAACAAACAATATTGTCTTTAAATAAATGTTTAATGTTAAATTCGGTTATTTAATAGATACGAAGATGTTAATTTTATACCTCATATGATGTTATTGTCTTCTCGTGTTCCCGCATCTTGACGGACATGTGGTAGACTGTGTTCTTCAGGCTGTCTGTGTTCATCTTGTTCACCTTCTCTCGTTCCTGTAGGTCTTTTTCTCTCTCCTCCTGCTGGGCCTGAGAGAGTGAGAGAGAGAGAGAGAGAGAGAGAGAGAGTGAGTAACATTAACTATTGAAATCATTTTAAAGAATGACATATATTTTGTAAACTCCAGTGTGTTTGTGTGAACTTTCTGGGGTAGGGGGGGGTGACTTACCTGGGTGGCGGCCATCTTGAGTTTCTCCTCATCTAGTGAGTGAGAGAGACGCTCCACCTCCTCCTTGAGTGAGGTAATGGCCTTCTTGCTCTCACCCTCCACCTCCTGCAGAACCTTGTGCTTGTCTCGTAACTGTTCCTGTGTGTTAATTAACCTGTTAAATCTCTCTCTTTAACCACCTGTATTATATGATCAACTATAAGGGTTAATATAGAGATAATCCTCAACAGACACTCATACGGACGCCTCCTCTTGCCTTATAGGAGTCGACAGCGTCCTCGTATTCCCTCAGCCTGTTAGACATGTGTTTGATGGTCTTGTTGAGGTCCGTCAGGGTGTTCCTGGTCAGTTTGTCTTGCTCCAGTAGCTCCTTCACCCTCCCCTCCTGCTGGCTCTGTCGGGGCACGTGACGGTAAGTGACAGAGAAACGGGTTGTGGGAGACAGTAATGAGACAGGGAGTTAGATTGTAGAGTAAGATTGAAAGAATAATAAATGAAATGGAATATGTATGTGTGTGTGTGTGTGTGTGTGTGTGTGTGGTGAGCCTTAATTACAGGTGTTGTGCCGCTACTCACCTGGTCACTGAGAGTCCTTTGTTTATCCTCCTTCTGCTTACTCAGTAGGTGCTCCAACTGGTGGGTGAGTGTAGTGATCGTCTTTTTGTTGGTCTGATCTTGATCCTGTAGAGATTGTATCCTCAGCTGTTGGTCCTGGAGAAGGTGTTGAAGATAAGTCACTTTCATAAATAAGACGAAAGGTTTTGGTAGATATATAGACAACAATAAGTATTTTCTTTATCTCTTGTTCTTCCATTCTATTTATTATTTTATCTGGTTTATTTACTTATCTTTATAGTTCCCACCATTTATCGTATCTCCTAATGTTTAGTTCCTACCACAGAGCGATGACTTATGAGAGTGGGATCAATGACCAGCCGGAATGACGATGGTAGGAATACTATCACGTTAGTTTTCTACTTTTCTCACAGAGGGGGTAGAGGTGAGAGGGGGGAGGGGTAAGGTTAATTGAGAGATAAACTTAATTAACACACCTGAGCGGCAGCCACCTTGAGTTTCTCCTCGTTCAGGGTGTGTGAGAGGTGATCTATCTCCTTCTTTAGTGATGTCAGCGCCTTCTGCTTAGTCTCCTCCTGCTTCTCAAAATCTTTTTCTCTCACTTGTAACTTAACCTGTACTCAAAACACGACTCAATTACGATTAACCTGTACTCAAAACACGACTCAATTACGATTAACCTGTACTCAAAACACGACTCAGTTATGAAATCTTTACCTGTAGTCTTGTATCAATATTTACAGCAATAATCAAATACGACTCAAATAATACAGTGGCGTACCTCAAGGCCAGAGATTGTGCCCTCGTAGTCTCTGATCTTGTGGGACATTTGGTCAACCTGGCTGGTGAGATCCTCGTTGACCTGTTCCTTCAACTTAACTTGTTTAATAAGTTCCATTATTCTCTCCTTTTGTTCCATCTGTTAACCGTAAGATAAGTTGTAGTGATTTTTTTTTAATATTAGTTAAATTTTGCATTACTCGGCACCTATTAATGACGTAACTTGTGTTTAATTAATCGTAAAACAACTTTCTACTTCATTATTCACGTAACAAGTACAAGATATTATTCATTTCTCATTTGGTAATATTTCAACATTCATTACTGTTACTTCCGGGTTACTACGGGTACTTCCGGGTTACTGCGGTGGGTATGACTCACCAGGGGAACAGTTCCTGAAGGTCTGTCAGCATCCAGAGCCTTAGTCAGTTGCTCCACCTCCTCCTTCAGGTTGGTCATTGCCTGCTGGGTCTTCTGTAGGTCCGCCTCCCTCTCCTCGAGCTGAAGCTGTGTCGTGTGTGGTAAAGTGATCAGTTCTTAAGAGACAGCGAGGAAGAGTCTCTTAAGGAGATTATTGCTCTCTCTCTCTCTCTCTCTCTCTCTCTCTCTCTCTCTCTCTCTCTCTCTCTCTCTCTCTTGCTCTCTCCTATTTGCACCTGTAACCAATCAGACCCCCAAAGGTGTTCAACTAATTAATTACCAACAAACTAGACCAGGTGAGAACATTACCTCAGGAATATTAATCACCTGAGACCTTAATTAAACACATCACCTGTTAATCCTAATTACCTTAGAGTACAATGCCACTTAGAGACATGTAAACAAACAGATAAGATAGGATGAGTGGTGATTATACTCATCTCTCTCTCACCTGGTAGGCGGCTATGGTTCGTTCCTGGTGTTGTAAAGTGAGTGAGTTCTCTTCCAGTTTCTCCTCCAGGTTAATAATGGTGGACTGATTGATTTGGTCTTGTAGTTTTCTCTCCATCTCCTCGTGTTCTTTCTGTTAAGGGGGTATTGAAATTAGTCTCTCTCTCTCTCTCTCTCTCTCTCTCTCTCTCTCTCTCTCTCTCTCTCTCTCTCTCTCTCTCTCTCTCTCTCTCTCTCTCTCTCTCTCTCTCTCTCTCTCTCTCTCTCTCTCTCTCTCTCTCTCTCTCTCTCTCTCTCTCTCTCTCTCTCTCTCTCTCTCTCTCTCTCTTTATGGGCACACATAATCACTCAGTCAATTAATCCACACACCTGGGCACAATCAATCAATCAATCAATCAATCAATCAATCGACTCACCTGGGCATTAAGGTGTTGCTGCTTCACGTCACTCAACTCCTGGGTCAACTCGTCCACCTTCTGCCTGAGGGTGGTGATGGTGTCTGTGTCGTGGATGTCTTGATCCAGAAGCAGCTGTAGTCTCTCCTGAAGGTGTAACAGGGTGTATAGAGAGGGGTGTAGGGGTGTAGGGGGGGGTGTAGGGGGGTGTAGGGGTGTAGGGGGGGTGTATTTGTGGGTTGAGGATGGTGGAGTCATCATAGGTCATTATTATGTTTTTTTTTTACAGATTATGTTATCAAGATCTAACCTAACCCCCTCAGGTATAACTTCCTCTCACTCACCTGCCTCACCAAGCCCCCCTGAGTGACTCACCTGGGCAGAGGCCACCTGACGACGTTCCATCTCCAACTTCTTCAGCTGATGGTCCACCTCGTCTTTCAGTAAGATCAAGGCGTCTTCTCTGGCCTCCTCGCTGGCATCCTTGGAGTCCAGCTGCTTCAGTGTGGCCTCCTGGTTGATCTCCTGTGTGGCCTCCTTGCTGACTACCTGGGCGACCTCTTGGTTAGGCTCCTGTCTGGTCTCCTGCTGTGTGGTCTCCTGTCTGGTCTCCTGCTTTGTGGTCTCCTGTCTGGTCTCCTGCTTTGTGGTCTCCTGTCTGGACCTATGGCTGTTCTCATGTCCGGACCCTTGTCTTGACCCCTGCCTGGTCTCCTGTCTTAACCCCTGCCTGGTCTCCGGTCTAGACCCCTGCCTGGTCTCCTGTCTTGACCCTTGTCTGGTCTCCGGTCTAGACCCCTGTCTGGTTTCTTTCCTCATCACAACAAGGATCTCCTGGTTGGCCTCCTCCCTAACATCCAAGCTCGTCTCCAAGCTGGCCTCTTTAGCGATCTCCAAACTAACATCCAGGCTGGTCTCCATGCTGGTGTCTTGTCCTTCCAAATCATCTTTTCGTCTCCGTGGTCCACTCTGTGAAGGATTAGTCCTCACTTAACAAGACTGGAGTGTGTGAAGCCTGAGGGAGGGTGGACGACACACAGGGACCTTCACAAAGTCCCGCGGGTTTGGGGCACTTTGTTTACATTAGTTGTGAGTTGTACTTAGTCGACACCAGATAAGACAAACTATCGAATATTATACGTCACAGCTCCTCAGGTCAAGGGTCACGTGGTTGAGGATAAAAGGTCACAGGAGAGGTCAATTAATAATTACCTGGTCAATCTCCTTAAAAAATGACCCAAACTACATCATATAGCATCAATATTGAACATCTTGACAAAACAAAATTGAAACAGGTATTGTAAGTGACTGTGGACAGGGTAATTAGTTGTGATATTAACTAGATGTACTAATTATGTCAGTGTCCCACTTACCTGCCACACTTCACCATCATCGTCCAAACTTGACCTGCTTCTGGCCCTCACCCACGCCTGTTGATCAGACACACACAGTCATAAGTTAGTGAGAGATTAAATACTTGGGTGAGGTATTTCTCTTATCTAGGACACGTGGGAGAAGTGTGTGTGTGTGTGTGTGTATGCATTTTTACTTGGTTATATTTTACACTACAACAACATTTACACCCGTGTTTACACTTATACTTACAAAGCTGGCCTTGCCTACGGTGTGTTGCTTCAGGAAGTGTTGGATGTCATATAGTTCTCGGGCCTTGGCCACGTCCTTGGCCAAGCGGTTCTTGTGGTCCCTCAGGCCACAGTCCACCTTGTTCTTCACCAGCCACTTGACCACTCCCAGGTCCCCGTAGGCGGCCGCCAGGTGAAGCACGGAGGACTTCTCCTTGTCTACGGCGTGGAGATCACAATGGTAGTCTCTCAGCATCTCCAGGGACTTGAGCTGGCCTCCGTAAGCTGCCCAGTGGACGGGTCTCCTACCTGACGAAGGGAGAAGGTGTGAGGAAGAGAAAATATCTCCTCTCAAGTATTCTCAAATCAAAGTAAGACTCTTGTGTTGTGGCGGCAGGATATAACACAACACCTTAGCCTTCCCCAACACACTGCGTCAAGAAAGGGGACTTGTATCTTAGTCTTGTTGAATGTAAGTGTAGACAGGTAGGTAGACAGACAGGTAGGTACATAGACAGGTAGATAGACAGACAGGTAGGGACATAGACAGGTAGATACATAGGTAGATATTTTCCTATCTCATTGGATTCCATAGATGATCACGATGTCCGTGTGTGTGTGTGTGTGTGTGTGTGTGTGTGTGTGTGTGTGTGTGTGTGTGTGTGTACCTTTATCGTCGAGGGCCTCAGGATCAGCACGGTTCTTGATCAGCGTCTCCATGACGTGTGTGTGACCAACCTCGGCAGCCAGATGGAGCGCTGTCCCTCCTGGGGAAAAAAACACACACACACTAACTCACTAATTTACTACATTTATTATCATCCTGGGTTAAAAAAAAAATCTTTTATTATTATTTACTCCTGAAACACACACACACACACACACACACACACACACACACACACACACACACACACACACCTTGATCACCGAATTTCTTGCTCTTATTATTCACGTCACATCCTTCACCAATGAGTAGGTTGACCACATCCAGGTGACCCCCCTCGCTGGCGTGGTGGAGGGCGGTCCTACCTCTACCTGACGCCTCCACATCCATCATATCTACCACCACACCTCCACTCTCAAGGGCTCTCCTCACTTCATTCGTGTCGCCCTCCCTTGAGCTGCGTATCTGGAGGAAGAGAGAGAGAGGGTGATAAAGGGGGGAAGAGGAGGAGGAGGTAAGGAAAATTATCGGGTTTTATTCATTAATGTTTCTGGTTATTTATTTGTCTGTATTTATTTATGTTCATTCAGTCATTAGTTAAGTTATTTATCTGTCTATCCATCTATTTATCCAGTACCTATCCATCTATCCAGCATCTATCCATCAACTTTCGTCAATTTACAGTTTATATTCCATTTAAAAATCGACTTACGAATCTCCTGTGAGCTTCTGTCATTTTCTGTTGTTCTGTCCACACTGTCAGCCGTCAGCTCTGTTTACCCTGGTGTCTGTCAGCCCTCCATACTGACACTATACGGGCTGACAGTTGTTGATTCCTGACACTGAAAGAATGCCAATGATTAGGTTAGTTTGGGTGGCTCTCTCTCTCTCTCTCTCTCTCTCTCTCTCTCTCTCTCTCTCTCTCTCTCTCTCTCTCTCTCTCTCTCTCTCTCTCTCTCTCTCTCTCTCTCTCTCTCTCTCTCTACAATCTAGAGAGAGAGAGAGAGAGTGAACACACACACACACACACACACACACACACAGTCATTATCAATAACTATATCCTGTTGACTCATATAATAACGTCATGAATTGCAACCAACATTTTAGCCTGATGATTCACACCACCACCACCACCACTACCACCACCACCACCACCACTACCACCACCACCACCACCCCCACCACACCACCACACTATCACCACACCTAGAGAAACAGTGACTTTAATTATCACCTCACCAGCACTGTACCAAGCATAACAGTGACAGTTTATCCACGAGACGCAACGCATTCCCAAGAACAATTGATCACTGTTCAAACACAAGACGCAAGCAGTGATTATCAAGCTTCAAGACGCAAACAGTGATTATCAAGCTTCAAGACGCAAACAGTGAAGCAGACGGTTAACACAGACCGGTATGGCTCCTGCAGTGAAGTTAACGGCTCCTGACACTGCTCCTGGCACTGTTCCTGATACTGCTCCTTACACTGCTCCTGGCACTACTAACAGTGACACAGTGACATATGGACGCCGAGGTTCAGTTGATGAGGTGATAAGATAACACGGAGATAAGGATTTGGGTCACGTGAGAGAGAGAGAGAGAGAAAGAGAGAGAGAGAGAGAGAGAGACAATCAGTAAAAATCAACTACCTAACCTAACCTAACCTAACTTAACCTAACTTAACCTAACTTAACCTAACTTAACTTAATCACTCTTGCGTTAATCGGATGTAGTTTGAATGGATAATCTTCCTCGCTATTGGCTGATGATAAGAGGCTATCTGTAGTTAAGTGATAAGGCAGCTATGTCCTGATTGGTAAAGAGTGTACTGGTATGTGTGTGTGTGTGTGTGTGTGTGTGTGTGTGTGTGTGTGTGTGTGTGTGTGTATGTGTGTGTGTGTGTGTGTGTGTGTGTGTGGATCTTACCATTGTTGTTTATTTGTTAATATCGGAGGAATATTTATCTTATTTCCTTCATAAATTCTATCAAACTTGAAGAAACTGAAGTGAGAAAATGTATAATGAATGGAGATAGAAGGATAAAAAATGATTGAATGTTACCTTAGATAGAGGAAGTAGAATGCTTCACCTGGGAGTGTCACCAAATGGGGCCAATGATTGATGAGTTGGTCCTGAGGTAAGTAATTAGCACACCTCACGTCCAGGTGTTCTCTTACCTGTAATCTTGATAATGAGTAAGATTTATTTTGCTAACCTAAGTTATTTTATTATTATTATTATTATTATTATTATTTTTATTATTATTATTGTTGCTGTTTTTGTTATTATTATTATTGTTGTTGTTGTTATTGTTGTTGTTGTTATTGTTATTGTTGTTATTGTTATTGTTGTTGTTATTATTGTTGTTGTTGTTTTAAGAAGACTCCCCATAGTCAAGATACAGACGGTATGGATGCAAGGCAGAAGATCTTATCGGGTTGATAAGTTGAATTCGTTGATATCTGTTATCAGCTGTTATCGAGGAGATCACTTCCCTAAATACAACCTCACCTTAGTCTACTGTACGTGGCAGTGGTCACCTGTACGTGGTAGTGTGGTGGTGTGTACGTGGTAGTGGTTGTGTGTACGTGGCTGGTGGTCGAGGAATACACTATGACAGATAACTGGAATGGCGTTAACGTAAGTACTGAGTTTGTTATATTTTCTGTTAATATGTTCATCTAGAGAGAACACTAGAATAAATAGACAACCTAACCTAACCTAACCCCCTTTTACTAATCCTCACTCCCCCACACTCCCCACTCACTCCCTACTCACTCCCTCACAGTCAAATCTCTACGCCAGTACGGGAGATCTGGACAAAGTACGAGTCACCTGGAAACCGCCCAGGTACTCCAGGTACAGGTCCTCCGGCAACGGGGAACTACACCAGGGTGACCAGAGAGCGACAGGTCCTACCACCTCCTCTACACAGGTCCTCTCCCAGAAGAGAATCTATGGCAGTGTAGGAAGCTTGAACCTACCTGGGGATGGTGATTCCTTCGATGGGATTAAGGATTCTTATATCCCCGATGGGTCAGATGGCATTTGGAGACAAATATGTAAGGCTCGTCACCACAGCAGTACAGGGGAGACACATAGATCCTACAGCAGTGAGAAGCTGGCCACGTTCTCAACACCGGGAGGAGAGCAGGAATACTACAATACCTTAGACTCGCATGAAACACTGCCCGCCAACACCTCCGCGACATTCCGCACATCAGAGAAGACACAGTGGAAATACTTCAACACAAGAGACAACACGCCACATAGTCCCCAACATGCCCATGAGCTCTCACTCTCCACCAAGAGACACAGCCCACAACATACCCCACACGACGACGACCAAAACGAACACATATTCACGTTTCCAACACGACAAGCTACCCAAGAACACCTCAGCGACACAGGAGGGACACGCAATACTCTATCACAGCGACAACAGGTTTTCAAAGGCAGGGAGTCACGTCAGGAGCCACAGGGAACCGCAGTAGCTCACAGGACTCCTGGTGTAGGGAGGTGCTCTTCGTATTCTCCACCACCACGACAACATGATCAGTTCCTTCCTCAGACACATCCAGACGAACAGGTATGAATAACTTTACCTTTTCACGTTATAAGATACTAAAATCACTATTGTATTGCTAGGGCTTCGTGTAGTAACAGAGGATTAAACGGTGTACCAAAAATAAGTAACAGTATAACAGGAACAACGAAAAAGCAACACGGAACATCTGAGAGGTTAAGATATCAGAACTAGCAAGCAGATTTTACTGATAACATAAACAGGAATTATCGTGTACATGAAGCCACTGATAACAACCCGGATTTATTACACTCTATAAATGGTTTTCTCAGGAGCAACTTAGATGACGAGATGTACAGCTGATGTAGGATTTCTGTGTGTGTGTGTGTGTGTGTGTGTGTGTGTGTGTGTGTGTGTGCAAAATAAATAAATGCCTACTCATCTTTCTATCATTCTAAATTCTTCTATTTTTCCTATTTATTTCCTCAGTATTATATGCACTTAACCTAATTAATACTTTTTATAGACATACAGTATATTCTAACTTTATTTTGTATATACTTAAATTTACGTTCATTAATGATTTTCTTTTTCAATCTAATATTTTTTTTCCTCGTCTCATTTGTATACCCGGGATGATCTTCTTCAGGAGGGGCATGACAGTCCTTCTGCAGGAGTTCATGTGGCCATCCCTGCGTATGTCATGTTCAGTCCTAACTCCTCCTCAAACGATGATCACGAGCAACTGGCAACCACCGTGAGTAACTCGGGAGATAGTGTTTTAGAGAGAAGGTCTAAACTGAGAGATATATATACAGAAAGTACGATAGATAGATAGATATAAATAAATAAGAAAAAAACTGACGAAACGATAATAAAATCACCCCATGTATGACGATTACATCCCCGGCACGACAGCCAAGTGGCACACAAGCATGGAACTTCAAAATAATCGCTTTAAAACCACTAATGAACTCCTGATACTCTTATATCTTAACCCGCAGAAGGAGCAGGATACACCGGCGTCCCCAGACAGCCTGGAGGAGGACCCAAGGACAACAATATCGACCTTAAGGAGGGAGGTTAAACGTATCACCAAGATGAAAGATGAGATCGAGGAAAACCTTCTCAAGAGTCAGGTGAGGAAGGTATTTGACCGGTTGTGTAGGATGATACGTGTTGGGTATGGAAATAATAATAATCTTGGATATTTTTCCTCTTTACACACACTCTTCAACATAGCCTACTCATCAACTATACCATCACCCACAGACAGCGCTGAAGAAACAAGTAAAGGAACTGACTGAAGAAAAACAGAAGTGGACACAAGAAAGAGCCACTAGGGATTCCATCATCGTTATGCAGAAGTCTCAGATAAACGCTTTGACCCAAGAGACTGCTAAGCATGACCATAACAAGACGTCTTCAACTAACTTAGAGGTGAGGTAAATACTGAGGGACCGTGTGTATAAAGCTTTGTTGCTATTAAATGAAAGTGTATAAAATTATGTTAATGAGTAAATGAGCGGATTAAGTTATGTTGCTGAGTGAACGTGACGTAAGTTAAGGTAAATGCCGAGTGAAAGTGAGTAAAAGATCATATTAATTATTGAGTGAAAATTAATAAGTTATAATGAGATACTGTGTTGAATATTGAGTGATGGTGGACACACACACACACACACACACACACACACACACACACACACACACACACACACACACACACGTCTGTCAGAGGAGAGAGAGAGAGAGAGAGAAGAATCACTACTAAACAATACCTGTACAAGAGGTGGTAGCCGCCAGCTGTATAAACATTCTTATAACCCACAGGCGACGCAGCAGGAGCGGATCCAACAGTTAGAGACCCAGCTGCGGCAGGAACAGCTCCTCCGTCAGGAACAGTTGGCTAAACTAGAACGAGAAGTCTCTCTAAAAACGGAGAAGGTAGAAGAGCAAAGGAGACTGCTGGAGAAGGAAGAGAAACACCGTCGGGAGAAAGTGTCTCAAGAGCAGGTTTATTCCTCCAAGGTTCAACAGGCCAAGGAACTCCTCGAACACCGCCGTCACCAGCTGGCGGAAATGGATCGAGAACTTTCCCTGAGGACAAAGAAGATCGGAGAACTGGAAGAGAAGTTGCAGAAGGAACAACACCTTCGTCAGGAGCAGCTGGCTAAAAAGGAGAGAGAGATCTTCCTCGGAACAGAGAAGATTGACGACCTGGAGAGACAACTGAGGCAGGAAAAGAAACTACACCAGGTGAAGGAGCCTCAGGAACAGGCTCCTTCCCACCAGGCACAGCAGATCAAGGAGATACTTAAAAAACGGCGACAGGAACAGGAGCAGCGACTTGAGCAGCTGACGGAGAAGGAGCGAGAGGTTTCCCATAGGTTACGTCAGATTCAGGAGTTGGAAGAGAAGCTGCGGCAGGAACAGCAGCTTCATCGGGAACAGCTGAAGCAGAAGGAGCGAGAGATATCGTCCCTGAAGGCACAGCTGCAGGAGAGAGAGAGAGAGTTTAGCAGCTGTACCACCGTTCACACCACACAACCCCTGCCAGCTGCTACGGTATGTATGTATGTATGTATGTATGTATGTATGTATGTGTGTTATTGATATCTAGAGGCAGTAAAGATATGGTAGGGTGGAGGTTAGGTTAGGTTAGGTTGGAGATGTTATGTGAAGTATTACTAACAAAAACTCTGTGATAACCTGTAGGCGAGGCAACAGGAGCAACGGCAGGAGAAACACCTGTATAAGGAACATCAGGGTCGAGAGCTGCTTCAGGAGGAACAGATGCATAAGGAACTTCTCCAGCTGGAACAGTTGCAACAGGAGAGACAACGCCGCCAACAGCTAGTGTTTCAGGGACATCTGCAGGAGAAACAGCTACATCAGGAGAAACAGCTGCGTCAGGAGAAAACTAGCCATCAGGAACAGCTGCGGCAGGTAAAGGACAGCCGTCAGGTAGTGCAGGAGCAGCCACGGCGAGAGAGTAACCGTCGTCAGCAGCCACAGCAACAATATCTTCCTAAACAGCAGCACCTCCGTCAGCAGCCACAGCAGCTCCTTCCTCAGCAGCAGCACCTCCGTCAGCAGCAACAGCACCTTCCTCAGCAGCCACAGCACCTTCCTCAGCAGCCACAGCAGCAACAGCACCTTCGTCAGTCCCAGCAACAGTACCTTCCTCAGCAGCAGCAGCAGCAACCACAACAACAATATCTTCGTCAGCAGCAGCCCCAGCAACAGCACCTTCCTCAGCAACAGCACCTTCGTCAGCAGCAGTCACAGCTGCAGCAAGAGGTCTCCTTCCTCAAGACACAGCTGAAAGGAGACGAAGGTTCACTCAGACACAAACCTGACGTGACACAACAGACTGTGTCAACTATTCCAAAGATGACACAACCCCTGCCTGGTGCCCCGGTAAGTGACACAACCCATGCCTGGTGCCCCGGTAAGTGACACAACCTCTGACGCCTTCCATTAATATCTAAGCCTTTCATTATATAGGTTAGGTTAGGTTTTCTTTTTTACATAATGCATTAACACCTCACCACAGACCACGGCAGGACTGGGTCTACCTAACCTGGGCAACACCTGCTACATCAACTGTGTCATCCAGTGTCTCTTTAACATAACCACCCTGAGGGACTACTTCACACAGAGCCATTATAAGTAAGTGGAGGAGTGTTAAGTATGTATCCCCCATTAAGTAAGGGATCAAAGTATTTTAAGTAGATAAATTGATATAAGTAACTAATTATAGTATAGAAGACGTTTGTATAAGTATTATAAGTAGATAAAGTATTATAAGTTAGTATATAACGCCATGAACCCTTTATTTCCCTAGACATGACCTCAATAGTGAGAGCGAGCAGCGAGGGGAGGTGGCCCTGGCACTAGCTCGGGTTTTCAGGGCCATGGAGTCTGGTAACCAGGTGAATGAGGCCATGAAGACTCTCAAGGTAAGTTTACTATGGCCTTGTGGTGAGGTCATGGTGCTGTGACGTCATGGCGTTGTGGCTTGTTGATTGGTTGACGATCCACAAGCTGTTGAAACTACTACTACTAACAATAATAATCATAATAATATAATAATAATAATAATAATAATAATAATAATAATAATAATAATAATAATAATAATAATAATAATTTACCTCTCTCTCTCTCCCTCCTTCAGGCGGTGGTTGAGGGGCGGGACAAGGTATTTCAGATGCATCACAACCCCAAGGCAATCGACCTCTTCTCCTCCCTCCTCTCTTGGCTTCACCAGGATCTCTCACAGGTAAAATACGACGACCTATCTGACGAAGACCTACCTGACGGAGACCCCCCTGACGAAGACCTACCTGACGAAGACCTCCCTGACGAAGACCTGCCTGACGAAGACCTACCTGACGAAGACCTCCCTGACGAGGAACCTACCTGACGAGGGAACCTACCTGACGAAGACCACCTGACGAGACCTACCTGACGAAGACCCTGACAGAACCTTGACGAGACCTGACCGAGGCCACCTGACCACCTGCTGACGAAGACCTGCCTGACGAAGACCTACCCTGGCAGACCTCCTGACGGGAACCTACCTGACCCCCTGACGAAGACCCTGACGAAGACCTACCTGACGAGACCTACCTGACGAAGGAATCTAACCTGGTGGGGGGATTGAAGGATAGTATTTATAGTTATGTTTTATTATATTATTGAAGATCTGATTGGTGGTTAATATTTAATGAATTGTGATATATATATTTATTCTATCTATCTATCCATCTATCTATCTATATATCTATCTGTCAATATATATTTCTCTCTCTCTCTCTCTCTCTCTCTCTCTCTCATTCATCTGTCAATGTCTTCCTATCTCTGACTATCTCTCTTCCTACCTATTTTATCTCTCTGTTTATCGTTTTTCTCTCACTCTGTCTCTCACAACAGGGGGGCAGTGATCCTCAGAGTGCCGAGGGCTCCTCCATAGTGTCTCACCTCTTCTATGGCGTCAAGGAATCCATTATATTTTGTCGCGTGAAGAGGAAGATTGTATCCCTAGCTAGAGAGAGTTTTGACAACCTCACCTTGACTGCTGTGGGTCCAGGTCAATGTTCCCTTCAGGTGAGTGTCTGTCTATCTATCTGTCTGTCTCTGTCTCTCATAAGGACAGTGTGGCCTCCTACAGGAATCATTAAATATTATCTACTGATCTACGTCACTAGCGATGGTTATATTCGTGCTAAAAGGCTCATCTGCCCCTTCTACAGGAGCTGGTCAGTAACCACATGAGGCCGCAGGAAGTCGACTGGGAGTGTCAGCATTGTCGAGGTTTTCACAGTTGTTTACACTACACCACCTTCACACACCTGCCGCCTCTGGTGGCTATACACTTCACCAGGTTTGTTAGTATACTTCACCTGTCTCCCATGTTCATTATACTCACTATTACCTGGTCTATGGATGCCTTTCACTACATCATCTAGAATAAGTACGGGAAGTATAGGCTTGATATGACAACAATTAACACCTAACCTAACCTAACCTTACACACAGGCACCACAGCAGCGGAAGCGAGGCACGGGTCATCTTTCCCGCCGACCAGTTTACTCTTGACGTACGACTGACGGATGGCGTAGTGCAGTAAGTTGGATATTTGTACTGTTTTCGTGATGGTTCCTTATCTCTCTCTCTCTCTCTCTCTCTCTCTCTCTCTGTAGTAGTAGCCTGATACAACGGACTGTAGAGTTAATGTAGTCGGCACTGCAGGCGCCTGTAGTAGTAGTAGTAGTAGTCGTAGTAGTGTAGTAGTAGTAGTAGTAGTCGCAGTAGTAGTAGTGATGGTGGTGGTATTATTATTAGTAGTAGTATTATTATTATTCCAGGTCTCCAGGTTACGAGCTAGTGTCTGTGTGCAATCATCAGATCACGAGGACCTCAGACCACTACGTCGCCTACTGCAGGAGCCAGGAACGCAGCAGGTGGTGGCTCTGGGATGACACACATCTCCACCCTGCCCACCTCCACCACGTCCTTGGCCTCCATCTCCCTCATATTGTCTTCTATGAGGCCAACCTGGACTGATGTAGTTGTAGTTTGCATAAAATATTGACTCTGGTACAGTCAGTTGCATTTATACCTGGTACAGTGGTTGGTGGGTTTTGTGAGATGTGGCAGCCACGTGTTTGTTTACATCGTATTAGAATTCCCAGAATGACCCCTAATAAACCTCGCAATAGCAACACGACCAATGATGCTAGAGAAACAACACAGAGTTGCCACAACTTACAAAATGCACCAGTTAGTGTACCAGGTGTAAGTGTAGGCGACTGTACTTTATGATGGTAGAATTCGAGATAAACAGTTTGTGGTGTTGCTCTAGTGTAGACGCTCACTATTTCCTTGTTACATAATCTTACATATTTATAAAACAAGAATGATTAAATTGTTGTCTAAATTATTACTTTTGTAGAAATATTCAATAAAGATGTTATGTTTTGTGATTTCTTATTTTTTATGTAAACTAATATTTTTGTTTATTTATATAACAAGTAAATCTTACAAACCCGAATGCACAATTGTTTAGAGTTAGTGTATGTCTGTCTACTGTATACTCACCACACCTTTGCTCACCTGATCTATATGAAGATTAATTAATTGTTTTTCTTCAAATTATTGCATCCCCATAATGTGTCAAACTTTAGGCTGCTCCAGTCGCCAGTTAGTGAGACATTGATGATGATGATCTTAAACGCCTTGTAATTAATAAAAGACGTTAATATGTTTGCACTAGTTACAAGAAATAACGTGAACAGGTATTATATGGTGTCAGTATTATAGCAGTTTTGTGACTTATGGTATGAGAGTCGGTCAACAAAAGGTAAAAGTGTTTGTAGTGGATGAGAGACGGGGATAATATTTAACATTGTAGTGTTCCTGTGTTTTAGTGTTCCTGTGTTGTAGTGTTCCTGTGTTGTAGTGTTCCTGTGTTTTAGTGTTCCTGTGTTGTAGTGTTCCTGTAATGCCTATAAAAGAACTTACTACTCATAAGATACACTCACAGTACCCGACAGCAACACATCAACAATAGTTAAGAAAATGATAAAAAGTGAAGATCATTGTCATTTATATATTTATTTATTAAAAATTTTCTTGAAGTGTTATAAGTTACTTGTGTACCTCTCTTAGGCCCTGTGTACCGTGTACCTTACGTGGGGTACAGCAACAATCTCTCCGCTTTTGTCACTGGCGCCTATATCTAACATGAGGGTACGATTCATTGGTGTGGAGGATCCGCCATCACTCACCTCCAGCAGGATCTCGGTCACACTGAAAATAACACAGTAAATAAACAAATGGGGAGACTTTACCTTAAAAATCGGGTTTAAGTAATATAAAAAAGTATTGATCTTGTTATAAGTAGAGAGTTTTGGTAAACTTAAATACTTAAAAGTGAAAGAGTAAGATAAAGTGAGACAGAGAGAGAGAGAGAGAAAAAAAATTAACAGTTATATTGAAGGAAATAAACTTCAGGTTTTTAATAAATACTTACGTCTGAGTCATTATCTTTGACCTCTGGGTGTCGGAGAAAAGGTCAGAGTAGAGTGTGAGGTCACCTGAGGCCACCAGGTTGACCTCCAGCCCGTGGTGAACCCGAAAGTAGTCAAGGAACTGCTTCATCGTGACCTCCCCCTCCACCTCGAAGCTATCCCACGTCGTCCACTTTACCTCGTTATACTGAGGGAGACAAAATATACTAAAGGAGGTATACTGAGGGAGACAAAGTATACTGAAGGAGGTATACTGAGGGAGACAAAGTATACTGAAGGTGTACTGAGGGAGGAGGGTATACTTATAAGCAAATAAGATCGTGTTTAGCTTAGCGGGATGAAATTGGTGATAGATCGATGGATGGATGGATGGATGGTAGGTGGATTATGAGAAAGAGGGTTTGATAGATAAATAGATATGTAAACTGGTCGATAGATGAATAGATAACATGTATATAAAAGGTAGGTGTTAATTGTTCACTCACAGGTAACCGTCTCACCTGGTACACGGGCGGAGGATCTGGCACAGAGAGGATGAGGAGGGGGAGAGCCAGATTGAAGGACATGTTCTTGTAGGATTCGATGTCGGTGTGTCCCTGAGCTACCTTTATTAATTCCAATGACACCAGACCGGCTACCAGTGCCGTGGAGGTGGCGATGGCCGGAATTATTCTCCCGGCGATCCCTTTACTCTTGTGGCGGTCTGCAGGTTCGATGTCGTAGTTGAGAGCTCGTAGGTTAGACGTCGCCACGATGAAGTCGATGTGATGGTTCTCGTCGTCGTCTTTGTCGAAGGTGAGAGGAGTGAGGGTGAGGTTGTGGAGGCCCTCCCTGGGGGTGATGGCGTCCTGGAGGTTGGTGAGGGACTTCTCTCGCATGTGTACACTTAAAATATTCGTCTCGGCGTCTTCATCGTCAGCCTCACTTCTGGCTTCAGGGACGTATGGTGGTACCTTGACCGTCGCCACCAGCTGAGCTACCTGCGAGCGGTCCTTACACTGAGGAATGCCGTACACCTGGGCGAGAAGGTTGGCCGCCGACACCACGTAGTCCAGATGGAGTGAGTTACTGACGTCGAAGTGGAGAGGGTGAGGACACCGCTTAGACCCTGACCAGAAGAGATCCCCGGTGTTGGTCCTGTAGCTGGACGGGAAGTATTCAAGCAACTGCACGATCTGGTTATGGAAGTTGGTCTCCCAGTGTCTCCTCGCCCAGGACACACAGTCTGAGAAGCTGTGCGGTGCGTCGTCGACCAGCTTGGACTTCAAGACAGCCAGAGTTGCTCTGTAATCTGGGTCGGGAAGGTTACTGGATCGTGCTATAAAATCTTCCTCCTGCAGGTACTGTCTCGCTGTCTCAGGTGACTGGCAGAACTCACCCTCAAACAGGTCTCTCGCCCACTGCAGTGTGTGCTCAATACAATTGGGGAAACTCCTGAGTGTACACAGAGGGACACCTTCTTCCCTGGAGCCCTGGCCGGCCCTGAAGCGGTCAGTAACGTGCGGCAGTACCACCTGAACACTTCCTCTCGTACCCAGGGTCCCTGACTCCAACATGGGTTTCCTGTAGTACCAACAACGGCGGTCCATATACCGACGAGCCTCTACATTATCCAGAGCGTTGGTGACCACGTCCAGACTCTCATAAAAGTCAGCGTTGTAAACATGTTCAGATTCTGGACCAACGCGAACTTGATGCGCTGTGATGTTAACATCCGGATTCATTTTCTTGATGGCAGCAGCAGCCGTCACTGATTTAGATTTTTTGATGTCCCAAGACCTGAAGAGAAACTGTCGGTTCAGGTTACTTTTCTCAATGTGATCCATGTCCGTTAGTGTGATGCCTCCACCCTCGGCCGAGCCCACCCCTATCATGGCCAAGTTCTTCAGAAGTTCACACCCGATGGCTCCAGCGCCGACAACGAACACCTTGAAACTCCCGAGTCTATCCTGGAGTTGCCGACCCAACACAGCCACCTGGGCGTCGTAGCGGGAACCTCGGGGGGAGAAATCGCCCGGGCTGAGGTGAGACGCGTTCCCTGGCAGACACTCTACAGCGTCAAAGTACAACCACTGGTAAACCGGACTGAACTTTCCCGAGCAAGCCTTTATCACCTCCTGGGACGCGACGCTACCCATGACGGAGTTCATGGGCGCCACGTCTCCTGAGGACACCTTGGAGAACGTCCTCACGATATTCTCGTCTACGTCCTCTACCTTGGCTGGACTGACTCCGTTCACGACATGGAAAACTTTGAGGAACTTATCGGCATCTTGGTCATCCCAGGGCCGAGGGAGCGACCCTTCTACCCTGACGTACTCGTGCAGCGCCTGGAAAGCAATGTGTAACAACTCGGACCGTTCACACTTGAGCTCGTCCGTCACCACGAAGACTGGAGCAGCGAGAGACTCCTTTAAGGACTTGAAACTAACTGTCTTGGGCACCTTAGCCTGAGCCGCTACTCCTCCGCCCTCATACTCGGAGAAGGACCTCGTGTCGCCGATACTGAAGGTGGAGGGCCCGAGAACCTGGCCGTGGAGAGGAGGAGGAGGGGGGTTACTTCCTAGTTTTGTGTTGGATATTACTATTTAACTCTTATTATACAGTAGTTATGATCTTCCTTACACACACACACCTTGACCGTCGTAGGGGGGCAGCCATTGAGTTGTGTCATGCCCTTGAGACCAGAGAAGGTCACCAGGTCACCATCCCTCAAGCCAAGACGCCTCTTCACCAGGCAGGTCACCACACCACGAGCCTGTAGTGTCACCAAGGTCATGTGAGGTTAATAATTCTTTGAGGTTGTAGATTAATATTATTTGTAATAGATAGATAGAGACTATAAATATAAGATACTCAAAACCTCTCTCTCTCTCTCTCTCTCTCTCTCTCTCTCTCTCTCTCTCTCTCTCTCTCTCTCTCTCTCTCTCTCTCTCTCTCTCTCTCTCTCTCTCTCTCTCTCTCTCTCTCTCTCTCTCCTTACCTCCCTGGTGACGTCTACAACACCAAGAGACACGGGTTCTTTGCCATCTTCATCCACCACCGTAAAACAACTGCCGAAGTCACAGAAGAGCTGCCCGAAGACGCCCCTTGTAGAGGTACTGACGAAGGCCGCGCCCACCTCACGACACCACCCACACACTTTCAACTGTTCATCCAAATCATAGTCTATGGAGGAGAAAGTTCATTAGACAGACAGACAGACATTGAGATAGAGAGAGACAGATTGATATCGACAGAGAGAGAGGGAGATAGACAGAGGTAGAGAGGAAGACAGACAGAGAGAGAGACAGAAACAAAAACGAAAATAGATTCGAACATCCCACCCACCCCCTCCCTCACCCACCCCACCCCACCCACCCCCACCCACCCCTCCCTCGTCTTTACCTGTCAGCACCACCACGTTGAAACTCGCCAGGTATTCCTGACTCAGCGGGCTGACGGAGGCGCTGACGACAACAAGGTCATTGAGTTCAGCGAGACGTGACCTTGAGGCGAGAGCTCGGTTGGTGCCCAGGTCAGAGGGACACAGGTAGTACTGGGTCGAGAGGTCATGCTGGGTCACCGACTTCGTATCGTGTAAGGTCACGGATTTGACCCCGCCAAGGATGACATTCTTGGCGACCTGTTACAAGGGTTAGGTTAGGTTAGGTGGATTATCTATCTATCCATCTATCTATCTATCATCAACTACGTCACTGTCTTGTTTCATATAATAAATATTCCTCCCAAGTAATGACAGACAGATAGGTAGACAGGCAGACAGACAAACTGAAACGGACATAGTAAAAGACATACACACATACATACATACATACATACATACATACAGACAGACAGACCACTTGCCTCCACTCCTAGACCGCCCAGACCACAGACCAAAACATGTGAGTGGCCCATCCTGGTCATGGCCTGGTGACCTAAGACGTACAGCTGGCGGGAGTACAAGGCCTCATCTATCACCGTGACCTCTGACCTTTGTCCTGGTGACCCTGAACCGTCCGCCATATTGGAGGTGGGGGTCAGTCACCAAGAAGCACCAAAATAGGATAAACTGTACAATTGTCACTACACTTCACTTTCTCAGCTGTTTCTAGTTCACCATTTATGTTATTGGTTCACCAGGATGTAAATACCGTAGTTATCATAAGCAATATTTTAGTCACCAGGATATGGTCACTAAGATACGGTCATCCAGGATACGTTTACCAGGATAGTCACTAAGATTCGGTCACTAAGATACGGTCACCAAGATACGGTCACCAAGATACGGTCACCAAGATACGGTCACCAAGATACGGTCACCAAGTCACCCTGAAAGGAAAAGAGAAATAATTTTTAAACAGATATATGGATAAATAATCATAGATAGATAGATAACATAACATAGCATAAAATAACATAGGATAGCCATTAAGTCGGTTCGGGAAATACTCTTATATAATGTTAGATTAGAACCCTCTCTTGTTCCACTCACTATCCTTAACACAAAGAAAACAACATTGAGGTAAAAAGAGCTAGTTATGGCTGATATATTGAGGTTAACAATACTAACATTAAAAACTAGAGCACTAATTGGCCAGTGTTCAGGTACTGTATATTCAAGTGCTCGTACAGTAAGGTGCTGACAGTGTGTAACAGAACGCTGGTCGACCAACCCGCCTGCTAGTGAGCTGACGAGTGACGAAGAGGATAAAGTTAACAAAAGAATTATTCCTATAAACCTTTGAGAACTTCACTAACCTGCAGGAGTAAACAAGTAAGGCAGACAGCGGCAGGAGGCCATGAAGGAAATGTGTCGAGTCTCCCAAGTAAGTTATCTCTTGGTTGTTGATAAGATTACAGTACAAGATAAGTACAGGTAAAGATTATGCGGATCACCTGAAGATTATTCCCCTTTTATTTTATCTAACGGGACCTTTCACAGGAACGTCCATTAAACTTTATTAATTTCTAAGTCACGCGACAAAATAACGCCTGTGTGAGGTGAACACAGTCAGTGGAGGCCACTCGTCGCCTCACACGTCATAAGTCTGTTACATCTAATATATCATGTAATAATTTCATTTTAATTAATAGTTTTCACCATTCGGGAGCTTGCCTCTCACCACTGCTGCCGCGGATTCAATGATAAACTAAATACAAAATTTAATTTATTGATATAGCAAGACGTTTTCCTAAGTATGACTCATGTCCAAAAGTCTGAGCTCCAGTGTGTGTGTGTGTGTGTGTTAAGACTTGCATATCCTCTACTAATGAATAACATAAATATAAGAGTACCCTCGTATACGTAATGAAGACTTATAACAATAATATCAATACAGTTATTACTTGTGACTCTACTGTTGCTGGAGTAACGTGCGTAAATATTTAAAAGAAATTATATATCATAGTTCTTAGAAATATCTACAGACAGACAACTCTAAAATATCAATTATAAATACTATCATAACTCTTAATATTAGAAAAATAAGTTAATATATAGTGTAGTGTAGTGAGGTAGAGCAAGACGCAGGCGCCGGAGGATCAGCTGGGGGAGAAAACATTGCGTCGTGCACCACTGTCAAGGCCCAGGTGTTGGAGTGTTAGTTATTACTCGTTAATATGGGTGGGAGCACGTCCAAGTTGAAACGCTGGATGAGTAATGGGACTGAGGATCCAGAGCAGTGTGAGAGAGCTGTTAAAAAATTGGCTTCACCCTTTGTCTATACTCGAAGAGGGTAAGTAAGACGTTTGATCAAGTCTGTATCTAGAAATTTCGTGAACTAAACTAATGTTTTATGTAACGTGAAGTTGTCTAAGTGCCTCGTTCAGTGATTAATGGTGAACACTGAACCACAATACACTAGTTTCACCAAATAGTTTATTTTTGTAAGTTATTTTACGTTGTGTATCTCAAGTTAAGGTCTTCCTGAAGCTGGGCTCCTCCCTCAGTGTAGCACCAAGAGTAACAGTCTAGATAACTGACTCGTGAGAAGGAGCAACTTTCCGGGAAAATCCTAAAGAAAAACTATTCTTATTTAATATCAATAAAAGGTTGAAGGAATTGCAACTCTTACTTTTATTTTTATTTATAATTTTTGTCACTCAGTCCATCCAGCAGACTCTATGTTTATGACTAAACTATTTACTCTCTTACAACAGGTGATGGTAACACTAACCAACCAAGCACTTCTCAGCGAACTTTCCCTACAAAATATTAATAAATTAATACCCTAACTTAACCTACCTAACCTAACCATAAATAATGCCCTTCCATCTTAGGGAAGCAGGTTAGGTTAGGTTAGGTTTGGGTGATTAATCGTTAAAAAAAATTTAATGCTCACATAAACAGCGGCCGTACGTAGGCGCTGCGTTGAAATACTTTTGTGCTCAGGATGAATAAAAGTGTAAAGCAAAAATATGAAAGTTGCAACACCTCTGATCTTTTACTGAAATATGAGAGGTAAGATACAAGTTTAAATGTATAGAATATTTACATAAAGTTGCTCTTTCTCACAACATAACCAAGTATTAACACCGAGATTAATCATACAGGCAGATCACATCATGTCTCGCAGTGGCTAACAAACTGCGCTCGTACCATTGTCTCATTTCAGGTTAGGTTAGGCTTCTCAAGAATCATTCACTTCTTGGCCATTGCAAGAGACGTGACCAGAGAGAAAGATACTACTGTATTGGAGTAATTTTCTTCCCTCGTTTCATACAGTTTGGAATGTGTTTAGACCTGTTCTCAGTATTTTGATCCAGTGTTCTCAAAGCAACCCTCTGGCTAGATGGTTGAATAGTTGAAGAATTATGTTACCTTGGCAACACTGGTCAAAATCTTCTTCTCAACACATTGTATTGTGTGTCTGGATAATAGATCCTGACATAAGACAAGTGGACAGTGTGGCAGGCTCTACCAGGGGAGTCTACTGTGCTGGTGTGGGTCTCACTGTTTCTCTCCACTGTTAAATGGGATTTTATATTTATTTCTTTAATATCTTTTTTTTCTCGAGAACATTTTACTCATTATTCTTTTTCATTAAGATTAAGAATTTTTTTCTTACAAATTTCTTCCAGATGAAAGGTTCTGATCTTATTATCGAAAATCATCCAAAACAAGTTTGTTAGCCTCAGTAGTCTGCTTGGTGCCTAACTAATTTAATTTCTTCTTTTAGATCAATGTACTTTGATGAGGATGGAGATGTGGCACATGAATTTTATGAAGAAGTTCCACCTCTGAAACGTGGTGTGAAGGCAACGATGAAAAGAATACTGATAAACTTGACACCCCAGGTAAGTTAGGATTCTACCTGCCCCTATTTCTTTTTGTTTTTATTTTAGATGTTAAAGACAGTATTAACTAATTTTTATAGCCTACATGTTCCCAGCAAATATCCTATCGCCATGTTGTTACTGCACCAAATGCTCCTTGCTAAACCTGATGTTCTAGGATATCTCGACACACTAGTAAATGTCTCAGTGACCTCTGTGATTCCTTCCAAGTATATGCAGCAGTAATTTATTTTTTCAAATGAGATGAGATTGTGCTATAACCACTGAAGAAATACCAGAAAGGCATTGGTAGGCAGATACTAGTCCCAAGTGACTGTCAATTTTGGTGAACCAGAATTTAACCTCCCTGAACAGCAGCTGTACAGTAAGCAGTGAACTTTTAAGAAAAGTCATTTTACATGACAAATTGACAAACTTGTGCCATTTTTCATACACCTGATGTATGACATCAGTGTGCCAAGTATGGCAGTAGTGTTACAAGGATGAGCCTGAGCTCTTCATTCTTGCTTCATACAATTGTTAAGGTCTGAAATCAAGTGAGATGTGTGTGAGAAAGTTATGTGAGCAGTAACAAGTGCAGGAAACTTGGTTGTGTGAGGTACAGAAGCCAAATTCTCTGCACCACAGTTTTCCTCCTCCTCCTCTCTCAGTTGTAAATTTGATTAAAGAATTAGTAACAAATACCATAACCAGTCCCTCCTGTGGCCTCATATTATTGTTGAGTAATTTGGGTTTATATTCTAGATTATACAGCTGCTCATGTGTTCAGTTTGTCCTTCATGAGAGATATATGATGTGTGAGTTTTGTTTATTAGTCTACATCCTCACAGACATGGCAGAGAGCAGGGATAAGTCTCTAACATTATTGATGATGTCCAAGAACCTTATGTATGATGCATGTGCAGAAGTAAACAATGTGCTGGAAATACTGTCACATACATCCTATGGCCAGTCTTCTTCAGGAGGACTACACTTACTGGTGTATCAGTCAAGGTTATCTGTCAAGACTATCTTTAGACCACATCCTTCCATCTCGGTATTTCCTTGATGTGAGGAAATTACCGTAAAATGTTGATAATGATTATGAGGAACTGACATTTCCTTGCAGTTAGTCTCTCTTGACCACTTTCACTAAACTACCAAACTGTACAGTAAATGTTAGGTCACATCATGTCTTTCTGAAGGAGTAGTGACCAGTGATGGACTGGGTAATGTGGGAGTTTCACTGTCTGGTAGAGTTCTTGTACAGTACAGTCCATCTCTTTTTAACTTGGTAATGCTGTGTAGAGCCAGCCATGTTTGTGTAAGTAATTGAAAAGTGTATAAATATTGTCCGCTACACCATCGTCATCATTTTACGGCCATTTTCCACTCCTTCCTGGGTTAGCCAAGATTGCCTGGTGGCAGCTATTGAGAAGATATTGATTTTGGTAAAAAACAGACTACTCCAGGTTCATGGTTGGAAAGAATTTATTGGTAATACAGTAACCTTAATGCATCACATGAATAATTCATGGTAGCCCCAGGGTCATTTTTGGCTGAACATATGAGGCAAAGGAGAACCAGCTCAAACTGTCCCCATTGGTGTGAGTTACAGGAACAGCTGGTATATTCTGCTAAACTAGTTAATGAAGGATCATACCAGTAATTAAAGGAAATTAATTCCATGGATCCAGGCGAGGGGAATCATTGGCCTTAAAAGAGGCTGGTGCTCATTAGGGGCTGGGGGGTGTCCATGTGGGAAACATGTCTCGGATGCCATAAACTGTACATGAGCCAGGCAACAGGATGAACTCAGAACCCTGAAATATAATGACCGATGTATTACATAAGAAAAAGGATTATACTGTACTGAGATGTCCCTCCAACACAGTGGTAGAATCTCATGAATTACTTGCACACCCTTAGAAATACACTCCAGCCATATATCCATTTTTTTTTACATTGATAAATGTCTATAACCTTACTTAGTGGTGCTGAGGTGAACTAGATCATAAGACTCATTTCTGGGTTCATAGCTGTTGTTAAAAGTGAAAGTCCTCAGCCATCTTCCTTTTTTGGTACCTTCATGCCAGGATTAATTCTGTGTGTGTATTGATCTCAGTTACACAAGTCTGGGACCAAGGGAGTCAGCCCTTTAGACTTGCTGGTTTTGTGAAGCTGCTCAGCTCTGACTGATGTTATTCAGGATCAGTTAACCATTGTTTTCTTTAGTACTGAAGGTACTTGGTACCCAAGATGACCACATGGACAGATTACTGACCTCAGTTACTTTTTGTTGTTGTTTTAAGGATTGGTAGGAAAGATTCTAATAGGTTTCTCAACACTGATTAATGAAGTTTTCCAAAGTATCCAGGGATGAAAACCATTTATTATTTCTTAATTTGCAGGGTGAAGTACGGCTACCATTCCCTTGTCTTCATGTAGATTTCCCAATCATCCTCTATCAAGACAGCTGAGATGAACAGGGGGAGACGAGCCCCTGAAATATTTTTTTGTGACAGATATAGTGTATCCAAGTCAAACAGATGCCATGAGTTAGTGCAGACTGTGAGATTCACTAAAGACAATACTTGTACCTACTCATTTAATGGACTATTGAGAGGAGATGCTCTCTTGTGAACATGATAGTTGACTACAGGGTGTGTTGTGTAATCCCTCCACTCTTCCTGGTTGCAGCCCAGATTGGGAGTGAGTAGAAGGGTGTTGCAGCTATGAATTGATGCCAGAAAGTTACCCACTCAGTGCCCCTTTCAATAATGGTTGTGATAATCTTACTGTAAACCACTATCATAGTATTTCTGTTCCTTCATCATAGTGTGTGAGTGACTCCATGATGTATCCTGCCCTGTGACCCAGATCAAATATATTTTCCCACAGACCGACTCTGTTCTCTGCTTGGTTTAACATCTATGGTGTTTTGATCATAGTTAAACTGCATTATTGGAATAATTGCCTTGATGTAAGTATGAGAAGGAGATTCAAACCGGAAGTGAAGTTTGGACAACAGTAGTAATGATACATTCTGTCAGAGAGTGTGACCCAAGTCATTAAAACATTGCTTCACACAATAAACCGAGTTTTTTGTCATCGGGAATATTTTTACCCAAAGATTGATTTGCTCAAGTGAGGGAATTGTTATTTAGTGTTTCAGTAGGAAACAACTGAAGGAGATTAAAACCCATGTGACCAGTTTTATTATGCTTTGTTTTTTACATTATTGTATGAGATGAACTTTGCCTTATAATTTTGATAATGGTGAAAAAAATTTTTTAATTAACACAATAGTTTGTGCCAAGTTTTGCTATTAGTGGAGAGACTGAGCAGGAACCAGAGAATGAGCCGCGATCATGAACCTAAGACAGCTGATGGACCTTCCTGTGTCATCTAGAGAGCTCGTGTGTCATTTAGTACAGTAATTATTTATAGATCATCTTTGTAGAGGCTATGATGCTCCCTTACTCTCTCCTCTCAGATATAAAGGCCATGTTATACTGTAAAGAAAAACCTTTTTTGTATGTCTGCTGTACTCTTTGGTGTCAAGATTTGTACTTGAGGCTTCTTTAGTGGTTATGATAGTATTGTATGTATGTATGTGTGTTACTTCAGTGAAAATTAAAGGTGTTGATCTAAGATGGAAAGGCATATATGGTAGCTTTTCTTATTACTATATCATCATAAAAGTCTTAATTACTATATAAATATATATACTGTATATATACAGCATATAAATATATTAAAGATGAAACTTGTAATTACCTGAGTGTGTAATGCTTATATTGTGTGCTATTAAAATAGTTTTTCAAGTCATTTATGTCTAATCACTTAGACAAAAAACTATTAACTTATATAATTAGTATTATGTATAAAAATACAGTGTATACAGTAAATTCTGTATTATTCTTGATTTAGTATTTGTAGAGCAATTATTTATGGTGTAGAAAAAGTTAGGACCATTATTTTTAACATTTGGGGATACAGTGTGGTATTCCTGGTTATCCGGGGTCAGTCAAATACCGTACAGTACCAGAGGTGCTGCCCTCACGACCTCAACACACTCCACTAACTCACTAAGTGGCCAGACACCACCACCCAGGGCTGAGTACATACACAGTCAACACTACCTCACCTCACACCCACCCAACACTCCTCAGCCCATATGGCTACATTTTACACTGTGTTTTATGATGTAATGTTTTGTGTGACTGATGCTACATCTGTTAATGCACATGGCACACCACCCACATATCTTGTTTCCCTCGGGCAGCTGGCAGCCCAACCTGCAGTAACTCCACTGACCCCTTCATTGTGACTGGGTTACCTCCCCTTACAGTGGTTTATCATGTGCATCTGTGATAGTGCAGTGTTTGTAATACCTGTATGTTGTTTATTATTTTATTATACAGTTTATGCTACATGAGGGCTGTAATATGGTACAGTATATAGTGGGTGAACTTGAACTGACTTTTCACTTCAGTACTTATGTATTCACACGGTTGTATTATTTTCTTCACACAAACCCCCAAGGGATGCAACCTCGCATTGAAATGGGAATCTTCTGTATTACTATTTTACTCTATTATAAATGTGTTTTAGTGAATGTTTCTCAGTAACTGGGCAGCTCGGTATCTCAACTATTTTCCCCATAAATTACAGTAGAAGTCGAAAAATCCGGACTGCTTGGGGATTGGGTCGGTCCGGATTTTCGGATTTTCCGGATTCTCAGGCAGTACTTTTAAAATTCAAATTTAAGGAGGAATAAAGAAGAGATGAACAGGTACATTTTATTAGTTTATTCTTTAGCAGATATAGCATGCTTCATTTATCAAAACGAGCAGTTTCATAGAAAAAGCTGTGAATTCTAGAATTTTATTCTTTGCCTTTTTTATATCATAAATTGTAGACTTTCCACTGTCGTATGTTTTCATTAGAACAGTATTGTTCACACCACGTTCTAGTTTCTTAATTATTTCAAGTTTGTCACTCAATTTCAACGTGTTCTTCTTTCTCTTCACACAACGAAGTTTATCTACTTTAGGAACCATTATTATGGGCTTGTACAGTGCTCTGTAAATGGAAACAGTAGGACTCAAAATTACATACATTGTCACAGTTTGATTGCTCGTTTTAAAGTGGCGACCGCATGGTCGCTTGTTGTTGCTGTGCAGCTGTGGCGCTCACACATGCGCACATACACACAAAAGCCAGCTAAATTAAACAAAACAAAAAGTTTGAGTTTTCGAAAAGTCCGGATTCTCAGGTGGTCCGGATTTCTGGCATCCGGATTTTTGGATTTTTTCTGTACATAGATCAATTATTTGTGGATTTAATTCTCTGTGGGTCTTCCAGGAATGAAAACTTGCAAGTAATTGGGAGTTTACCGCTGTATGTCCAGTACTTTGTGTTGGGGGAGGGGTAAACAACACACTTCTATTACTAGTGAGCTTTAAGTTGTCAATTCAAGAGAGAGAGAAAGATGAGGCTTTATCACAGTACAGTGCTAACACTAGCTGTGAGTTGACAGTTTGAGACTCTTTGGAAATAAAAGCTTGTTTTATGTATATACTGTATAAAGTGAAATGAGTGAAACTGGGTTCTAGTGAAATTGGGACTGTGTTGAGGATGTGTAATGATGTATGGTTGTTCAGTATTCAATATATTTATGGATGGGGTAATAAGAGGCGGCAGCTAGAGTGATGGGGAAAGGCACGTGTTAGTTGAATAAAAGGAATGGGGTGTAAATAGGAAATGTTTAAGGTACTGTTGCAGATAACACAACTCCGGTGGTTAATTTGGAAGAAACGTTGTAAATACGTATGAATGAGTTTGGAAGAATGTGCTGAAGGAGAAATTTGGTGCTGTAGTGAATGTGAATAAAAGATTAAAATAAATAGAGAAGGGAGATAGGGTGATATAAATGTTTGCTTGAATGGAGGAAGTGTCAGTACTGTGTATAGGACATTAAGTAGTAAATTGAATCACAAAGTAGCAAAAGAAAAGGAATTAATAGATTGACTGAGAAATGTATTGACAGACAGAACCATGTCAGAAGGAGGGAAAGACTTAGATGTTAGGGAGAAATGTTGAGCCAACATTATTATGCAGGGGAGAAGCATAGACTGTTAGATGCACGAGGTAGAAGCAAAGCAGTGATGAGAGTTATGATACGCTTTAGAGTACAGTACAGTAATGTGTTGGATGAATAGTTGCCAGAGAATAAGATGTAAGAAAAAAGGTGTCTCAGGTAGGATTGATATATTGAGAGAATAGGCTGTGAAATCTTGGTAAACAGAGTGCCTAAGTTAGATAGATGGGAGGAGGAAGAGGGATAAACAAAGGATATAGGAGTATATGGGATAAAGGATGAACTAGAAGACAATGTGAATGATATCCAGCAGTGTTTGTGTGAATGAGTTGAGGGTATAGAGTAATTGTTTGAAGGTCAGGTTGCTGTTGGGTTAAGACTGTGTTGATGGTGGAAACCAGATTTTGGAGTCTTGTTATTGTGGAAGGAAACTGTCATAGCAGAAGACATCAATGGCAGCAGTAAGAATTAGTGAATGGTAACAATGAGTAAAGAAATATATATGTGCCGATATGAGATGTTATTAATAATTTCTTAAAAAATAAAATTAGAACCCCACACATGATCAGCATAGTAACTAGTAAATCTATCTTTGAAAGCTGAGTACTCTTAAGAAAAATCCATCTTCACTGTTTCTGACTAAATCTTAAGTGTGACCCATTGCAAAATCTTTCCTTGTAAGATTTGCTTATAGACCTGAATAACCCATGCAAAATGTGTCGTGAGAGCCTCTGTATGTGTAACTTAATTGAGGCAGCCGGTGTTAAAGGTGTTTTAATGTTTGGATGAGATGGTGTACATTGTCCTAGATAATCGGTCTCCTTTATCTGTAAGTGTTAAAGAACATTCTCTTGATATTTATTTAATTTTTCCAGACAAACGAAAGAAAACAGAGATGATTATGAGATTTGCTTGTAAAGAATTCTGAGAAACTCTTAATAAATGTGTGCATTTCTTTATCTCTATTTCTGCTCTATCAGTTTCCAACCAGAGTAGAACAGTCCTGTATGAGACGGCCACCAACACAAAATATAACTTGCTATTGTGTACAAAACATCGTTGTGACATAGTATGAAGGAACAGATCTTATTGTACTGTTATCTTAGCTTGGCGGTGAGGGCTCTGAACTAAGTAAGGTTACGTTAGGTTCAATTTGGTGAATGATGTGCTTTACCATATTATACTGTCCTCCAGCTGATGGCCTCGTCTAAGTGGCTCTTATAACTGTACTGTACATGCACCTTGGCAGTTGGGGACTGAATTTATGGTCACTCAGCCCTCCTTGCTACATCTATCAGCCCCAAATGAGAGGGAATACCCAGTAAGTACACACACTAACACAGTTATGTCTGCCATGATTCCTGGACTAGATCACAATCATGGACCACACTTACTCTCCAACTGACTGAGAACACCACTGAGAGTAACCAATCACATGTTCTGCTCTGACTGGCTAAGTTAAGTGATAAGAAGTAAATATCTTGTCCATTTTATAATGCAACAGTGATTTAGGGTGGAATTACCTCAGTTGGTGATAATATCTCTTAATTTAAGACTCACGGTAAAGTATCTGTCAGCCCAAAATCTACCTTGTGAAATACTGTAATCTGTTTTACAAGCATTTAACATTAAATTTGAAATTTAACAATATAGAACAATTTTTTTTTATCTAACTTTCCACATGGCTGTGTGTGTGGTGCTCTGAGTGATGAGTCTACGTGTCTTCATCCGAGTCTGAGAAGAAAATTATATTACAATTGTGGGAGAATTATGACACATTGAAAGCTTATTTGTACATTGGGAATGTTAGAGAATATTGAAGTAAGTTGATGTACAGGTATTTACAGAGACTAATAATATAACCAAGTTGAATATTGCTATAGTTTTATTACATGATTTCCTTACACATGCATTCATCATACCAATATTATCCACTTTATGTAATTATCCATTTTACAAAAGTTTCTTGATCATAAGCTTTATTTGGTTGACGGATGCTTTACTGAATTAGGTCTTAATTTTATACAGTAATTGCATAAGGTTTGTTGCTGTTCTTCCGGCAACCCCTAATACCATGGTGACTTACCTTTTTGGTTTGGGCTAGTGACGTTAAATCTCACTAGTACAGTACTGTACCTCAGTTCCCTTACGTTATGGGTTTTTATGCAACTGATAACCAGGCATTGTTCCTGTGTTAGTTGGTCCTTATGTGAGCTGGCTTATGACCTCAGGAAATCCATAAGCCAGTTGCTTGTTGGATGACCAGGAGTACTTGTGTAGCAAATATACATGTTAACTAAATCTTTCACTTCCTGGGAGGTTTGGTTTGATTTTCAAGATTAAATCAATCATGATGACATTGGTAGGTCCAGACTGTTTTAGCCTCTGGGGAACATAGAGTTAGATTACTGTTTATAGAAAAGGCATTAATTGGGTTAAACTCATAAACCTGATGTCTCGGTTATACATAAATATATATTATTTAATGTGCTTGTAATGGTGCACTGGATTTTGCAATTAAAAGTTACATGTTTCACTGTGTAATTAGAAGTACCAGTAGTACAGTACTGTACAGTATATGGTAAAGCACTTCACTGGAAATGAGTACGTAGTGTTGTGCTTCATGCAAGTCAATATTTTCATGTTTCTTTGTGTTTAAGGATTCAGACAGGTGGCTTTGAACCGAGCTTGGTCCAGCAAAAAAACAGGTGAGGTGTGAATTAAGCCAACTGATTGGTAGGTACAGTATACAGTACATTACAGTACTGGGATTCTTATGGGAACGTTGGGGCTCCTTTTGATAGAATCTTTGGTGAGTATAGGAAAATGTTCTGAATATATTGGATATTTATAGAAGTGATGAATGTTAGTGAGGCCCGTTTGTTCCGCTCAGCCATATCTCACACTGAGAGCACCCGTCCCTTAGCAGGAATGCTGGAACAGTGAACCAGCTTCATGAACCAACTAGGTTCCTTCCACCAGCCTTGTGGGCTGGCAGATGCATCCTTGAAGGTGCAGTTTGTGTCTGGATTCCTCTACCCAATGGTTACTAAATTGGAAAAACCGTTCCTGTTACCAACGCAACCGGTGTCGAAACACTGCGAGAGGCTGAGATTGTAAACGACGCTATTTCCGAGGAAAGACCACGAGGGGATGAGATTTCCAACTTTGACAAAAGAATACCAGAGGGTTAAACAAGTCCAGGTAACCTTTAGCCAGACAAAGTCTTGCAAGATAGGCCTTAACTGAGAGCTAATGAATTTGGACAAGCTCTACTAAAGCCTACTACTGAACACCCTGCTCACCATTACTTTTGTATGAGACTGTCTGGGAGGACTCACACTCCTCAGTTGTGCAAGTGTTCTTAGTTATCACAGCAGGTAAAACATCTGATTTATATGAAACAGACCGCACAGCCACCAGACTCGACTCAACAAGCAGTACTGTTTGTGGCTCGGCAGTAAACAATGTTCATGTGATCACTACATGTTAGGAAAGTTACTGAGACAATTCCATAATGGTGGTATAGGATCCCCAGAGACCCCTTCAATGGCTCCTGTTTTTGTGTTCTTCTGGAAGTAATTAATTGGTTAAACCCCTCAAATTCCAATTCCGAGAGAAAAGTCCATTTTGGTCAAAAATTTACAAAGGTGTAAGACTTATGTTTTTGGCCAAAAAATTGATTTTGCTGAAAATCACAGTATATGTACTCCTGAGCATGCAAATTGCAAATCTGTGATCCTCGTTTCGATTGGAGGGTAATTAGTGGCCTTAATGAGGCTTGGAGTATGTTTAGGACTTTTTCAATGCTTAGGACTTTTTCAGTGCTAATTACTAGCCAACTATGGGTTTCCCAGGTGAGATTTTGGTGTTTTTGTGTTCTTCTGGAAGTAATTAATTGGTTAAACCCCTCAAATTCTAATTCCGAGAGAAAAGTCCATCTTGGTCAAAAATTTACAAAGGTGTAAGACTTATGTTTTTGGCCAAAAAATTGATTCTGCTGAAAATCACAGTATATGTACTCCTGAGCATGCAAATTGCAAAACTGTGATCCTCGTTTCGATTGGAGGGTAATTAGTGGCCTTAATGAGGCTTGGAGTATTTTTAGGACTTTTTCATGCTAATTACTAGCCAACTATGGGTTTCCCAGGTGAGATTTTGGTGTTTGTGTTCTTCTGGAAGTAATTAATTGGTTAAACCCCTCAAATTCCAATTCCGAGAGAAAAGTCTATTTTGGTCAAAAATTTACTAAGGTAATAGACTTATGTTTTTGGCCAAAAATTTGATTTTGCTGAAAATTTCAGTATATGTACTACTGAGAATGCTGATTGCAAATCTGTGATCCTCGTTTCGATTGAGGGTAATTAGTGGCCTTAATGAGGCTTGGAGTATGTTTAGACTTTTTCAATGCTAATTACTAGCCAACTATGGGTTTCCAGGTGAGATTTTGGTGTTTTTGTGTTCTTCTGGAAGTAATTAATTGGTTAAACCCCTCAAATTCCAATTCCGAGAGAAAAGTCCATTTTGGTCAAAAATTTACAAAGGTGTAAGACTTATGTTTTTGGCCAAAAATTGATTTTGCTGAAAATCACAGTATATGTACTCCTGAGCATGCAAATTGCAAATCTGTGATCCTCGTTTCGATTGGAGGGTAATTAGTGGCCTTAATGAGGCTTGGAGTATGTTTAGGACTTTTTCAATGCTTAGGACTTTTTCAGTGCTAATTACTAGCCAACTATGGGTTTCCCAGGTGAGATTTTGGTGTTTTTGTGTTCTTCTGGAAGTAATTAATTGGTTAAACCCCTCAAATTCTAATTCCGAGAGAAAAGTCCATCTTGGTCAAAAATTTACAAAGGTGTAAGACTTATGTTTTTGGCCAAAAAATTGATTCTGCTGAAAATCACAGTATATGTACTCCTGAGCATGCAAATTGCAAAACTGTGATCCTCGTTTCGATTGGAGGGTAATTAGTGGCCTTAATGAGGCTTGGAGTATTTTTAGGACTTTTCTATGCTTAGGACTTGTAGTGGACGTCTCCCCTACAAACTGCGTAGCCGCAGCCACCAGCTGCTACCATCTTCCCTAGCAACCAAACTAGCGGCCCAAGCGGGGGGCGTCACCAGATGTCGCAGTATCCTAGCAACTGAGTCAAAAGACCGGTTACTTCTCGGGTTTTCCCTACATGACTCACGGCTGACTCACGGCTGCTGGGTATATACGCTCTGTCTCTCCATTGAGATTCATTCTGGCCTCACTTCTACAACACGCAACACCTCCTCCGCTGCTGCCTGGCGGCCCTCGCCTCTCCTCTGCCTGCCTGGCGGTCCTCGCTCCCGCCAGCGAGCATGGCGACCCACCAGCTGTCCTTCTCTGAGCTTCCTCACCAACCAGCTCTTATTCTGCTCTCGGTTCCTGAACACGCAACACCTCCTCCCAGCAAGCTCCTCGCTGTCCAGCTTTCATTCAACCAGGAGGCCAGCAACAGGCAACATCTTCTCTAACGAAGCTCCTGCACATCTACCTCCTTCAACACGCTACTCACCGAACGTCTTCTACTGAGCAGCTCCCCACCACACGGCATCTCCAGCACCAGACTGTCTATCATATAACTTATATATTATACAAGAAAACCACATTAGAGTTTCCATCCATCCTGAGTGCTAGACAACATTATACCACGAAATCCTACAGACTTTTTCAATGGTAATTACTAGCCAACTATGGGTTTCCCAGGTGAGATTTTGGTGTTTTTGTGTTCTTCTGGAAGTAATTAATTGGTTAAACCCCTCAAATTCCAATTCCGAGAGAAAAGTCTATTTTTGTCAAAAATTTACTGCCGTTTAGTTTCACTGGTATATATCTTTACTGGCGTTTGCCCTCAGTGCCGAATTTAAACATGGCAAGCCCTCCCCCCCCCCTCAAAAAAATGTCTCCCTGTTAGGCTGGTACTTAACTTAGTCGATGACTCAATGTCAGGGTTGAGTTTTATAATTTATTGTTTAAAATAGTGACACCTCTTACACTTTGCAATAATTTGATTTTATTTCCACGAAAGTATTAAAGCAACAATTTACAAATAAGGTTTATAAGGATTATTGTTCATACATTTTATACACAATTAAATGTTCATTCTCCTAACTTTGGTAATGCTAAATTTTCTGATAAATACTTTCAGTGTCCAAGGAGTTTACTGCTCATGTTCAATAGGTTCATCTTGTTCAGTTTGTTTTGGCAGATGGAGTTTGTCATGTCATTTTTTATTCCTTTCAGTTTTGAGAATGACCTTTCACCAGAACAATTTGTGCACAGCATGCAAAGATATATCATACAACGGATTCACTGTAAATTACACCCAAATGGCTTCAGTAAAGGTAAATATAAATGCTAATAGGCACGTGTGGATGTTTACGTGAGGTGTGTGTTAACAAGAGTAAAAAAAAGCCAGGCAGCAACGATGACTGCAGCATACACCTGCACACAGTCGCTGGCAACCAACACATTCCTCATCGTAACACATTACAATGACGATGAATATGTCACTAGTATCACCGTTAAATAATAAAGCTAAATAGGAACGATATTCCCTCAGTTTTAAGAGAAACAGGCATTTATATTTCTAAAGGATTCGTCAAGCTTTACTCGCCATTATTAGTATTTGGCAATGTTTAAATACTTTATCCATCAATGTGGCAATCTATTTATCATTACAATCTAGGTGGCATTGGGATGATAGCATTCCACAGTTTACTTATAAGTGTGTCATTTATCAAATATTTGTTATATAGTTTTTAAATAGTTGTTATACATTTTTATTATATACATCTCTTATACGATTCGTAGGGTGAAAACAATGGATAATTATTATTGTTTTTATGTGCTACGTGGTTATCATCATTCCTCCCTCCTCTTTCTCTTCAATTTTCTTCCCACCTGACTGAATTACTCAGAATAGGCAAACTGTACTCCAAGCTTTGTTAATAAATTTGTTAAACTAAAAAAAAACCCTTTCTCCCCATTCTTCCTTTCCGTTTTCCCTCCCTCTCATTCTCTCTCTCTCCTTTGCTTCCCTCTTCCCCTTCCCTTCTCTCTGACTTACTCTTCCTTCACCCTTTCCTCCCTCCCTTCTCTTCCTTCATCTTTCTTTTATTCCCTTCCTCGGTTACTTCTTTTCTTATTCTTCCTTACTCTCCCACAAACATATTTCTAATCTATCTATCTATCCCTTCACTCTCTATTTACCCACCAAAACTGAAATTGACAACAAGTAGACAAGTACAACTCCTAGGTACTCGACGTAGGTGATGGGCTCAGCCCTATGTTTAAAGGGACGTTGTGCGAGGAGCATTTATTAGAAAGTAATACTACAAGTGAATGATCAAATGTAAAGCAGGTGAACGAGGATATCTAATGGTAGTGGACGCCGTTGGTGGACGCCCTAAGTCACCCAGTTGGACCTCCCCTCTGATGGACACTTGACTCTAGCTGAGGTGTTATGTTGTGTTTGGCTTTTATCAACTGGACTTGTATAGTTTATTAGCTTTTGGTATAGATATACTGCAAAAAAAGGATCTGTATATATACCTCCCCCATGGTGTGTGAAACAGGTAGGGCAATTGGAAGTTCGACTGAGACTGTTTGTAACGTGGATATTGATGGATAGAGGGAGAGTTTTCCTTCTAAAGGGGTTGGTTGGTGGAGTGTAAACCTAAACAGTTATAGCCAAGTGTTGGGTTACACCAGACCCTCACACAATCCTCCCGTTGTTCTGTAGTATATCTTCATAGAAAATGACCAGTGATATATGTCTTCACAGAAAACGTCAATTTATCTTATATTCAGTTCTTACATTTATTCCACATTATATATCCAGTTATTTGGATTAGATAAGCTCTATATAGATATTTTAATCGATATGGTATAAGATAATTGAGTTATATAGTGGAGGGAGGCAATAGTAGTGGTTTAATTAGAGTACATAGCTAAGCGGAGGGGCGGGAGGGGCAGCATCTCTCCCCACCTGTCCCGGATGACAGGTAACAACATGGCGGTGTGCGTCTAACCTGCTTCAATACCTTTTCCCACATTGTTGAGGTAATTTACACTGTTTCCTCGCCCTGTCGTTATCTCGGTGTAGGTGAGAGTGGTAGCTAGAGTTGTAGTTGGTGTTAGAGCTCTTAAGTGCGTGTTTCCTGGGTTTTGAGGCCGAGAAATGAGAGACAGGTAAAGGAGGTTAACGCGTTTTTCTGGTAGTATTTTGTGTAGTTTAGGAGAAATGGTAAACAAAAATACCTTAGAGTGAGATTATCCTCGTCCACAGGCTTCATTACTCCTCGAGACCAACCATGAGGGGTATTTAGGACTCGTGTGGACCATTTACAGTGATGATGTGAGTGATGTGTAAGGAAATAAAAGTGATAAGTGGAGGAAAACAGGACGGGGAGTGAGTGTTGATCTTCTCGTTGTTGGTATGCTGACTCAAGGTTGTTCTCCTGACATTTTACTCCACAAATGGCAGTGTGAACCTCATGATCTGGCTCACACCCTCAGTATGTGTGTGGTGGTGTAGAGTGAGACATAATGTGGTGGTGGAGTGTGACTAGGATACAACAGCAGTTCAGCCATGGTCAGGGAAGAGGTTTGTTTATATTAATATTACCAAGAAAAAGAATAAATTAATGTTAAACTCTAAGATATGAATGATAGTTTGATATTAATTCAGTAAAATCATCGTAAACATTCACATTTGCGAGCCACGAATATATTTAATTTAATTTATTTTATTGGATGCAAATTCATACAGTATTTACATATATAATATAAATATAAGTAAATAATCTAAAATACCTAATCTGAAATTACAAAAAATAGGTTTGTCCTTTTTTTCTTTAATTTTCACAACGTAACAGCTTACTAGATGTTCGGGCAGGTGGTGTATCTGGTGTTAGTACAGGAATAAACCGGAGACCAGGAACCCTGGTAGTAAGGGTCACACTGGATAACACCCTTCTCACAGGACTCAGACCCTTGACATATTAGGTACACATGTTACTGCCTGTCATATAAAGAATGTTGTATGTCCTTTATTTGGGGTAACCTAACCTAACTTTTCCTAACAAAATAAATTCAAAAAAATTTATACTATGTAACTGATGTAGCTGTTTTTTTGGTGTTTTCTTACTAAACCACAGTAAACATATTGAGCATTTTCATGATAAATCTTACAGTGGAGAGTTTTCAATTGTATTCTTATTTAGTTCTACCTTGAAGGCAAGCACGGATAATGAAATAAAGAAAAATAATACCAATTTAGAAATAAATTAAGCAATACTTTCCGAATATAAAATGTTATCGCTTTCTTTTATGACCATCACTTTCCTGCTTGTTGTGGACACTGCGTCACTCACTCACTGTTACAAGTAGCTTCACTTTATCCTCCATCATTGGTTAAATAAGGTAAACTTTTGTAAATTTTTTATTTTTCTTTATTTTAGGAAAAGTTAGGTCAGGTAACCAAAGGTATGATTCGTGTGTTTTAACCCCGCGTTTAAATCACCCTCAAAAACACAAGAAAAATATATGTTTGTTATTAATTTCCGAATATGTGCTGTACAATACCAAATCTTTACCTAAACTTACAAAGAGAATGTAATAACACAAATTATGAGTAAAACTTTGTTATAGAAACTTGACACAAAGTCAGTCTGTTCTGCCATTAAAAGTCTTGCTATTGAAAAGAATGTGACTAATTGGACAAGAGAACAATGCCTTGGTGAATATAGTTGACAGACACTTGTATGATCACTCCGTGTGTTTTTTGTATGTTAGTAAATGACAAATATAGAATTATTCACATCTGTTTTATGATATTTTGTTTTTCGTAGGGACAGTTAAAAAAATCTGTTTTATTATTTTTTTTTTAGTTCAGCGGACACCACATTATTGCTAACTGAGAAAAATATAAGAAAACATAAGGAATAGGAGTTCAACCATTTTGTATCTTTCAATATAAAATTTCCCGGAGTTTTTTTTAATTGTTTAAAAATTTCTGTAGGCAGCTGATAGGTGTATTGTACAGTACTGTACTTAAAATCACATTAATATGCATGTAAGAGCATCTGACCATCACTTTTATATAAGAATTTGTGAAAGGTTATGTAAGTTGTGACTGTATAATTGTTTTTGGCAGGTGAAGAGACGCGGGGCAGAATGTTTAAGAAGAAGAGCAAGAAAGTGCAAATATCAGCACCGAGCAACTTTGAGCACCGCGTCCACACTGGCTTTGATCACCATGAACAAAAGTTTGTACTTCTCCTCTCTTATTATTTTGACCTTTTTCTCATAGTGAATGGAAGTATTGACAAAAGTTTCTCCATTTTTAACTACTCTGCACTGTATTTCTTAACAATCATTAGAATTTACAGAAAACTAGTCAGTTAGTCAGTTACTGTACATACTGTATAGATTTTTATGATTGAATTTTAGTTAGGAAGTAATGTTATCAGCTCTCAGATAAATTGTTTTAATTACATTGTAGTTTGAGTAACATGGACCACAGGCAACCACAGCTCATTTCCTCCTAATTTCAAAATATACACAAGCACAGACAATATTATAATGAACTCTGTCACACCAAAGGATTGGGACAAGTTGCTCAGTACTGTACAGTAATTATGAACTGTTAACTTAAACACTTGTGATAACTCAGGATACCCACTTTACTCACTACAAACAATAGATATTAAACTTGAAGTCTTAAGAGTCTTCTGGACTTGTTATTGTCTTGATGAAGCGTATACAGTATAGGTTAGAAAACTACTGTTAATTGGTGCACAGTTTGTATACCAGTAATTATGATAACTTTTCTACCTTACAAAGAACATGAACAGCCTCACACAATACCTGAAATATAGATCCAGACAAACTTGTTAAACACAACTTCTGGCATCGAGAGGTTCCCAGATATGTGAGTGCATCTAAGGACATGGAGTGGCTAGGCACTTTAATATAGGTTAAGAATAGCCACTGAGAGTTCTTTCACCTCTTTGACAACACCTAGGGATGAAGCTGGCTCTCATCACCATACTATGAGAAGAGTTGACTGACTGACTAACTACTACAATCAGTGACAGTGTGCTTTTAGTAGAACAGCCATCTACATACATTGTTTGTAGGCCAAAAATAAGCACCATAAGTTTGAGTTTGAGTAGATGAATGAGTTAATGCTGCAACAACCTGCAAATTGTTGTCCTCAGGTATGTTGGACTTCCACCTCAATGGCAAGGAATTGTTTCAAATGCACTGGACAAGGGCAGGCCCATGCCGCTGGTTGACCCATCCGAGATCACGCCCGTGGATATGCTCGACATGAAGGTAACACATTTGTCCTCCGTGATTTACCATTACCATCACCAACAAAATATATATTGTTATTTTGTTTTACATTTATAATTTATCTTTTTATAAACTTTATCATTAATTTCCACAACAATGTTTTTCTCCATCTGCTCGTGTAGATGCCACCGGAAACTACCAGAGGACAAGACTCTTCCAGCAGACTCAGCCGGGGATTTGCCACCCTCAACCTGGCCGACCCAAACAGAAACCCACAGGTAATATTGACGAAGAGTTATGGTAGAATGTGTGCATAGATGTGTACATTGCAAGATTTTGGATGGTCTAGTCTCCTTTCAAATGCAAACAAGAATTTAGGCTCAAACTCAGAATAGGAACTAAGAGTTTGAGGACATTATATGAAGCTGGGAAAGAACTTGAACACATACTAAGACTTAGGGCATACACTGTGGGTCAGACCATAACCCAGTCATGAGTGAAGTGAGGCTGATACAGTGTATAAGAAGTGAAAAAGTAAAATGTTGAGTAAAACTAACTTGGATATGGGGAAAGGTGAAAAAAATACAGGGTAGAATTTGTAACTGAAACCTTAATTATTTTGTTTTATTCTTGCAGACAAACACACGAGAACGAGGTGGGGGCAACAATAACAACAACAACAACGTCAACAATAATAATAATAATAGTAATGGACCTGCCAGCCTTCCCAAGACTTCCAGTGTGGCACGATCCAACTCACTGCGCTCTTCCAGTCCTCCCAGGCACCGTAGGCCTGAGCAGTGGGGCGGTTACAACCTGCCGCCAACCCTTCACGAGGGGGAAGTGCTGGATGGTCCCCCACACAACTGGCCCTCCTACCCTCAGTACCCAGGCCATCCACAGTACACAGGGCACCCGCAGCACCCAGGACCTGGTCAACACATGCCTCATCCAAATCACCCAGGCCATTACCAGGGTCATCCAGGGCACCAACAGGGCCCTCCTGGACACCCACCTCATCACCCACTCAGTCCCACACAACCTCCCAAAAGTTCTCCAGGTTATCCCCCACACTTGCGTCCCCACCAGGGTCATGGACCACAACACCCTGGTCCTCATGGACCTGTACATGGTGGGCCTCCTTATCCGGGACCTCCCCACGGTCATCCCATCAATGGAGAGGATCGGTGGGACCCCCGCGATCCGAGAGGTCCCCATCATCCGGACATGCGACGGGATGGATGGGGAACAGGGGGTAGACCAGAGATGGGAGGTATACGAACACCCTCTGGACCCTCCTCTGCAGGGTCAGCTGGAAGCAGTGGACAACATGGCCCTACACCTCCACCTCCCCATCACCAGAATCTTCACAATGGCCATCCACCACATCCACAGGTCAGTGCTCAACTTTTGCTGTGCTGGCACTAATCTCTTGGAAAGTTTTATTTATTTCTCAACATTAATTACTCATCTCCTATAACTTTATTACTGTTTGCTGATTTTTGGTGTTCTTCTGTTATACCAGCTATACAGTGACCTTTCTTAATCGAGATAGATACGCCCTAATGTCTGAGGTGTTTTCCGTAACAAACAACAATCGGATCATTTATACTCGTAAGAATTAATAAAATTAAAGGAGTTTAGTTTTTCACTAGACAAAAATCATTCAACAGAATACATGTCAAAGTTTTAACAAAAGTTCCACACATTTAAAGTTGTAAATATAGTAACTTTAAAAAGCAGTTTTGTGCTTATGAAGGGTGAAATATTCTATTCATTGATAAAGGATTTAGCTTATTTATCAGTAAGCTACTGTTTAAGGAAACAACACTAATCAAACTTTATACTGTATAAGGTCACCTCGTATGAGCCTCTAAGTCACTGTTCACAGCACAACATATATTACAGTGCTGTCATACCAAAATGCTTCCTTACTGCACACAAAGCTCTAGGAGTCTATTTGTGAAGTCATAGGCTAACATGAAGCTATGAAAGAAAACCTTTAAAGGGTTTTTGTAAAAATCTTCAGAGGAAAAAAAGTTATGATAAATAGTTGGAGAATAGGCGAGCAGTCGGCTGTCCGCCTAGCAAAGACCCGTATAGATGTCAGGCTGGCCAGTGAGTCAAAACCAGGAACTGGTAGGTTAAGTAGAACAGTGAATAAGTTCCTGTTCACACATGATAATGAAACTTTGTGAAATGTCAAAAATTCATTGCCTGACATTTAAGACTGAGTTAGGTGTGCCCCTCATGGTGCTGGCTCATCAGGTTATACCATTACTGTACAGTACTCCATTTATTGTGGCCAGAGTTTTGTTTAAGTGAGAAGTGGGATGTATTCATGTTTTTATCTTACTTATATTGTTTAATATTATGTAGTACTGCATTCCTATTTGTGGCAAACACTGGCATGGGTTGGTATATAAGGTATAAAGCTAAGTGCTACTCTTGTGGTCCTAGCTCAGTGCTCAGTGTCATTTGGTTCATCATCTGTGACTATAGTTTGGATTACATAAGATTCCAATTAGTGAGATTTTTATACAGTATGTATATTTATGTGCTTCAATATTATTTGTTATGTAGTACAGGTAGTCCTTGTGTATAATTTTTTTTATTTTTTAATTTACAAATGTGTTTCTCATTAGCCCAAGTAGCCCCCAAAATCCCAGGCAAAGGAACACATTCCCAAAATATATAGCTTCGTATTGGATAAACAAAGTTAAATATACTGTATACTTTAAGTGGGTGTGATATAGAACATGTTGTAGAGGTGCTGTTACTTTTATCCAGATGAGGGTTATATTTCCCATGGCTTAGCATACACTGATTGGTTGGCTCTTGCCACATTGCTAGGTGAGGCAGTGTTGAGTATAGTTCAGTAGAGATTGAGACCCTCCGGGGATAGAACTGTTGCCTCTGCTTGTGTAAAGTTGATTAGATATATCATTTAAGTGTTACCGGTACCTCCTTTGTAACATGAAAAGGTACCCATGTGTTAAGGGTACCACTGGGGAGAACTGCTTGTGTTACTGTGTCGACTGTTGTTAATAGTCTCTGTACTTTGTTATGTTGAAACAGTAGAAGGGAGAGGAAGATGCAAGGAATAGATATTATAGAAAGTTTGTAAAGAGATTTTAGGAAGACAGTGTAAGGAAAGGAGTAATATTGAAAATGTATAGATTCTGTATCTCTTATATTCTGTTCTTTTTTTGATACAGGGTGGACGACCCCCGGCACAGCTACCGCCCGAAGCAGGCGGTGGCCCCGGACACCACAATGGTCCACACTACCAGTCTCAGCCACACCCTGGTCAACACCCACTGTCTGGCCCTCCCCCACATCCTAATCAACATGCTCATCAACAATCTAATCAACATCCTCATCCTACAAATCAACATCCTGGTCAACATCCTCACCAGTCTCCGTCTTCACAGCGTACCCACCAGCGACGGCCTCAGCCTCTCCCGCCCTCACACCAGTCTCCTCATGGTGCCCCCCCGGGTCATCCTCCTCCTCCACATCACACTTCCCAAAGTCAGTTACATCAGCTGCATCCACAACAGCAGGAACTACAGTCACAATCTCAGCAACAACCTCAACTCCCACAACATCCATCTCAACATCCACAGCAGCAACATCAACAGCAGCAACCCCCTCCACCTCCACCACATGGAGTACAAAAGTTACCACCACCTCCCCACCAGCTTCCACCTCATTCCCAGATGTATTCAAAGGTACCTCACATATTTCAAGTCATTTTTCAGCCAAACCCTCTGAGGCTGATGTTGTATCCCTTCACTCAGTAATAATGTTATAGAACCCCAACCTGTTTGATCAAATACACATAGCAAAGCTTTTTCTGGGTGAAATTTGATTTAAGTTCATTATAAAGATGCCACTGTTCCCTTCTAGCCACCAGCACCGGCACCTGAACAAAACTCCCCATCTGGGAAAGGATCCACCACCTCTCAACAAGATCATAATGGGAACCGCTTTGACCCACAGTCTGCCGGCCACAACACCGTGCCTCAGGTGACGTTGAGAGACCGTAAAGCCAGCGGGGAGGGGAGAGAAGGGGGCAGCAGTGGGGCAAGTGCCAACAGTACCACCAACAACAATACAACTAGTTTGCCGGGGAAATCTCCTCCAGGGTTTCCTCACGGCAGCGCTTCACAGCACCACCCGGCAGCCAAGCAACACGACCAGCAGAGATTATCGCACGAACAGGTTTGCACTTTAGAGTATTTGTAGTACAACAAATATTTTGCTATCATTTTGTTTTACATTTCAACATGACATGACAGAAATATACAGTTTTACTATTATGTGTATAGAACCGTAGTGCCAACGTGTTTCTTCAACAGTTCCGAGCAGCACTGCAGATGGTGGTGAGTCCAGGTGACCCCAGATACAACCTGGACAACTTCATCAAGATTGGGGAGGGATCCACGGGCATCGTGTGCATAGCCAGTGATAGAGAGTCTGGTAGTCAGGTAGGTCTTGGCTCACTGATGTTATGTACAGCATTCAACCATTCTTCACTTTGGGATTAATTTAAAAAGTGGGTTGTAGTCCAAAGAGGCAATATTCCTTGTCCTCTCCCTTGGTGTAATAAATTAGAGTCATGGTGAAAGTAAGTGGATGAATTAGTATGGAGTCAGTTATGATTCACCAAATTACAGTAAAAAAAATATCATTAACAGTCTAATTTCAGTCAACTGTTTTTATTGTACTCCCAGGTTGCAGTAAAGAAGATGGACTTGCGGAAACAACAGCGGAGAGAACTTCTGTTTAACGAGGTGGTAATAATGCGGGATTATCACCACCCCAATATCGTCGAGATGTACGACTCATTTTTGGTAGAGGACGAGCTGTGGGTCGTTATGGAGTTCCTGGAAGGGGGAGCACTCACAGATATTGTCACCCACGCCAGGATGGACGAGGAACAGATTGCTACGGTCAGTGAAGTGTGGGTTTGGGGTGGTGGTGGCTGCCCCTTGGTTTTGTCACATCTCTCACAGTAAAGTCTCCTCCGACCTGGTGATGTTTACAAAGTCTAGTTAAGGTAGAATGCCAGTTTCTCTAACACAAATACAGTAGAGTATATCAAAGTTACTTGTGCAATACAGCTGTCCAAAAAAGTATGCTGGAAGAATAGTGTTGGTCTGCTGGCAGGGGCACCAGTGTGAAGATCTTTTGCTGAACACTACTGGGTAAAGGTTAAGTTTCCATATCTAACATGATTTGGTAAATTATTCACTGTAGCCTGAAACTGAATATTATTAGTTTATTAGAATTTGTTAGTAGATCATTCAGTCACGACCCCACTTTAGAAATGGGAAATATATTCAGGAAATAACTTTTAAGAAATTTTAGATGTAGGAAGTTGAATGAGTTTTAGTTAATTCTTGCTGAATTTACATTGTAACTACAGTACCAGTATACGGATATTGCATTTTGTTTAATTCCATTGAGTTTATTAACTGGATAATGTTTTGTTTTATACCTGCAGGTGTGTAGACAATGCCTCAAAGCTCTTGCATACCTGCACTCACAAGGAGTCATTCACCGAGACATCAAGAGTGACTCCATCTTGTTAGCAAGTGATGGCAGGGTAAGTTCTCTTCTTTTGTATGAGTCAGTCATTTTATTATACCACATGTCTTTTGAAAACTAATCAGAGTGTCTATTGGTCTGGAAAACCTGGAAAGGGCAAGAAATTTTATTTGGGGCTGGAAAGCCTGGAAAAGCCAGGGAATTTTACAAATAGACCTGGAATTTTATGTGAATTCAATTCAACTTCAAAATACTGTATAGGCATTGTTATTTTCACAGCAATCTTACCATAAATTCCAGTCAATAGTCCACTCCAATACTGAATTATTTGTCTACCTATCATATTTCATGTTAGCAATCAAATAACCAAATATTACAGGTTATACCTACTACTTCTGCAATGATTATTGTCAGAGATGAACCGTTCTTATAATTACCGTAAGTGACTTTATTTAAGTGGATTATTCCATATTAATCATGAGTCATATAGGTGGATCAGGAGTGTGACTTTTGGGTTTTGATGGATTTCCGGCTTTTTTGGAACTGCCAGGTCGAACCACGTGAATCGCACAAGTCCAAGGAGAAAAATATGGAGGGGGAGTTCAAGGTTCATCACTAGGCTTGGGATGGGTCATATTTATATCATCTTTAGATTTCCCAATATTAGTACAGTACGTATATACAGTACATATTACTGAAAACCTCTAATTTAGTTATTCTGTCGAAGTATTGTACCTGGATTTTTTCAGATTTACACCTGGAAAAGACGGGAATATTGTTTTGTCTGGCCGGTTGTCTAGGTGGGGGCCATATTGAGAAGTTTACCTTGTCTAGAGCATAACTGGTCGGGTTGTTTTTAGCTGATGGTAGTAGGTAGAGGCTCAGTGGTTCATACATAATGTTTTATATTAATGTGTCACAAATAAATTCAGTACAGGTATAACTGTTAAGGATACGCTCACTGTAATACTGGATATAATGTTTGTAAAGATATATCTACTTGAAAACATTAACCTTTATGATGAGAGTGGAAAAAAAAGTTGGAAACAAAGAATATTTACCGTCAAAGTCACAAACAAAATCACCAAATGGTAAGGCCATTCTGTATTTATTAAAACATATAAAAACATGATATAAATTTTGCAAGTTTGGTTTAATTTGATATTTGAGTATATAAAGTGTAATGTAGTTATTTCAAGAGTCATTAATTAATTCACGGCCTTATAAGACATCCCTATCTTCCAAAGAATTTTTTTGAAATATTGTTATCTGTTTTAGTACAACTCATCATTCATGTATTGAAAGTAATTTGAAGGTTTTTTTAGGGGAAAACATAGGATTTTGTGTATGAACTGGTAAATACAGTACTGTACAGAAGGTAATCTTAAGTTCTGGTAATGTAATAATATTTTACCAACCTGGATCTAAATCCACTATAGCTAAAAAGCAATATATTGGTATCAGTGATTATAGTACAGTACTGGTACATAGCAAGCAACAAAAAAGGTAAAAAACAAAACCCCAAAACAATGTAGCATAAAGGTTTTATTCATTTGACTTCAGATGCAAACTGCACTTGCCAAAGGGATAGTGGAAATGGTTCATTAACCTCTTGTATACCAGGGGTCTCTGTGCTGAATAAAATCCTCTTGTGTTAGCCAAATAAAATATTGAAATGTGGATCCTGTAAAGATAAAAAATAGTAATTGACAAAATTTTCGATGGCATAAGCTTTTTCATCTTTTATTGTGTCGCTTTTGTTACATTTTATTAATCATACCATTCATTCTAGACGATTATATATAAGTGAATTTCTTTTTCTCAGGTTAAACTGTCCGACTTTGGATTTTGCGCCCAAGTTTCTCAAGAGCTGCCCAAGCGCAAATCCCTGGTGGGCACTCCATACTGGATGGCCCCAGAAGTCATATCCAGACTTCCTTATGGGCCTGAGGTAGATATCTGGTCGCTGGGTATCATGGTGATCGAGATGGTGGATGGGGAGCCCCCATTCTTCAACGAGCCCCCATTGCAGGCCATGAGACGAATAAGGGATATGCCACCACCTAAGTTAAAGAATTCTCATAAGGTTGGTTCTTGTTTTATTGAGTGGGATCTGTTAGTGTGAGAACTTGTGTAACCCAACACATTCACAGAAACTTATCTGCGTTATGTGGTGTGCTGTTGAGTTTTATATACACTGTACTACAGTATATTGTATATAAATCCTTAAGACACCCAGTTGGTTGTGTGGGTATTGCTCACCTCCTAGAAATCTTTTAAAAAAAATTAAAAAGAATTGAAGCTACTAATTAATCACTGCAGTATACAGCAGTTAACACATAAAGAACAACAATAAACTTTGCTGGTAATTTTTCACAAAACAAGTTTATAGAATTTACTTATTTCAATGATAAATTAATAACACATACACTGAATAATAGAAAGGGAAATCTTACAAAGCCAAAATACATTACAACCTGGAATTAAGAGACACTGGCAGCAGAATAATCACACACTACTAACATTACCATATTACAAAACAACAAACATAAGGTCATCAGATGTTGTTTAGTGTAATTTTGTATTTTAATCATAACAAATAAGATTGAAAATGTTAAACAGTATAAAATAATTTGCCCCATAGTGCACATGTATGTTTGCTCTGTCCACAGTGCCAGTGTATGCCTGCTCTATAAACTGAAATGATAGTCGAGGATATTCTTATGATTGGCCATACAATACAAATGACATGTTTCAGATATCACCGCGCCTACAAGGATTCCTGGAGAAGATGCTGGTCAGAGATCCAGGCCAACGAGCAACTGCATTTGAACTCCTTCAACATCCTTTCCTACGTCAGGCTGGGCCACCGTCTCTCCTTGTCCCTCTGATGAGGTCCTTCAGACACTCCCCCTGTTAACTGTGTACTGTAGCCTTGCATTTTATATAACTGTAACATATGGTGGTTTATGTTAGTGCCTTTTGTAAACCGTGAAGGGTTATCATGTGCCTATACTTAAAGAGGTAATGTGATGTGAGCAGCCAATAAGCATACAGTATATTCAGCAGTAAATGTAATCTGGTGTGTATGGCTTATGGTCCAGTTGGCAGCTGATACATAGGTATCATTACTAATGGCATCTCTTTTTAAATGCAAGATTAATTCTTAAGCATTCCAAGGAATATCATTATGAAAGAATATTAGAACGTAAAGAAATAATAATACTCAAGGAAATTACATGATAAATTATATTTTTTAGAATTTGAAATGAAGCAATTTATACTATTGATTGTCTGTTCCACTTCATAATGAATTGAGGTTCACTATTGGCAGCTAAATGTGGTATAAATGCATTCATGAAGCTGAGATGTTACAGGCACGTGAGTAGTGTCTGGGAGAGTTATGTTGCTGAACCCCATCTATTGTTCCTAAGGGGTTGGTAATTAAAGTGTATTTATGTCTTTATATATAAATATACATATATATACATACATATACATACTTTATTATTGTGACTATTATATCACCAAAGAGGCTTTATTTTGTGTTGATTTTTGGGTCTAAACATGGCCATATTCTGATGTAAGTATGTTAGTTTAGTCTCAAGTTAGATGTGAAAGTGTTTGGCAAACTTTTTAGAGCAAATCACTGCAGTAAAAGTTAATGAAATGTCAATGTTCTGTACAAGTAACCAGAAAGAACAAAACTTAAATACTTAATTCAAGTTTTATAGACTTACAGTAGATGCTAAGAATAGAAGCATTCCAGTTTTATGAAAAGATAAGTGTTTAAAATCTATTCCCTCTATTTTTGTGTAGAGTCGACACGAGAACTTGTAAATATTATAACGTATTTGTTCATTTAATTTTAACCGACGAAATGGATCTTGCCATTCATTTTTATTTTCTCAATTTTGTACATAACACTTGTAAATGTTTATTGTTTGTTTCTCACTTTAACTAGCATTTAATATATGTACAGGTCATTCCATCACAATGTGCAGTATAATTACTACAGCATCCAGTAATTGCTCAAGGTTGCACCAGCAGGTATTAAAAAGGTCAACAAATCCTTTTTGTCCACTCTAGCGACAAGTTTAGGACTTTCTCATACATGATCACAGTTAGCCTGTCCATGTTTCCTTCATGGAGGACAGGAGGCAACTACTGTTTTTGTCCATTTTGTAAATTCATCTTAAATATCATCATGTAGAAAAAAATATGCTTCTCTAAAAGTGTTTTCAGTCGAGCAGTAAAACCTCTCTTATCAAAATGAACTGGGTAGTGATGTGAGCTGATCAACTTTCCTGGTTGTGTGTTTACTTTCTGTTCTTTATTATGTCTCGCCATCCATCCCTTTAAATCTATCCTATTAAACCGTTTCCTGAATCCCCAACACAGGAAGGTGACCTCTTAAGTTTGCATACTGTACCTCCTTCCCAACTGCAGATGTACTTACTTACTCTTTCTACTCATATTTGAGATGCCACCAAATGCGATCATAGTGTAGGTTGTATTAGTTACATTAACACAAAAATATCATAGTAAAGTATTATTGACATTGCTGTACACTTTATAATCTGTTCTTACATACAGTATCCAAAAGCAGTATTTTACTTAAGGGATTTGAAGTCCAATAATATTTTCTGTATGTCGAGTAAAACTGATTGAAGTGTTGGGTAAATATTGTGTTGGAAGAAGCTTGATATAGTTGAAGAGATAGATTATTGGTTGTACTTTGTAAATAGATTACCATTACCATTTGGTGCCATATAATGTAACCATATCTCTCATGCTCCTTGTGTAGATTTTTAATTTCCTTTCAAAGTGTCTTGTCATCCTCCCCTCTCCCCCCAGGCCAAGAGTGGACTTGTACTTATAGTAGAAGGCAGAGAAAGTGCATGTACTTCTGGGAATGCTTGAGTGTGTGCTCCCCATAATATTGTTTGTGGTGATGTCAGGTTTAAACACTACTTGTTGTCAGTCTTGATTTGTCCATTCATAAGTGGTAAAATATCGAGGTCTTGTTACATCTGTTGCTATTTAGCCTGGATAGAGATAGAAAGAAGACTGCATTTCCCTCTTCTTCCCTTAACTTTTAACTCGATATATGTGTGTGTGTGCAGCCAAAGCAAGTAGCCATAGCATTGATCATTTATAAGATTGATGCATGTGAAAGCAATTCTTACTTCAAAACCATTTTCACTTGGTTCATTACAATTTATCTTCCCCTCGTGTACACATAATGTATCACTTCATGGGCTTCATTACCAGTGAGATAGGAAGCTCTTTATCACATATTAAGCATTGTGTCGTAAAATATCATGGTGTAGAGTTAGTTATATTCAGTACCCTGTTTCCCACATTTACTGCGTGGTACGACGAGGAGTCTTGCCACACAGGTAATTTTTTTTTATTCCCCTACACCCACTCCTGTGAAAAGGTTCATGTTTTTTATAGAAGCAAAAGTAAATATTGTGTTCATTAAAAAATACTGTCATCATTAATATAGAACAATACTTATTAGTAACATCCAAGTCAAAGAATGAGTTATATGGCATCTGCTTGGATCCACTAAATTGAATCTGAACATTGCTAGATAAACAGTTTTCAACATAAAAGGAGTTGCTGTAGTGTATCTTCTTCCATCTATTCATGATAACATTTATGGACTGGTAGGAATAGTAATACAGTATTTCATGTAGGGAAAGAAGTTCAGTTGGATAAATGAGGATTTACTGTAATAACAAATAGATGAAGAAAAGACAAAGAATTACATGCATCCTATATGGAGAACATTGATCATGAGAACTTCCTACATATCTCTTGTATATAGCTAAACTAACGACTTAGGCAAAACATTTCCGTGTGGTATTAAGTTAGGGTCATAGGTGTATATTGCAGTACCTAACAGCAGTTGTATAGTAAAACTCTTACCTCCTTGTAGACCGTTGCTTTGGAACTGTTCACTTTGTAATTGTTTTAAGGACCATATCAGTCAAGAAGTGATGAACAATGTAATTATATCAGTGCTATAACAATCCCTCCAGAATAATTGATTGTGCCTTAATGGTGCCTGGGAAAATGTAACAAGATCCTGGAGAACCTGTCCCGAACAAGATGACATATTAATGGCACTGTTGAACCATTAAGTGTCATTTTAGCCACTGTGCCCAGGTGTTGAGGCGTTAGCTTGTTGCTTACACGACTCATACCTATAATAACAGCTGACAGATATTACATGAATATATTTTGTATCTAAAACTGGAGTATTATATAAGAAAATAACTGAGATAAACTTTTTGAAATTGATGGTTGTAGTGCTGGGGAATATAAGAGTAAGAATTACTTATATGTATGATAGGGTGTCTTTTATAAGTGTACTGGATAGTGAGTGCAGCTTTTGAGTAACTGTCCTGTATGTGTGTGTTTCCCGTCACATATAATTGCCTTGCCGCAGAATGTGTGTTGTACTGTATTATGTAAATCAGCCCGTCCATTTGCTGCCTTTTACACTAGATCAATTTATTATCTAAGCTCTGAAACACTTAATTATGGTGTGTTTGTCATATAAGGTCTTGCACTTAATGTTAGGTTTTAATATTGTATGCGAGATTCCATTGGCCGATGTTTGATAATTTTAGATACTTTTTATAATTTCTGGAGTGTCTGTTTTGTTGGCAGTAGTGTATAAGTGATAAAACTATATGTAGGAATCGTATTTTTCAATGTTAATTAGTGATAAATCTTGTTGAGTGCCTCATAACAATTCCACATTGTTGTAATGTTAGAAACTGTGGTCGTGTTCTGATTAATTGCTTGGGTGCTGTCTGTTCAGGTGATTATCATTGTGAACACATACACTGGTGGACTCTTCTGTACTATTAATGAAGTCATTTTAATTGTTTCTGGTGATATGTGAAACAAAGGCCAGAATCATACAATTAAAGAAATTAGTTGCTCTCACCAGTTTTTGGAAGAAATATTGGCTAATTTGGTAATATAAATTTATTTTTTAATTGACAGTCTTAGCATTGGCTAACCTCCACCAGTCCTGCTGGAAATTTGCACTTGTAACAGCATTGGGTAGTATACAGTATTTACCTGTGTGTTCTAAAGCAAGATTATTGTCATTATATAATAAGTTTCTCACAATGTAACTTTATAAAAGCTTCACCAGAATACCATCAAGCTGTAGATACATGATGGCAATCTACTTAAAGTACGTATTGTTAAAGAGCTGTTTAAGAATAGGGGAATAGCATAATGTTTACGTTTGAAGTGTGATTACTTGTTTTATGTGTATCTTTTAAATACTTTTATTGGCAACATAGTACAACATAAGTAGCATAGAACTTTTAAAAGTACAGTCAAGAGGAGAAAAGTTTTCTTTTAGATCTTATACAATACTCTGTTAAACAAAGATATTTAAATGGTGATAAATCATTAGTGGAGGAAGTTGGGGCCAGTTCTGAAGTCACTGGTGGTAATGTTTGATCATGTTCTAAAGATTTTCATTGTTTTAAGGTATATCATCAGTTATTCTTCAGTTTCCTTAACTCTTCTTGTCGTGTGGAAGTGTTTTAAGACTTATGATCATACTGTACTGTATAGGTAGGATATATTTTATTATCAATTATATACTGTACTCTTCACCTTGTGTGAGGATCTGCATATTCATTTACATATTGGCAGGACTTTTTTATAGTGTCACTGGGACAATTCCTTTTGTGAAGCCACATGAATCTGTTAAGGGTTAACTCCTCATTTAACCCCCTACACTGTCTGACTGCATTTAATACAACTCCATTCTCCTCATTCCATGATGGGTGTTCCTTTATATTCTGCAGTTCTCTTGCAGAATACTGTAATTTAGAATTCCAACTTGCAGCTCATTTATATCATGAAATTCCTCCTTTTGCATTGTGCCAAAACTGCTTTTCAGAAACCATATCAGGGAAGAAATATCTATCCAATCAGCCCATTACCTTATTTTGTCACTAACACACATTTAGGGCAACGGGCAGGTAATTGTTCAACGGCACGTACGTCAGCATTAAAATCTATTCATCTTTTACATCTTATGAAAAAATGTATGAAATTGTTTATCTTATTCTGATAGTTTAAGAATTATTTCTCGTATATGGACCATTATAAGCCATCTTCAACAATATTGAATATTTGTTGTCTTTTATAAGTTGACTGACTTGCGGTTGTGATTGGCTGTATAGGGGCTCATTATAAATGGACTGTGCATGGGGAGAGAGGAGGCTGGAGAGGCACATGGGTCTAAGTGGCCACATGTGTTTCTTCAGTATCTAGTCCATGTATCCTCAAGGATGTTTTCATATTATGGGTGACCTGAAACTTGTCCATCTTAAACCTGAAGATTATTACTAGATGTCTTTTGAGTTGTTGAGATAACTTTATTTTTGATGAACTTGGTAAAGATTATCTACAAATAAAGACTTAAGTGGGGTCTCCCTCTTGCAAGAAGGGGTCAGTTGGAGATTATTTGTCAGTACCCATATAAATATACAACACTTGGACATAATTAAACATAGTCACACAGGCTGACATAGGTGTTTGCACTAGGCTGGGATATTTGAAGTTTCTTTGTATGATTTGTCATTTTTTTTTAGTATGTGTGTATTATATCTTAAAGAAGGTGCAGTTGCTCACAGGTATAGTGTTCTGCCCCTTGGCCACCTTTCCCAACAAGTGGCCAACAATATATATTTTCGGTAATATTTGTATTTGAGATTTGTGCTAAGTGATGGGATTGATGTAATATCTGTAAAGAAGGTTCAACTAGATTCTGACAATGCCACATGTTCGGATAGGTTAGCAAGGGTTGGAACACCATATCTGTGGGCAACTGTACATGAGTATAAATGAAATTTATAAAGTTCAAACATGTGGACATTGTGCTTCACGATTCACAGTATACCAACTTAAAGCAGTAAAATCCAGGGTTTAAACTTGAAATTTGGAGTTTGTAATTTGGACCACTTTTATTGCTACGCAGGATAAATTAAGTCCAACTATGAAGTTCTTACGTGAAAAGTTTCAAACCCCCCAGCCCAATGTGTGCACACAAACATGTACACCAACTCAAAACACAGATACACAACACAGTGTAAGTTCTAGACCACTCTGACCCCAAGATTCCAAAACAATCTTCCCAAATCTGTCAAAGATTTATATTCCTGTCTTCCCATAATGCATTTTTCATCATTCAAGCTTTGGTAGACCTGATTATTGTGAATATTAATTTACACAGCTATTTGTATTTAATAAGTAAAATGTTTATTATTTTTGTGTAGATTTTAAGTTTGATAGATATATTATGTAGCCTTGTAAATACACAGAAGTAATGTACTATTTTAGAGATAGCAATAAACCTTACAATAGTCTTAACTTCATTTCAGTCTCTTTCATTAGTCAACTTGTTGGTTCTTTAACAAAAAATTGAAATTGTGTCCCTTAAACAAACAAGGCCCGGATACTCAAAACTCCACGTAAGTTATATACTCGGCGATCTTGTAACCGGCTTATAGTATTCAAACTTATGAACTGCTAACAATATTATAGCTCCCCCATACTCATAACTCTTTTGTGATGTTAGGGTATTGTAACTCAAATGTAAACACTGTAGAGTAAATATTTATGCAGGTCAGTCAGTCAATCACAGTTATGCTTTCAAAACATACTAACCAATCATAAGCTAAGGATATCGGTTGGCTTGGGGCGTGAGATTTATAAACAAGTTTTAGCAATGCTGGAAGAGGTAAAAAGTGGAAGGATGTTTTCTAAGGGAAATTAGACAACAAAACACCGGCCAAATGAAAAATAACTCTTGGGACTGTTTAAAGTGCGGTAAATTTTGTGGCTCGAGTCAGGGTTGTCAGGTTGATTTTATAGGCAAATGCTAAACAGCTCAAATGAAAAAGCCAAATACAGTAAAGCCAAACCATAACTCTATACAATAAAACCAACAATGGACTGCCTCTATCAACCACAGTTCCTTCCACTAGCTTCCTGGGTTGGCAGATGTGTCACTGCCCATGGGAAGGCAGGCGCGCCTCTACTCCTGGGAGGGCTCCTGAGGGAGCTGACGCCCCGGCAAAGGCCCCTGGGGGTGCTACTGCCACTGGGAAAACTCCTGGGGGGCACCGCCACCTTTGCAAGGGCCTCCATGGGGCGCCACCGCCCCTGTTACGGCCCCTAGGGTGCTCCATCCCTTGGGAGAGCCGACGCCCCTCATAGGGCCCCTGGTGATGCCACCGCCCCTAGGAGGAACCCTGTGGGGGTACACGACCCTGGAAGGGCTCCTGAGGGCGCCACAGCCCCTAGCAGAGCCTCTGGGAGACACCTGGGAGCACTGCAACCTCTGGGAGGGCCCCTAGGGGTGCCGCCGCCCATGTTAGGGCCACTAGAGGCGCCTCTGCATCTGGGAAGGCCCCTGATAGAGCCGACGCCCCTTTGAGGGCCCCTGGAAGCACCGCCAACCCTGAGAGGGCCCCTGTGGGTGCTATTGCCCCTGGTAGGACTCCTACAGTCTGTTGTTTTTGCACTGTTTACAACTCTGGGAGATATGACGTTACATAAGTACACTTGCCCATGACATTTCCAGTAACATCGCATTCTCAAATGAAATGGAGAATAAATATCCAACAGGAAAACATAAGTTGGGGTGTTGTGCAGACTGACTGTTCTGTTCTCCTATTGGCTGAAATTTGGTGACGTTACATTTTAGTCCACCAATCACAGTTAAGGAAGGGTTTGGTGGGCGTATGCAGTATGTACGAAACCAAGACCAAGCAAGCTACTGGGCTCCCGGGAAGGGGCGCCCCTGGTAGGGCCCCTGGGGTCGCTGCCACCGTTAAGGATGGCCCCTGGGGGGCCCATCTCGTCTGGCAGTGCCCCTGGAATCGCCGCCATCCCTAACAATTGCCTGTGGGGACGCTGCTACCCTTGGGAGGGTCTCTGGGAGTGCCTTGCTCATTGGGAGGGCCCCTAAGATGCCGCCGCCCCTGGGAGAATCTCTGGCGGCGCCGCCGCCCCTAGGAGGCCCCTGGGGGTGCTACTGGCCCTGGCCCCTGAGGGCACCACAGTTTCTGGCAGAGCCTCTGGGAGGTACCTGGGAACACTGCTATATCTGGAAGGGCCACTAGGGGCGCCACCGCCTTTGTTAGGGCCACTAGAGGTTCCTCTGCATCTGGGAGGCCCCCCTCATTGAGCCGACGCTCCTTGGAGGGCACCTGGGAGCATCGATATACCAGAGAGGGCCCCTGGGGGCGTTGCCGCCTCTGGAAGGACTCCTACAGTCTGTTGTTTTTGCACTGTTTACAACTCTGGGAGATATGACGTTACATAAGTACACTTGCCCATGACATTTCCAGTAACATCGCATTCTGAAATGAAATGGAGAATAAATATCCAACAGGAAAACATAAGTTGGGGTGTTGTGCTGACTGACTGTTCTGTTCTCCTATTGGCTGAAATTTGGTGACGTTACATTTTAGTCCACCAATCACAGTTAAGGAAGGGTTTGGTGGGCGTATGCAGTATGAACGAAACCAAGACCAAGCAAGCTACTGGGCTCCCGGGAAGGGGCGCCCCTGGTAGGGCCCCTGGGGTCGCTGCCACCGTTAAGGATGGCCCCTGGGGGGCCCATCTCGTCTGGCAGTGCCCCTGGAATCGCCGCCATCCCTAACAATTGCCTGTGGGGACGCTGCTACCCTTGGGAGGGTCTCTGGGAGTGCCTTGCTCATTGGGAGGGCCCCTAAGATGCCGCCGCCCCTGGGAGAATCTCTGGCGGCGCCGCCGCCCCTAGGAGGCCCCTGGGGGTGCTACTGGCCCTGGAAAAGCCCCTGAGGGCACCACAGTTTCTGGCAGAGCCTCTGGGAGGTACCTGGGAACACTGCTATATCTGGAAGGGCCACTAGGGGCGCCACCGCCTTTGTTAGGGCCACTAGAGGTTCCTCTGCATCTGGGAGGCCCCCCTCATTGAGCCGACGCTCCTTGGAGGGCACCTGGGAGCATCGATATACCAGAGAGGGCCCCTGGGGGCGTTGCCGCCTCTGGAAGGACTCCTACAGTCTGTTGTTTTTGCACTGTTTACAACTCTGGGAGATATGACGTTACATAAGTACACTTGCCCATGACATTTCCAGTAACATCGCATTCTGAAATGAAATGGAGAATAAATATCCAACAGGAAAACATAAGTTGGGGTGTTGTGCTGACTGACTGTTCTGTTCTCCTATTGGCTGAAATTTGGTGACGTTACATTTTAGTCCACCAATCACAGTTAAGGAAGGGTTTGGTGGGCGTATGCAGTATGTACGAAACCAAGACCAAGCAAGCTACTGGGCTCCCGGGAAGGGGCGCCCCTGGTAGGGCCCCTGGGGTCGCTGCCACCGTTAAGGATGGCCCCTGGGGGGCCCATCTCGTCTGGCAGTGCCCCTGGAATCGCCGCCATCCCTAACAATTGCCTGTGGGGACGCTGCTACCCTTGGGAGGGTCTCTGGGAGTGCCTTGCTCATTGGGAGGGCCCCTAAGATGCCGCCGCCCCTGGGAGAATCTCTGGCGGCGCCGCCGCCCCTAGGAGGCCCCTGGGGGTGCTACTGGCCCTGGAAAAGCCCCTGAGGGCACCACAGTTTCTGGCAGAGCCTCTGGGAGGTACCTGGGAACACTGCTATATCTGGAAGGGCCACTAGGGGCGCCACCGCCTTTGTTAGGGCCACTAGAGGTTCCTCTGCATCTGGGAGGCCCCCCTCATTGAGCCGACGCTCCTTGGAGGGCACCTGGGAGCATCGATATACCAGAGAGGGCCCCTGGGGGCGTTGCCGCCTCTGGAAGGACTCCTACAGTCTGTTGTTTTTGCACTGTTTACAACTCTGGGAGATATGACGTTACATAAGTACACTTGCCCATGACATTTCCAGTAACATCGCATTCTGAAATGAAATGGAGAATAAATATCCAACAGGAAAACATAAGTTGGGGTGTTGTGCTGACTGACTGTTCTGTTCTCCTATTGGCTGAAATTTGGTGACGTTACATTTTAGTCCACCAATCACAGTTAAGGAAGGGTTTGGTGGGCGTATGCAGTATGTACGAAACCAAGACCAAGCAAGCTACTGGGCTCCCGGGAAGGGGCGCCCCTGGTAGGGCCCCTGGGGTCGCTGCCACCGTTAAGGATGGCCCCTGGGGGGCCCATCTCGTCTGGCAGTGCCCCTGGAATCGCCGCCATCCCTAACAATTGCCTGTGGGGACGCTGCTACCCTTGGGAGGGTCTCTGGGAGTGCCTTGCTCATTGGGAGGGCCCCTAAGATGCCGCCGCCCCTGGGAGAATCTCTGGCGGCGCCGCCGCCCCTAGGAGGCCCCTGGGGGTGCTACTGGCCCTGGAAAAGCCCCTGAGGGCACCACAGTTTCTGGCAGAGCCTCTGGGAGGTACCTGGGAACACTGCTATATCTGGAAGGGCCACTAGGGGCGCCACCGCCTTTGTTAGGGCCACTAGAGGTTCCTCTGCATCTGGGAGGCCCCCCTCATTGAGCCGACGCTCCTTGGAGGGCACCTGGGAGCATCGATATACCAGAGAGGGCCCCTGGGGGCGTTGCCGCCTCTGGAAGGACTCCTACAGTCTGTTGTTTTTGCACTGTTTACAACTCTGGGAGATATGACGTTACATAAGTACACTTGCCCATGACATTTCCAGTAACATCGCATTCTGAAATGAAATGGAGAATAAATATCCAACAGGAAAACATAAGTTGGGGTGTTGTGCTGACTGACTGTTCTGTTCTCCTATTGGCTGAAATTTGGTGACGTTACATTTTAGTCCACCAATCACAGTTAAGGAAGGGTTTGGTGGGCGTATGCAGTATGTACGAAACCAAGACCAAGCAAGCTACTGGGCTCCCGGGAAGGGGCGCCCCTGGTAGGGCCCCTGGGGTCGCTGCCACCGTTAAGGATGGCCCCTGGGGGGCCCATCTCGTCTGGCAGTGCCCCTGGAATCGCCGCCATCCCTAACAATTGCCTGTGGGGACGCTGCTACCCTTGGGAGGGTCTCTGGGAGTGCCTTGCTCATTGGGAGGGCCCCTAAGATGCCGCCGCCCCTGGGAGAATCTCTGGCGGCGCCGCCGCCCCTAGGAGGCCCCTGGGGGTGCTACTGGCCCTGGAAAAGCCCCTGAGGGCACCACAGTTTCTGGCAGAGCCTCTGGCAGGTACCTGGGAACACTGCTATATCTGGAAGGGCCACTAGGGGCGCCACCGCCTTTGTTAGGGCCACTAGAGGTTCCTCTGCATCTGGGAGGCCCCCCTCATTGAGCCGACGCTCCTTGGAGGGCACCTGGGAGCATCGATATACCAGAGAGGGCCCCTGGGGGCGTTGCCGCCTCTGGAAGG